ATGTAGTTATGTTATGTTATGTTATGTTATGTTATGTTATGTTATGTTATGTTATGTTATGTTATGTTATGTTATGTTATGTTATGTTATGTTATGTTATGTATGTTATGTTATGTTATGTTATGTTATGTTATGTTATGTTATGTTATGTTATGTTATGTTATGTTATGTTATGTTATGTTATGTTATGTTATGTTTGTTATGTTATGTTATGTTATGTTATGTTATGTTATGTTATGTTATGTTATGTTATGTTATGTTATGTTATGTTATGTTATGTTATGTTATGTTATGTTATGTTATGTTATGTTATATGAACCTCTCCTGATTTATCCCCCATTTTTTCCCAAAAACAGCGGCAAATCCCCTTTTACCATCACAATTCAATATCACCAGTTGATAAAGAACTCGAAACTGGTAATCAAAATTTCCCCGCTTCAAAGTGGTACTCCCCGCCATTTCCGTCTGGTCTAAAATCCGAGCGAAGGGGCCTCACATCTCATACATTGAAAAAAGGATAGCAGTACTTGCAAAAAGATTTTAAGTACCTGCGTTTGAATATTTATCAACTTGTTCGCTATGAATCAGACTCCCCGTGGTGAAAGGCTTAAAGAGTCAAATAGTTTCAAGTCTCAGCTTTGGATGAAATGAAAAATTGATTACGTATGACAAGATCTATGTCACTTTTTCCTCGGTCAACCAATGTCAATTTATAAATGGCGATCAAGTTCTATTAAAATTTTCCAGGCAATTTCTGTCATCAAGTCATGCCACGCGTGAAGCTCAGGACGAAGAAGAGAAGATTAGGAGGTAAAGGAAGGTGAAGAAGAAAAGGGAGAATAAATCAAAATAGAAAGAATGAAGAGCAAGAAAAATAAATAAAAAGAGAATGAGAGCAGAAAGAAAATCAATGTAAAGAGAGAAGAGGAAAAAGAAGGAGGAGAAGAAGAGCAAGAAGGAGGGACAGAAGAGCAAAAGAAGGTACAAGGAGAAGATAATTAAGAAGAGGAGGAAGAAGCAAGATGAAAAGGTGGAAGAGAGACAAAAAAACAGAAAATAAAAGGGAGAAATTGAAGACAAAGTAGAGTAATATGGCGAAAAAGGAAAGAGGAAGAAGAAATAATTGAAAAGAAGAACAACAAAAGTAAAAAGCTGAGTCTGTAGCCGATTTCTTTTGATTGTTGTTGTTGCTGCTGCTTCCAGAAAACACCATAGGAAACAGGTGAATGGCGGTAGAAAAGGTTGGAAGTTTCCCTTAAAAGGCCGAACAAGTGCAGATAGTTGTTAGGCTGTAGGAGGTTAATTTTATCTGCAAATTATAGTGATCAGCAGAAACGGCTTTGTATTTCTATTATGCAAAGATCTTCACCTGGAATAAGCACAATCACCTTCTGGTTGATATGTGGCCTAATAGTTCTTTTGTTCGCTTCTTGTTCATTTAGCGAGGAGTTTGACCCATATTTTACACTTGGACTGAGAAGAGATGCATCGAATAGAGAGATAAGGAGAGCTTATAAAGCTCTTGCAAGGAAATGGTAGGGACCTTTGAAGCTATATTATTTAATCGATGAAGCGTCTTGATCAACAGGTTAACATGTTCAAGCTGTTTACACTTCGCCAATAAGAAACAGTAATAGACTGTTTTTAACTAGCAACCATCAAGACCATCTTAATGCTATTGTAAATACCTTGAAATTTTGAGAACTTGAAGCAAATTATATTATCATTTTATGTGAAGAGTTTTTTGGCGGTACAGAATTTGAAAATATGGCAAACATTTTACACCATATTGGGTAAAGACTTGTCATTTTGTTTGTCATATTGTTTGTCATTTTCTTTCATAGTATTGGTGCTAGTGCCTAACAGTTAAAAGAGAAAACAATGGAAATGTTATTCTCTTGATTTTTCTTGAATCAGGTTATAAAACGCCCTTTTAAATAAGTCATAAAAATATGTTAATTTACTTCAGAGCAATGATGGGAACTTAGCATGCATGATGAATGCTTATTTAAAAAAATTGGCGCAGATCTAGGCCGGTTGTACAGGTTTAAAAAAACTGGTCAACTTCTAAGAGCTTTGTTTTTCTGTAAATCTTGAATTTTTTATCTAAATTTCATTTGCAACAATTGCTGCACTTCTCCCTGACTGACTACAGTATCTGAGGAATTCAAAATCGAGGAAATCAATAGCCACTCGAAGTGACAGTTTGGAGTATGCTCTCTATGTGCCAATATTGAAACCGGTGGCTATTGTTTTCTGAAAACCTGTGAAAATCGGTACCCATATGTTTCCCTTGTGTGAGAGAAACCGGTGGCTAAAAAGCATATTCGATATCAATATCCATAGCTTGAAAGTGTGGATGCTTTAAAACAAAATGAAACAAAATTGAATACGAAGGCAAATAAGAATCTGAGGTTTTGTGTTGAGGGAATAGACTTTCTTTCTCGGAAAAAATCATGAAATTAGAATCGAAGTGGATCAAAGGCCATGAAACTAAGTGAAATTCTGACATATTATATGAAAATGTGGGCAAATCAATCACATTTTACTAACCTCATTAGCAACTTTTAGCAATATTTATGGACCAATAACACACAAGGCTGTAATGGGGGTAAAGCACCCTGAAACCAGTCAAAATTTTGGCTAGATTTGTGCCTGATCGAAAATAATGTGAGAGGAAGAAAGATGTGTTTGATTGGTTATCTTGCTTTTACAAATCAGCAACCACCAAACCTTTCATCTAGTTGAAGAGTCTAAAAGAGAAAATGAACTCTTCCTCTCTAAACAAGTTGGGATTTTTTGTTTTGGTGCAAACAGATACCAAATCTCCTGAAATGAAAAGACAACTTTGCCTGCCCAATGATTTTGAATTTGTTGTCACTAAACATTTCGGCACACTCTGAATTTGTGCGTAAATTTTGACCAATTAGCAAATCACATTTTATTTGGGCGTTTTGGTTTTTGAAAATACACCATTCTCTTTTTGGAACTGTTTATTGCTTGATACCTGCTGGAACATGCTGTTTTATTTCGTCTATTAATTGCTGGTTGGTTAGCATCCTACATACTGATCTTCATATTGGCACACAAAATTCATAAACAACTTTTGATTGGTAGGAATGCAGTCCTTTTGAATGAATAGAAGCATGCCCTTTGTACTATTGACCACATCCCTCCCTATCTGTTCAAAATTTTATCAGTGTGGGGTAATACCAAATAATCAATGAAACCCCTGAGACTTTTGATCAAGCTTGAATCCCAGATTTTAGTATTTACAGCTCTTGATCATTTGGCACCAAGCAACCTTAGATCGTTTCTTTTCCATATGACCCTGTGTCTTTCCTGCTTTGAATTGCACTGTAAAATGCCATTTGGGTGCTTTTATTTGTTTTAATGATTACATAAATCATTTTAACTTTTGTCGTGAACTCAATATTGCTTCAAACGCAAACAACTTCTTGAATAGTCCACAAAGCAAAGAAAAAGACCTTTTAATTCTACCATGCGGAAATTACCACTCAAATCATTACAACTCTACTCTCGAATCATCACTAAAGAAAATTCTCCACTCTACGGGCACACAGCATTATTTATTATTACTACTTATTATTACATCACTTTACAAAAATACCTACTGCCATTACATCATACTTGCCAGATTACCATCGAATGTTCTAGAAATTTCTACGCATACTAATCATACCATGAATTATAATTACAAAGCAATGTCAGCAGGGGATAAACAAAGCAAGTCTTAAACAAAACAACGGCATACGTAATGTTTCCAAAATTAGTTCTAAAGATAATGTAAGTTCGCATCACGTGTCTTTGTGGTACTCAGTGACTCTGTCACACTTGATTTCATATATAATTTCTCTGATCAATTTTCATTTTCATTTCAGGCATCCAGACAAAAATAAGAATCCAAAAGCACAAGAAATGTTCATGAAAGTCACAGATTCCTACAATGTATGTATAATTTTATTTACTAAATTTTGTGGAATATTGGATTAATTTTTTCAGTTTTTAATTTTTTTTAATATGTAGCACCAATAACCTAGCATTGTATTAATTATATACTAAACATTTAATACCAACAGAATTTGATCAGGCACGCAATATGGTAAATTGTGAGGAATAAGTGTTTGATCAAAAAATACATTTCCAGTCATCTTTTGTCACCCAAGCAAAAAACAGATACAATACAAAGCTATTATATCTAAACACAGGAAACATAAGTAAGCTGAATCAATCATATCTCTTGGAAAAATGCAATATAAAACCCATCATGGAAGCTAAGGAATACTATAGGCATCTAGTATTTGAACTAATACATTAGCCCTCGGAACATCGTCTGAACAGTTAAAGTGTTTTTAACGAAATTTTGGTACGGCATTTTAGGTTTAATCTCTCAAAGATCATCATAACAGTTCATTTTCATATGATTTTGCCTCACACCAAAGTAAAATGATTTTAAATTTTTTTTTGAAACATTAAGAACCCTTTTAGCCTTGTTGATTTTTATTTTTAACATTTTTTGTTGTCTTTCGTTAGAGTGATTGCTCTTGCCTGGGCAGGCTAAAAATAAACAACCAGTGAGAATGAGCAACTAGCTTTTTTATGCTCCAGTGTCAAAAGACACAACTTGACTTTAGCTATCTATTGAGTTTGAGTTGTTGTTCAAGGCATGGTTTTGATTCTCTTCAAACAATGTGTACATATAACAGAATACAGTTGATTTGAATTTGATGCATGAAATAAATGAAAAGAAGTACCATTATTTGGCAACTTATAATAACATTTAAGTAGTTGTCCCAGAACTTTTGAACAATTAAGCTTTTTAAGTGTTTTGGTTTTAGGTCCATCATGTTTGTAATAAATTCTTATTCAAAAAGTCTTTGCTGTCAAGGAAGTGCATGATCTTACATACTTTATGAGAACAATGACAATATTCTATTTTATAGCAGTCCTGGTAACATTGCCATTGCACGCCTCCACACATGCCTTGGTCAAAACATTAACATGGGTGTTTCCATTACCCCATATTTATCTGTTCTCATTTCCTTTGCTCGAGCTTTTTTTAGTAACTTATTCCCCTTACTCCATTTTCAAATGCCTCTGTCTTTGCTGTTCCAAATAAAATGATGTGTACGATTACCAGCATGCCGACAAATTCCATATTACCAGGACTGTTTTATAGTAATGTTTTGGTGATCATTCAAATCATTATTTAAGGTAACAAAACATTTGAATTGATTTTGTAGATATTGAGCAATGAAGAGCGCAGATATAACTATGATAATTTTGGTATGACTAAAGAACAACCATCTGGTCAACACTCTGATGGCTACCACAGTCCTTTTGGGTTTCATTCAAATGCAAATTGGATGCCATTCAGTGATTCATTTTTTGGAAATATGGGGAACAAGAATATTCAAATTCTTACAAATCAGTTGTATGAAAAAACGGTTCTCCCTATGAGTTATAAAGCTCCACAGATGATTTATATTTATGGTGATTGGTGCTTTCAGTGTAAGTAAGACTTGTTTATAAGCTGTGTCCTTTCCTTTGCATTGAACACTAGATATACAAAGTCTAGAATATCATGCACAGATATTTCACTATTTTTGGCTCAGTTTTTCTAGCTAATTTCAAGGTTACAAAGTCTCACGGTTTGGTTGATGTACATAAATTATATAACCCTGATATGCTATGATGCAAGGCAGAAAAATGTGATGCTAATACACAGCTGTTTAAAATGCAAAAAACAGTACATGGTCAGCATTATGTCACTGATACATCCAGTATGAATTCGGTTTAAGGCTTTAAACAAGCAAGAACTGATTTACAGTGAGCTAGAAGCATTTACAGTGGATTGTGGTTTCTAAAGCATTTTAGGAAGAGCTTAAAATGTAAAGGGGAAACCATTAGATAAGATTTGGATAAAGTTACAACAAACACATGGCTTATTCAAGAATTGGTTTTCCTTATATCAAATGATCTTAATGTCAAAATAGCAAGTTTTACCTTCATCTCATCTATACTGGCCCAAAATTCATGATTGTGAAAATTATTTTCCCCACAAGGCCATTGGCTTTTATCTTGCTTAAGGGAGGTTTCAGACTTCCATTTTCCCTTATTTGCTGGCAAGCTTGAAAATTTGAGAATTCACAGATACAAAGGAATTTTTCAAGTGGGCTGCCACACCCCTCAAACTACCAAAACTACGACTTTGCAAAGAGCTAGGACTTGTGTACATGAAACCTTTTCTCACATTTATTGACCTTTCTGCAATCTTTCTATTCTCGAGAGAAAAATATCAAATCTTAATGATTTTACCTTGATTTGTGTGTAAGAAGGAAGAACCGCAGGATAGGCTGTCCGCCAGAATCTTGCAATGAGTAATAATACAAAAGATATTCAGGAACAAAGCAATATGACGACGAGAATCAAATGCAACAAGATAAAATTTTAAAAATAAATTAAATTTAAGGAATACTAATATTTCGCCCCGGCATACAGGGCCTCATCAGAGTGATATGTGGTATTTATAGAGTGATATTTTACCTTGATTGTCTGGTTTGTTGTTAGGTATGCAGCTGGAACTGATTTGGGAATCAGTTGCAAATGATATGACATCTCTAGGGATTGGCTTTTATGAGCTGAATTATCAGTATAGCAGGACACTGAACAGCAGACTTGGTGTAAGGTATTATCCACAATTCTTAGCTGTATTTGAAGGCAAGGTTCTGGAATACAACATGGAAGAATATTCAAAAGAAAGTTTCAGGCTGTTTGTTTGGAAGCTGATTCCACAAGGCCTTGTCAAACAGGTATGTAATGTTATAAAGTAAAAAATATTGCTGCTTACATTGCAATACTAGCTCAGTTCAAATTTTTGGCTAATGTTTTTTTCACTACAAATGTGAGAAGCTAAGTTATACCTATAATTGCATTTATAACTCGACTTTTATTTCAATTACAGCTTAACAAAGAGAATTACATCGAGTTCTTTCGTCAGTGCTTTATTGACAACAAGCCACAGGCCATTTTATTCTCAAACAAGATAGATGTACCTCTTCTGTTTAGCCTGATTGCATATCAATACCACCAGAAGATTGCTTTTGCATATGTGAATAGTGCACGACCTGGCTCTGATGGTTTATTGAGTAGATATGGAGTTCAGAAAAAGGAACAACTGTTTCTTATTCTTAAAGAAGAACCTTCAGTGCCAGAGGTTATCCTAAAGGTATGCTATTCTTAAGAAACTTTTCTCATTTCTTACAAGGTTTCTTATGACAAGCCATTGTATGTATGCTGTACTGGTTGACACTTTGAGCTTTTGAAGTTTGATTACTTGCATTTTCTTTTAGCTATGGGTGAATTTCGTTTCAATTGTATATGTAATTACCGCTATAAAGGAGGATATTTTTTTCAAATGGAATATATCCAATTTCAGGATTGGTGATATGATAACATCCACTCGTTTTTTATGAAATTATTTCTTATTTTTCTAGGGTTCGAGTCTAAGCCAGAAAGCTATCCACAAAGCGATCTCTGAGAATTTGTATTTTCACCTTCCACGCTTATCATCTCAGGAGATATTTGACAGTATTTGTCCTGTATCATCTGAATATTATAAAAGGTGAGTATGGTCAGTGCTACGATAAAATCTGCTGCCACAAAGGGCTCTAAGAGTATGATGCGAAGTTTTTCTATTAAACATCGTAGGAGATTAGGACCTACTCTTTTCTGGTGTGAGTTGTATGATATTTGCTTCAATCATTGGCATTGTTTTGGTTAAAGTTGTAATGTTTTTGGAAAAGGAATGAAAAATACATAATTACGATGCCAGTTGGTTGTTGTTCTAAGTTGCTCTTAGGTCAAAGATGCAGCGAAATATAGGACAACAAAATATCTTATTGATGTAAAAACCGATTTATATTTTCGGGAATTCGTAGTGATCGTGGTTTGTGAATGTCCCGCTTAAAAGAATCCATGAATAAATACATCGTGCATTCAAAACGGATTCAAACAAGTCGTTAAAAGATATAGAAGCAAGTCGAAATCCATCAAAAAAGTTATATGAAATCCCTGAACTTTTTACAAAACCCTTGAAATCATAGGTATGATTCCGTTAGTCCAAGCTGCATTCAGCCATTGCAGAAACCGTTACAATTCATTCGGTAATGATATTAGGTACGGAAGGAGCTGCCTTCTCGTGTGGTAACAGATCGTTTACAGTTTTGTGTTATCATCGAGAGAGTGTCAATGATGATTTTCTTATTACTCCATGTTGTGATTCAATAATCACTCATATTTCATGGGATTGAATTCACCTTCTTTTAAACGAAAATGAACCCATGCTATGCGTTTGGTGTAATTCGCATTATTTTTGTTGCGATTCCTTCGACTGTCAAGGACCGCAAGGAGACTGCATCTTCTATTGTGGTTCAGCATATGAATCCATGACCTTTGTGATGGGTGTTTTCTGAATATGGGATGCGATTTTATTAGCATATTTCTCATAATTCCAGGGAAGAGCCTTTATGCACTGTTGTTGTTAGTGTTTGAGTCATTCAAAAAATATCAGCTTAAAGGGAGCTAATTGCTGATTTTCTTGCTTTTATAGATACTGCGTACTTCTGTTCACGTTCTCACGCCAAGATCATAGCTATCAAAGATATCTCCTAAGAAAAATGGCAAAAGACATGAGATGGAAAGAGAGAAATGTTCAATTTATGTACATCAATGAAGACATACAAAAGAACTTCAGGATCGATGATGCAAAATCTGATGGATCTTGCCAGAATGGAGAACAGGCATTGAAGGTATTTCAATAAGCAAATATCTAGAGTATATACAAATCTATTTAACGTAAGGATAAAATATGCTTTCATTGACAATTATTTTTACATTTATCCCTATTTTAAAAGGGGATGATTTGCCTAGCAAAGAAATGTTGATCCTGATGAAAGTAAAACAGAATTTTGTCATTATGGATTTTTTAGCACTCAATTTACTATTTTCATTTTCACCTTCCATTTTTTTGGCATCATCAATTATTGTATGTACGTTGTGGCAAAATTTGGATAAATTGTGTGATACCCCAAAAAATTTGTAAGCCAATTATCATTTCTCGGCATGGGAAGAAAGGCACAATAAGCGTATTTATGATGCCAACCCCCTTGCTGATTGTAATTAGCCACTTTTGCAACTCTTTTCCACTCAATGGTATACTGACGCCTCAAATTAAGGTATCTTGGAAAAACCGAAGCTAAATTTGCACCCCATTATCACTACCCTTAAAGCTCTTAACCCAAGGCTTATTCGCAAATTTATTCTTGGAACTCAACTCAGTTTCTTCATTTTCTGTCTTTTGAATAGAACACATTGTTTTTTGACAGGTGCTGGTTTTCTTGCGTCTATCGTCAAAACGTATTCTTTATGACTGGCTACATGGAGGCTTTTGTCCTGATGATCCCGAGGACCCGTCGGTGAAACTCGCGTCCATGCTCGAGCAGCTTGTTGGTAGAAAAATAGATCTATCTAGAGAAGCAAACATATCCGCAATCAGCGATGAGCATCAGCCAGTAAGTTTAAAGCTCTACTCCCAATAGAAACATACTTGGAAGTCATCACTATAGTAACGTCTTTCAGCTTTGATTCAGGCGTTGCCCCTGCCTTTCTTTTGCTCGGGGTTGGTTGCTTCACTTCATGTACTTTTTGTATGCAGTTTAAAAGCTACCCAAACAATTTCCTATCAAATATCAGCACGATGCTTGAGTATCAGCAGATTTTGCTTACCAATTCTTTCTAACTCAGCTCAGCGCTAAAAAATCATTCGTGATTTTCGTGGTGTATAATTACATTGTAGAGAACAGGACGGTTCTAAGTTGCTACTGTGAGTTTCACGCTTAATTCGGTCATCGGGCAACTGTTCTACAATTAGATGTCAAGCTTTTCTTTTGGACCCATTTGGGCCTTGATTTCCACTGATTCAATGCATATATAAAATATTTAGAATGAAATGTTGAACACCCTTTTAGCATCACTAAAAAGTTAAAATTTCTGAAGTGTTCAAAATATTTATGGACAAGTTATGGAAAATCAAGGGACAAATTATAAACAAAAAAAGCATTTTAGGTGTATAGCTCGTTATCATAACGAATGGTGGACATGACGAATTTACTGTATGTCTTATTCACGCTACCCGTGCTGTTTATAATATGTGGACCATTCTTTTAATAAGCTTTTGCTATACAAATAGCAAATTTTAACTTCTTGAAAACTTTTTATAGCAAAAATTCCTTTAAACATGAGAAAGAAAACAAATGTAAATTACTTGTTATATTTCGTGTTATATTCGTTTTTTTTGAATCATCAATATTTCTTGTAGACTACCATACACTGTTGACGTTTTTTCCTTTGCAGCACTTGTTTTATCGTATTTCCAAGCACATGAGCTCATTTTTTGATCACGTGGTCGATTCATACCAGTTCTTTAGTTGGTAAGCGTTTTTCCCTACTTTTCAATCATTATCATTCTGGGTGGTACCAGTATTTCTTTCTACTCGGGTACCATGTATTCTGAAATCTGACATCTAAATTTCGCTGCATCAAGTTTTGACCATAACAATTTATTGCTTTACATTGACCAGGGTATTTTTGCCTTCTTTATTGTTGGGTTTCTTATTGAATCGAAGCATTGTGTTGGTGTTAAATGAATCATGCTTGTGTTAACTGAAACAGTTCGACTTATGTTAACTGAAAGAACTTGGTGAGAGGTTAGCTGTTGATGATTGGTCAAAAAACTAAAGAGCCAATCAACATGCCGTTTTTTCCTGTGTGTGACTTCGGGTACTTACAGGAATTTTGCACATATACTGTATTTCCTCGAAAATAAGCCGCGGCTAATTTTTTTTATGAAATGAAATTTTCAGCCTACTTTTGAATGTTGAAGTGTTTCCAGAAAGGAAAAAGAAAATTTGAACAAAAATTCTTTTTTCCACTGATAAACAAGCTCCTCCAAGTCCTCTGAAAGTGGTCGTCTGCCAGAACCAGGTAGTTGTTTGAAGAGAGCCTGATCGAGTTTTTCATCTTCTAATGTTTTTACATTGATTTCAAAGTGTCTTGCAGTTGTATTATTGGAACAGCCTGTATCTGCTATTTACTTTGAAACTTTTGTTTTAAACTTAGCAGAAAACGACTTTCTAGTAGGAGCCATATTAACAAAATATTTATTTTCAAACAATTTGCCAGTAGATTGGAATGATTTGATTCGAACGTTTATTTGACTGTCAGGAGTGAACGTTTATTTGACTGTCACTGTCTCTCGGCTTATTTTCGAAGTCGGCCTATTTTCCTATATTTTCTAATATTTTTTGGCTTATTTTCGAGGTCGGCTAATTTTCGAGGAAATACGATGTATTGCAGGCTAATATAACATTGAAATTAATGTTCCGTGATTTCATTGATTTAGACCGAGCTACTTGTACGTTGACACGACACTGCTTTTTCAAGTATGAGATGAAATAAACTGAATAAAGTTTTTAAGTTTAATCCTCCTCATTATTTTTGAAAAAACCTGTTACATTGTTATCAAAATTATTGAATTTGGTGCTATTCAGATTTTTATGTTATTTCTTCATCATTTGAATCAGGTATCATTATCTTAATTCATTTACCAGAAATCTGAAATGCGTCTCCAACCTGTTGTTTGTTACTTTTAATCCGCCATATTGCTTTTCCCAGGAGCAGTCCTGTTTCCATGATAATAAATTCAATGTTGATTGGCATTGTGCTTGTTGCTAGTGTTCTGTTACCTCTTGCTGGGTGAGTTCATCATTTTTCACTTGTATTCCTTTTAGCGTTAGAGCTTTTATCTCTATCACTAATAATGTTGACGATAATTGGATGGCCTACAGAAAAATGCATCCTTATTTTGTGACTGACATCTCAGTGTAGGGAGATTCAATTGAGATTTGATTGAAATCTGTTTGGTTTTGGAACTGTCATTTGTATATATTTATCTTCAATGTATCTTGTTTTGCTCTTGGTTATGGGAAATAACCACGAAAACATCAGCATTATTATGACCAGTAACGTCCTTCTCCATCGCGGGAAACAAGGGGGATATGGTCTACAATCGTAATAAAGACATATTTTCAAGAAAGACTTCTTTTTGGTTCCTAAGAGGAAGCTATATCGAAGGTTTTTCGGTAACGCCCACTCTGCTTCCCTATCTGCTTAGGCTAGCGGCAAATCTAACGGATATCGCTCTAATCTAAAGACAATGCCGAACGACCATCTGTTTTTTATTCATGCAGGAGATCCTCATCACAACAAGAGGAAGAGGTTGATTGCACTGTCTTGGGAATTAAGAAGCTTACTTCCAAGAACAGCAAGGAGCTAATCACCAATGCTCCTCCGGGGAGGTTCACGGTCATCATTCTTTTAGATGCGGAAAACTTAAGTCAGGTAGAAGATTCACCAATCATGCAGGCCTTTTCGGACGCTACATACACATTTGTCAGGTGAGCTTTGCAAGATTCGTTTAACGGAAGAGGACTTAGACAAGCAAGCAGCCTATTCAAATCGAACACTTTGTTTATATTCTTAGCAATGATTTTGCATTGATATGCAACACATAAGTAAAATTTCTCGAAGCTACTACTGCGCCTACACCTCTTATTCAAATCCTTGCTATTTCGTCAGTTCAGATAACATGTAGCCTCTTTTTCACTTCAACTCTTCTAGCTCTTGCTATTATAATTGAAGCACATTTTTTAAAAGGGTCCCAAAAATAGCTTGTTATTGGCCAATTCAGCTACAGGAAAATTCTCTTCAGTTTTTATCTGGGTCTATTTCAGAAATGGCCCTATTGCTGCAGTGCCAATAATACCCACCTTAGTCCGTCCCTGTCTGTGAGCTAATTTTGTACCTTTGTAATTGTGCTATTTGTTCATTTGTAGAGGAGAGCTGATCACGTTTGCCTGGCTTTCCATTCAAGAGCAGTTGTCTTGGTGTGCGGAAGTTATGGACATAAGAGAGTTTGGGAAAGTTCTACCAGGCACTGTAATAGCCGTTAATGGTCGTAAGAAATACTTGCATGTTTTTAAACCAAATGGTAACGTGAATCATGAAAGACTTGCAGATTTTATAGGCCTTGAAAGTGACAATGAAATAGATGATGATGAACTGGATGGGCGTGCTTTGCAAAGTCAGAAAATCGCAGTTATATCTATAAGAAATTTTTTAGGTACTTGGCTAGAGAGACTTTGTGATGGAACATTGACTGATCGGATGCGTGTTGATAACTGGCCTAAACTGGAGCTTTAGAAACGATATCTGTTTGCAGATTGCGAACAGTTTTGTTTGGCTAAACTTTAGGACTTGCAAAATTGAATGTATTTACAAATTTCAGGCAGAGATATTTATTTGTATGTAGGGAAGGAATTCCCGTTAAGGTTGACCATCAAAGTTTATACGAAAAGTAGTAACTATTGCCTTTTGTACGCTTATGCCACATGGTTGTACCTCTAACAAGTTTAGTGGTTTCTTGTGTGTGCACTGCTAGAATTGATCATTTAAGTCTAGAAACAGAGGGTGAGTAGAATTTTTAGTACAAAAAATAATGCGTTTATTCGATCAGTTGAATTTATTTAAATTTAGTGTGCCGTTCGAGGGGGTCAGTTTTCTAAAGAATGCCCGCTTGTCCCCTAAAAGTATCGTGGAAATGCCTTCGAGTAATTTTAATTCTCTATTCAAGCTCAGTAGCAGTAAATTCGAGTGTCGCCTCTTCTGTTAGTGTTTTTAAGGACATTATCGAAAATGCAGTATTTTACAATTACCTGTTGCAAAAGTAACCGTGACGTTAAAGCTGAAAGGATATTAATCTCATGGACCAGCACCAGAATTCAAGTTTGTTTCGCATACAAAAAACAGTTGATAGAATATTTATCATTGTAACTGAACAAATTTTAGTTTAATATTAGATTTAGTATAAAACTTGGTTTGTTTTGTCATTTGTTTCAATATTCGACTACCTTACGACCACAGAATCAGAGAATGTTGATTCTTGAGTCAACCTTATCCTGATATATTTCTAAAGATTTATTTGCTTGAAAATAATTTGTTATGTAGTCTTTTTACATGTGTCATAGCTTTTTTTCGGCTACTTATTGTGGTATTCTACAAATTGGTCAAAAGTTAAGAAGAAATTAAGAACAAGCTGAGGCTGAGCTAATCTAAAATGCAATTTTAAACAACGTTTTATTTCAAGTACGAGGACTTTTGGATGCTTTTCCGGTAAATTTTCAAACTTATCGGCAAATGAAGGTTGTTTCACTTACTTTGTTGGCAAATGAGGCCTAAACACCTCCATAGAGCGAAAAAGCTAGCAATGGCACTGCTTACACCATGTTAATTTAAGAACAAAATAAGAACAATCCAGCCTCAAAAAAGAGTGTATATATTTATAGACTAAGTACCCATCCCCTTTTTGCTGAAGCCTGCAACAACTACACAAAAGGCCCTTTTTGGACACCCCTCAAAATTATTGCATTTCTTTAGTATTGAGCAGCAACAACAACAATTTTGTTGCTATAATGCTGCGAGTTGAATTGCATTGTAAACAGAAGAATCGTCTGCTCGGGCTTTGCAAAGGCTGTTTGTTGCCGCCTTACAAATCGCAGTAAACTCTGCCAGATCGCAAAACATTATCAACAATGAGCTCTTCAAAGATTCAGCAAAGTATAAAAGAAGGTTTCAAACTGTATCCTTTAGTACCAGGTGCTCAATTAGATTCCTCAGGAGTGTTGTTGGTTCGGAACAATTAGTTTTTAGGCCATTCTTATCACCTAGTATATTTTTTCTATCGATTAGGTATAGGCGGAAGTTTTGTTTATTATACAATACCAGATAAACTTCAGCTCTCTTAATTCAAGTAAAGTTATGAGGATTTATTGTGTAAATATTTAAGGTTTTTTTACTTTCTAGCCTTTTTCTTGAGTGCAAATTATAAGGTGTGGTTTCATAGGTGTGTACTATTGTGTTTCATTGGTATTTCTAAATGAATTCCTCCATAAATAAATGCGATGTGGATTTAAATAACTCTAGGTATAATTTCCCAGATTCAAATTTAGTGCACCATTGCCATGCTCTGCATACTGGTTTTTCAAAACCCTTCATTGCTTTGTTGTTTACATCAAACTTGATAATAGAGCAACAGAAATATAGAACAGAATAAATGCCTCAAAATATTGTTTAAACAATTACTATGATTTGCATCACTTCAGCAAAACTGCAAACATATTGATTTATTACAGCCCTTAACAGAACAATGTGGGCACCCATTGGTTACAGCATTTGAAATTTGAACACAGATTTCTAACTATCAAAAATGTTTCTGGATAACTGATCAAATAATAAATGCAGTTGTGTAAATTAAGAGCAGTGTGAGCTAGCCGTATATGTTCAAGACCTTGGGGTTTTTATCTTGTTTTTATCATAGGAAGGAGGGATCCTTGTTGTTTAAGTAGTCCTTTATCTTTGATATTTCTTAAGAAGGCCTGATAAAGATATTTTCTAGTATTAAAACTACAGTTTTTAGGGTATGCTCCTTGACAAAGCAATAGAAATTGGATGAATCTTAGAGATGCTGAGAGTGGAAAAGTACTGTGGCAAGGAAGTGAGGACATGTGAGTAGAGTAATATGTGTCACATATTATTCCCTGTTTACAATAATTCCTTGTTTACAATACTAGCTTGTTTCTTTTCTACTCTGTATTTGTTATGTTACGTTTATATTATTTAACTTCCTTTTACATTGTTTATACTTTTAAGCTTAGATTATTTATAATTTGCAACAAGTGTATGTATCCAGTGGAATTTAAAATAAAACTGATCTGAACTGAACTGTGTCAAACTCTATCAATTCAAAGTTAAAAAGTAAATGCATCAAAACAACATGCTGTTCGAGAAATCAAGTGCTTTTGCAAAATTGAAAAGATCACACCCATATGCAGGCTCGTGGGCCTATAATTTTTTCCAAAAAGCCAGCCATTGGGACCAAAAGATAAATCAAAGATGTTTTTTTATATAACTTTATGCATTAACAAGCAAAACACTTTACAGTTAATCAATTTAAATATCAAGTTTTATCACCGACCATCATGCATGTAAAAAATTTGGTTACCTGTTTTAGATAAAGAATTGATCTGTTCCCTGGACAAGACATTATAATGATATACATACCATTAAGATCTTAATGAATGAAACTACAGTTGGTCATGTGGTATTGCTCTTGTGCACTAAACTCCAGAGATAAAGTGAGAGCTTTTATAAGTGACTAAATTGACAACAAAAGAGGGGATTTAGAGATCTTATGCAAATACTTTCTTAAGATACCAGATCTTTAAAGCAGAATGTATGATCAAATATATTTTCAAAAGAGAAATATGTCATTTTTTGGTCTTTTATGAAGTATTCTTTAACATCATCATCCAGAAAAGTCTCTAGCTTAGCTTAAAGGCTCAATGGTCCTACACCCAGGTATAAGCCCATGGTCCTTTTTACCAGGTGGGCTTATTTGCGGCATAAAAGGTACATACTTTTCATTCATCAAAAGATTAGAATTTTCAGCCAGTCTTTTGTCATACCTTTCTAGCCCTTTAACTTCAATGTCAAGCTGTGTGGAAAGAGTCACCTAAAGAGTAATTTGGTTTATCTTTATTATTTCATCATTTAATTAAGAAAAGATTTGCACCTTTTAAGCAAAATTTAATTATTTGACTTATTCTTGATTAAGAGCAATGACATTTAGTTTTAAAATATGATTGTTAAAAAACTTTTCCTTTCACATTCAGCTTATAAGATTTATGTTTTTGTCCATATTTTATTTTTTCACTAAATAAACCTTTTTGTTTGTGTTGTAGATCTTTATCAGGTGTAGAACATGAAGGTAATATGTTGTCTCTGTTCTTTTGTGACTTTTAATAAATCTTGTTCTTGTTCCCCAAAAACTGATGACTCCTAGCAATGCAAGTTTTGTTTCAAGACAAAATACAACTTTAAATACTCTTTGCCAGATTGACATGTATATGAACACCGATATTATCATCTGGATTTGTCAATAATTTCAGACTTTGTTCTAAAATTTCAAAATAAAATTTCAATCCCTAATATTTTTGGGACATTTTTAGAACTTCAATAAGCATAGTTTATGCTACTAAACATATCTATAGGTTAAAAGAATAAAAACAATGTTCCACTCATCAACAGACCTTATAGAAACATTGTCTTCTATATATCTTTTCATTAGTAACCAATGACCATGGATATTTTCATAATTGTGAATCTCTATCCAAAGTCCAATAAACAAAGTTCCACTAATGTGTATTTGAAATTTCACATTCCATTTGCTATAATCCCATCCTCATTTTCTTTTTGTTTAGCAAGAGTACCCAAAAAAGTTCTAAAGTGCAAATCAGTGTCAAGGGAAATCAATTTTACATCTAGAGAAGAAATGTCAAGGTTTCGGCTAGAACAACGTGTCATGTTTAAAGGAAAATGTATAGAAGGTAACTTGATATAGTTTTTGGGAATCAAGCATGTCGTGGTCGGAGCAAAACCGCAGGCGCTTGACAAATTGAGCACCTTCAATTTGCTAGGCATGCAAACAAATATATTGCCAAATCATCAATAACAAAATAGATTTATTGTAACTATGTACTTTTAGAAAGTATAGACTCACTAAGCATTTGAGTGATTGAGCTGCTAAAAGTGTCTAGGCAGGCATGTGGAGATGCTCCATTGAGCTTGAGTGCCTCTCAACACAAGGCCTGCAGTCAAGACAATCTTTGTATTGATGATAAACTACGTTGGCATCGTATTAAGAGTTTTGCTTTTTCATACTGTTATAGAGTTTCCCAGTTAAAAATCATTTAATAATAAATACATATTCTTCATACTAGAGTGGTATTTTGAGTTTGGATTTGTTATTCCTGAATCAACAAATACTTGGCAATCATTAATTGAAGCTGCTCCAGAAGACCAGATGATGCCTGCAAATGTTTTGAAGTAAGATTTCTTGTCTGATCAAAATTCTTCTTAAAATTTTAGTAAATAATGCTGAAGGATCTGTATTCTGTGAATAACACTGTTTCAAACTGATTGCTTGTCTCCAATTTTATAACCGCACAAATTTATTGCCTTTTTCTTGTTTCATTAATATTTTCTTTTTAGATTTTCATCTTGACCTCTACACAGGTATGATAATTCCCTAGATGAATTGCGGTCCAAGATGAACTTTTAATCCCTAGATGAACATGAAATTTAATACTAACTTCTCAAGTTCAATCACACCATATACAGCTTTTCTTCATTTTCATTTTAAAGTTCTTCATCATTTCTTTTTTCAGTGGCAATGTTGTGGTTGAGACAAAATTCTTTGATGATAACAACCTCATAAGCACATCAAGAGTCAGACTATTTTATGTATAAGACAATATGGACAGGAGGCAATCAGGATTGTAAATATGAATTAAACTTTTGCCATGTAGAGACAAAGTGCAACTTGCTTTTCCCACATAAATAGGTTGTTGGAGGCAATATTCATTTTGCCTTTCCATCATTCTTAGCTAAGCCTTAATCATTGCAGCAGCCAAAGGGACAGTGCCTTCATCGTAGTTTAAACTCATTATCATGGTAATGATGATAACAGAGTATATAAAACCAATTCTTTTCCCTTCTGTCTTCAAAAGTCTCGTTTTGAACTAGCTTTATAATAACAAACTATTGATAAGAGTGATTTAATTACCGTGGCAGTATTTTGTTTTTTTAGTTTTTCCTATTTTTTATCATATCGCACATTCTTGGTTCCCTTCTCATTTATGTTTAGTTGTTTATTATTGCATCAAAATAAACAAACCACTTATTTATGTATTCTAATAGCTCCCTTAAATGTAGCAAAGCATGATACAAAAAACAGAATCCTGAGATTTAAACTTATGAAAAGATAAAGAGTTTGACTTTGCAATTTAACATAAACAAGCATGAAACATATAAGAAAGATCCATATGTTTGTTGCTTTGATGTCACAAATTGCATATTTTCTCTGCTTTTCATTTGAATCCCCATTAAAATAATCAGATAACCATTCTTGGTGCCATACATTTGATTTGCAACATCAACCTCCATTCCTGGTTGATTGACAAATCCACTTTTCAAGAAAAGTTGCCAAGAAAATATTTCAATGTTTTTTCAGATAAGATATTTTTGCAAATGGAAAGGCATTCACTCCCTTTCTTTCTAGAATTTATTTCTATAGTGATTTTAATAGCTAGAGATTACTTGACTGACTTAACTCATAACCTTGATTGTTGACTATGGAGTATTAAGATCTTAGATTCATTCATTGATTAAAAATCTTGATGAAAATCTAAACTTTTTCAGTTTTGCTTCTTTTATTCTCTTTCTGCCATCTAGGCAATTTATTTTTTGTCTAGTCTAAATAAGTAATCAGGGGTGGTGCTAGAAAAGGTGTTCAATACTTTCCCCCTTTTTACGGGTGTATCAAGCAAATATCAGGTTAAAGAGTAGGATATTCTTCAATTAAATAAATGAAATCATACTCTCATGTCAAAAATAGAAGGGACCTTCTCCCCCGTTTACTTACTATTGATTTTATGGTTCTTGAACAATTTTCTTAGTGTAAATAAAATTTAAAATTTTTCATTTATTTTGAAGGTCGACTCGTTTTTAAAATCTTCCCTTTATCCCCAACCTCAAAGTACCATGCTGAACAATATCTAGTGTGAAAACCTTATTTGCTTTTAACAGGCAAGTTAGGTATTTCACAACACGTTGTTTGAAAACTCAGTCTGGTGCTGCTGAAGCTAAGAGACTTTCATTGCTTGCTTTAGAAATATGAAGCAGTTTTCAGATCTTTCTTTTCTTTAAAATATAAATGAACCCTTCATATTTATTCATTTGTTTATCCAGAACAGTGCTATATTCAAATGTAAGAGCCAATCAGGATTCAGAATATGAACTATTGTTTCATTGAAATCAAGACCAAAATAACATGCACATTGCTCCTCAAGGACTTCAATTGTGACAACGAGACCATTTTTTCACCATTGTAACGTAATGAAGTTTTGCCATTTGAGCGTTTGAACGGGGCTTAATATGAACGCTTTTCTCATGATAAGAGATATTGATATTTAAACTGCAAAGATTTTTGACGAGGAGTCGTTTCAAATAAGCTTCAAATATTGCTGGATTTTGCAAAATCTTTCAGCAAAATTTTAGGATTTGGTGAGATTTTATAGATTTCATAATTTATTTTAAATATTTTGAGATTTCAACAATGTTTTTAGAGATTTCCTTATTTTCTGAAAGGTTCACGAGATTTTTAAGAGTGATTCACCCCTCGCATTACACAACGTTAATGCTGAAAATACCATCGAAATGTTTAGTGCTGCCAAAGGGAGGGCACCAAACATCATCATTGGCTATACGTCCTGTCGTATAAGAGGAAAGTAAAACAAAGCTGTAAACTATTTAGCTAATTTTGGAAAAGAGGAAAACGATAAAACAATAAATGCTGCTATATAAAGATTAGAAGGAATCACTGTGAAACCTAATAACGAGATTTTGAGACTTTGAAGAAGAAGAAGAAGAAAGAAACAAAAATAGAATTCAACTTGAAAAGAAATTTAGAATAGGAATGCGAGAAGCAAAATATATTTCTGGGATTGGAAGATGAGCTGGTTGAGATATGGCCACATCATAGTGACAGTCTCTTTCGAACCATCGAATCGAATGTAATTTGGTCTCGGTGCAAAACCTCATAGACGAAGCTAGAATAACAGTACACTACACAGTACACAGAATAACAGTTTTTTTATAAGAACAATTTTATAAGAACACGAGCCTCAAAATTGGTCAAAAGTTAAGAATAAATTAAGAACAAACTGAGGCTGAGCTTCTGCAAAATGCAATTTTGAACAACGTTTTTTCTCAAAATCGAGGATTTTTAGCGATGTGTGGGTGCTTTTTCGGTGAATATTCAAATTTGTCAGCAAATTAAGGCTGTCTCACTCACTTTGTTGGCAAATGTGGCCTGAACACCTCCTCAGAGCGAAAAAGCTAGCAATAGAACTGCACACACCCTCTTAATTTAAGAACAAATTAAGAACAATCCAGCCTCAGATTTTCGAAAAAATTAAGAACAGTCAGCCTGAACTTGAATTTACTGGTTCTTATAAAAAAAGAGTTTAATCCGTTAATCTTGCGAGCGAAATTTAAGCCGAAGAAAAGACGAAACTCCATCACTTTGTGCTGGAACCAAGGTATTCTGGATCTTTTTCAATCTATTTCCTATGCCAAACTGTTATTTGTTGTTCAACTTGGACAATGACTAATTTCTTCCATCAAATTATCATGTTTTTTTTCATATATGTCCTTGTGGTTAGGACATAGTAACCAAGCTAAAGGTAAGAGCATACTTAAGGAAATTATATATAATGAATTACATGAATTTTTAATTTGAATTTGTTTTAGGAGAAAATAGTGGTCATTGTTTGCGGTGATTTACAGTGCTAAGTTGTTTGGGAGATAATTCTGTGCAAAAAGGTCCTTCTAATGTTTGCTTGCCTGGTAATGGGAACCCCCTAAGAATTTTTTAGCGCCGCCCGTGCTAGGCGCTTCCCGACAGGGACATCCTAAAAGGACCGCCAGTTATGTAAAGTGAGACCCAAGACCCCTTGATGTGCTATTAAAAACTAATAAAAATTCCTTGCCGGGACCCGTTTTGTTTTGAGTACAAATTATATTCAACAAATGCCCATTGTTGACCTGGAGGGAAATGGTGCCAAAAGAGTATATTTGCATTACAATGCGTGACCTCGATTGGTGCAACAAAAGAAACAACACCATAACAATAGTTGAAAGGCGGAGAGTTATCAATACCTTTGTCAATCAGCTCTCATTGATATTGTTTACTGAACAACATTTGAAAAGGAGACGATACTGACTGCTGGCAAAATGGCAACAGGAAGTTGCTAATAGCTACATAATTCTTTATTATTTGCCAGAGTTTTGCTGTACCAAAACCAAAACTTTGAATTTGGTCGATGCTGAAGCTTTGAGTACTGGTAGTGAAGATTACTCGTAACCATGGCCGAAGATGAAAGTTTCATTAAGGGATACCAGACCATGGTGAGCCTTGTTTCTTTCGTATTCACATCCTTCTCAAATAATTCCTTCTCTCTCCGGGTTGATATCTGAAACAGCTAATCATTGGCTGTTGTAAATGCAAACAGTCAGTTGATAACTTCGAAGGGGACATGACGGACTCCGGGGGGATCGTCAAATAGAGTTCAACCAGACGAAATTTGTGCATCAGTGCCCGAAATTTCATTAATTAGGAGCTAGGGCTTACTGGTTCAAGTTTAAATATGGCATGTACTTCAGCGCAAGGGGCAATTCACTCTTGCAAATACCGCACGAGATTTCCACCAAAACGAAGCGATTTGCAGGGATTTTAAGATAAAACACTTGTGTTGAACGCCGGGGTCACTCATTTTATTTTTTGGCCTCAGAGAGGGGCGCTCATTAGAGAAGGGTGCTCATTGGAGAGGGGCGCACATTGGCGAGGGGCGCGAAGATAGATAGATATCCACCAATAAAAACTGAGCTTTGAGATTCAAACGATCATTTCTTTACAAAGATTAATATTGAATTTGCATGGCACTTGTTAAAGCAAAAATATTTACAAGATGTCAATTTCTTCCGAGTCGGAACCCTCGTCGATTTGCATAAACACTGGCGTAGCATCTTGAATATCTGAATTTTCAACACTATCTCAAATGAGCGCTCATTGGAGATTTTTCTTCAAAAACAGGGCCTTGGCCCCCCCCCCCACTTTTTTGCAAAACAATAGAGTTTTTTAAAATCTTTTGTTATGGGTGTTAAATTTTCTCTTGGCCCTCCCCCCCCCACTTTTCAACCTTTGTCGGAGCCCATGCGAAAGGGAGCGCTCATTAGAGAGAATACGGTAGGTCCCAGGTCGACCAGCGTACTATTACGAAGTGTATATAATCTCGGAAAATTCAATTGGTCTAAAGACAACAATTTAGCTGTTTATTTTTTGTTTTGCTTAATTTTGGAAGAGATGGAGACTGAAAACTCGCTTTGAAGTATAAAGAGACTGAAAATTTACTTTGAAGAATTCGATAATTCCTTTCAATTTTGTGCACTATATTTTCTGTTTAACTTGTAAGTTTTTGTTACTTTTATATGAATGATCGCATTAATGTGGAATTATTTTTTTGGTATGTTGTAATTAATCGGAATATTTGTCGAATATAATGCACCTACCATAAGTACGGGGAGAGGATGTGTGCCTGCCGCGATCTCCACTTACAATGAAAATCAAAAACAAAATTAGGTAAAATCGAATTTTAAAGAAAATATGAATCATACATTGATGAAAGACTTACGCAAACGAAAAACTTTAACGTGCATGAGGAATTATACAATTAAGTATGCCCAAGAGTGCGTGACCCCTAAATGGAGCATATAGCCATTTACGCTGTGTAACTTTTTTCTTTATTTCTGAATTACCATGAAAGCTGTCCTATTTTGGCAATAACCAATGTTATGAAAAAACATATGTATATGCCCTTTTTATTCCTTTTGGCCCCCCTGCTCAAACCTGCGCCCGGCGGCCCTGTAAAGCACCTGCAAAGCAGGCGCTAGATCAAAAAATAAAATTGTAGAAGACTTTATTACCGGAACTATTGGATAATGTGTACAGTAAGTCCTCGAATAATCCCCCAAGGGCTTATTTTGCAATCTAGCATAACACTGGTATAATTCTGATATTTTTTAGAAGAAATATTGTTTCCATTGATCCATTGTCTATCGTTACCAAATGCAAACACTTTATACCAGCATCTGTGGTTTCATTTTGGGAGTAAATTGTGACTTTCCACCTTCAGGATATTGCCAGTTGTTTTGAATGGTTGGCAGCCAAAGATTTCATGGTTGGTTGCCAAATTCAGCCAGCTAAATGCAGTACACAAAAAAGCTAAATTTTTGCTAATTACTGGGAGTGATAGTGGAGTGATAGATTACAAAAGCTTTCACTTACTTTCATCTTACATAGTCTGTTATCTTTTACTTCATTTCATCTCCCTTTATTTGCAATTTTGAAATCATTCTAAAAAATTTGAATATTATCTATGCCAAAAATTAATTTTCCTTTGCATTTTTCGTGGTTTTTGCAACATGCTGCCAGAATTCTGCCAACTTTTGTTTCTTCAGCCAAATCAATTTATGACGGCCAAGGGGTTAAGAAATGTCAAAACCGTTGATCTAAATTGCCTTTTTGTGTAGAAAAGATGGCAATTTTGAGTACACTGTGTTTTAGATGAGTGGTCAAAAAGACCAAATGGCAACTCTGGCCACTTTTGATGTTCTGCTAGCCTCTTTCTCAAGCAGGGCTGCCCTGATTTGAAATTTAGCATAATTTTTGCAAATCTAGCACAATTCCATGGCAAATTCGGCATAATTCCAATCTGTTCTTTTTGAGATTTAGCCACACTGTTTGCAACCGCCCAAAACCCCGCCAAGATTACCAAGATGCCACAGTTTCTTAGTCTGTGCCCCATACCCTCAACTTGAAAGTCTGGAACACAGGCTACAGTTTCTGCAAATTTAAATAAATAAAACCGAATTTTAAAGCACAATTTGAAAACATTTCCTGCATCAGTCTTGATAAACAAGGCTACGGGAAATATCTGTCCTCGGTTGCCAACGATAGCCATGAAGGTAACCATGTGAGCGGAATGTTTATATCACGAATAACTAATCAAATAGATCTTTGGAGCCAAATTTAAGCCATAGGAAAACGAAACTCCACCATTTTATGTGGCACCAAATTATTGTGGATAAGGTTTCTTGATCTATTTCCTATGCCAAGCTGTAATTTATTGTTCAACTTGGACAATGGCCCATTTTTTCGATTAATTTCCCGTGCTCGATTTTATTTGGGCCTTGTTTGGTAAAGACTTAGTAACAAAGCTAAAGCTATGGGCATATTTAAAGCACAACAGTTACTTGCAGAATGATAAAGTACATTTCTTTCCAGTTTTGTCTCAAAAAAATTTATTTTGCTCTGCAGAAAGGAAGCCCCACTTTCCCCGGTTTTGCCTGCCCTGTATCTGGCAGCTCTGAATGCAGTGTTTTCAAGTGTTACTTTTTAAAGAGAAGAAAGGAAAAGATTTGTTTATCTTGAATTTCCTGCTACTGGTTTTGTGATCTATTATGACCTTATCATTGCTTTTTTTTTATTTCGAATTTTTGTCCTGTTTTAAAAACCAGCATTTTAGGAAATGTTTCTATTTTTTGAAATCCCTATTAGAAGTATTGATACGCTAGGTTTTTGCACCCTTTTAACCGTGCCTAGCGTCTTCTCCAATCAATTTCTTTTAAAATCTGCGGCTTCTGTGCTGTTCAATTTTTTCTATCAAGTTGTTTTATTGTTAACTCAACAAACAAATTTTTTCTGGGGAGAGGGTAATCATGCCGTCACAGCTTTCATTCGCTGAAATTTTCTTACAATTACTATGGATTAAAAACGAATTAGATGGTGTAATTTTTAACAAAGTACGATTCGTTCTATTGTAAATGAAAACTGAATATTATCAATTATACGGCTCTTTTGTTGGTAGGACCTTGCTGATGATGGTCTAAATGGTGAAATGGGTTGTTTTTTTCGTGATGGTGTTAGGAAAATTGGTAAGTTTATTCATTTTATTTGTGGAACCTGTATATCTATTATATATTATTCACTGTTTATATTCATATATTCATTTGTATAGCTATTATAATATTATTATATATTGCTGAACATGGTCATGCAAATTTTGGGAACTTAGTTATGCTTTCTTGGTGTCTGCTTACCAAATTTAGGAGGATATGATTGGAGGACAAAATATTACAGACTAATAAAGAATATCGCCCTGGGAATAATTTGTGAGGCAGGGGTAGCATTTTTGAAGGATTTAGAAGGCTTCGGTCATCCCCTCCTCGTTAGAGTATGCTAGTTTCCAATTTTTTTGACAAAAAATCGAACTCAGTTTTATAAGCCTGGGACAAGGGCTGTGTTTTAGACCTCCCGTCGAATAATTGTTTGTGCCACTCCTTGTCTGAAGAAAGTTTTACATGACTTGTCTTTGACTTACAACCACCCCAAAGATATTGCAAGCTATTCACTCATTCAGCTTACGGCTGATCAGATCTAAGATCTTGGTATCACAAAGGAAATTGCATCGTGGGCTTTAGTGAATCTCAAAACTTTGTGTAGAGGATTTACATCAAATCCGCGTAAAGTTAACCATGTCGACACACCTTTTGAGAAATGTTCTAGAAGAGAAGATGAAGTTGTAAAATTAAGAGACAAGCATTTTCTTTTGAATAAAACACTTTTTATGGCTGCAAAAGAATCTATTAAGGATTGTAATGACTTCCTTAAGTTTACCCTGCATTTATCAAAATAATGTCTTTTGTCATAGATTATGTTCTGGTGTTTAGTGAAGAAGTGGACAAAGAAGTAGATCTGAAAATAGTAAAATACAGAGAGAAATACCTTGAAAATTTAAGAAAATCACATTTAGAGATGGAAGAGGTAACCAACAATGCTTAAATTTTTGAAACTGCAAACTTCTTACAAATCGAACTGTGCGCTGTTTCTTATTATTTTGTACCATTGAAGGTAATTGGCAGGTACCAGAGTGGCCTAGGCCATCTGTCAATCAACTACTGACCAATTGATAAACGAATGAGCGTTATTATGTTTGTTGACTGGCCAGTTATTAATTGACAGATTGCTTAAGCCACTGCAGTATCTGTTGGTTGACTCTAACGTTTCTAAGTAAAAGTTGTATCTGATGTTTTGATATCTAATGCTTTTGCAGTTTGCTTACTTTTTCAAGCTGTCCATGCTTAATCACCTTTGGACGTTGTCTGCTAATGACGCTGCAAGTTTAAGTACCGCGGTTGCGTTGTCTCAGAAGAGTTTATTCCTGTGCTATGCAGCATTCGAATGATGCAATGTGTACTTGATTATCTAAACTATACCAGAAAAAACACTTAAGCTTTTTAAAGAAACTTCTTGAAACTATAACAAATGTTTTTAATTTGTTCTTGTAATAAACATTTTATTTTGACAGGAAATTACAATCGACAATCTGCATTTTATTAAATGCCATTGTCCATTCGAAGTACTCAAATTTTATGCGGAGGAGCTTAGCTTCAGAGCTCCATTGCAGGTATTACATAAAATATATTTGGCTTGCTTAGCAATTCTTCGTGGTATTTTTTAAGTGAGGCGTTGTTTCAGAGCCAAAAGAAAAACTAAGTTTGAAGAGAACGTTAAACTAAACTTTTTCAAGAATCCTATCAAACCCAATTATTTGTTACAGCATTTCGTGGAAATATTAAAAGTTATAGATCATAGCTATAAGTAGCATTTTTGAAGTGTTTGAGATTTCACACAGGTAAAATGCCGTTGTTTTCTATGCAGTACCATAAGTTTTTGAAACTTCTTTCTTGTATTTTCCTGCATTTCTTGCACAATTTTGTCAGAATCCTGCAAACATGGTCTGTAAAATTACGCTGACATCCATCTTTTAAAAACAATACATTCTTTCTAAATCGATTAAAGAAAAAGACTTTCGTTTCTTTTTACAATTCCGTTATTTTTTGCTGCCTATAAGATACCATGGTGACTAAATGACTTGAAGTTTTTGTATTTTATTGGTTAAGAAGTAAAATTCTTAAATTTTAAGTATAACTTAAATCTCAATTTCAACAAAAGGATCAAATGAAAGTTTAGCACGAAAATCTTCACGAGGTTTTGTTTTGTGTTGCATTGAGAAAATCATGCTTTTTGTTGTTCACGTTTTGCAAATTTTCTCGAAGCGTCGTGACACTGTGAAAACCAACTGGACCGAGCGAATGCTTGCGAAGTTTCATCTACCAAATCCATTCCAAGAAGAAGTTCCAAATCCACCACCGGACTATTTTACAACAACTTTCCAAGCAGAAAAAATGTACAAGTAGGTATTTTTGCCACGATTTTCCTTTCTTGCATTTCTTTTTACGAATAATTAGGATTCCCTGCTTTCTCTGGAATGACATAAAAGACAAACACGAGTTTTCATCTACAACAGTTTGCTTTGATGCCAAAAATATTTATGATAAGAACATGCCTGTCGCTTCAAAACTGTTATCGATTTCATAGAGTCAGATATCAATGGAGAGAACAGACAATTTTCTTTTCTCGTATTTGCTTGGCAGCTCACAGCTAATATCAATTTTAATCGCATGATTTCAAACCACCTTTTTTGTTAGATTTATTGGAATGACGCAAAGGTTTTTATTATCTGGCAGGGAAAGAATTTAACGACTTACCACTAGGTGCCAGAAAGATTGAATCTAAACTCCTTTTTAGACGATTTTTAGAAAATCATTTTATCTGATTTTAAATTATTCAATCTCTGGATTGGACTGTTAGTGGACTCTTGTATTTAGTTTTTCGATATTTTAATCAGTGCTTAAATATCAAGACCCTAATGATAACAGTATATATTGTACTGATAGATCATCCTGTTAAAACATTCGATTTTAATTATTATCATAGAGTCAGATATCAATGGAAAGAACAGACAATTTTCTTTTCTCGTATTTGCTTGGCAGCTCACAGCTAATATCAATTTTAATCGCATAATTTCAAACCACTATTTTTGTTAGATTTATTGGAAATGAAAGTCCCGAAACATATTTCAACGATACTCAGAGGTCAAGGGTTGCTTATGAAATCTTGGAAACGGCACCATATGGAAAAAGGCAGAGGGGAGAAATAGGTGAGCATGCCTGTTAAAAAGAAGAATTTCCAACGAGACAAGAGCGTAAAATTCTATCATTTGGCTGCAACTGAATTTTACAGTTTTATGGTGTCTGCAAAAAGTACAGCAAACGATATTTTCCAACGTTGATACTTTTTTACATTATTTACATCTTTAGGCAACTTTACGTCAAAGATCGTTTTGATACGCACTACACGGTGATTCAGCTTCATGTATTTAAAGTCCCACTACATAAAACTGTGTTAAAAACAATTGGATACTTAATAACAGCGAAAGCACTTGATCAAATAATAAATACTTTATAATATCAGGAATTTCGTGAGGGAAATTTCATGCAGTATTTCTTTCAAAAGCTAGGCTAATCGAATCGAGGAAAAATTTCTCGAGTTTTTCATACTGAGATTGTAATACACACGTTTTAGATGGAAATCGTAATGTTTTGGATTTGAAGAGTCAAGACGTAGACTTCAAAGTATTTTTTTTTAGGTATTGAGAGATTGGTTTCTGAGGGCTGCTTCGCTGCCGCTTATCCGCTTCACGTCGTAAGATCAAATTTTCTTTATCATTTATATCTATTCATTCGTTAAGTTGTTACCACTGCGAGATCCAAAGTATGTATAAGGCTTTCAGTATCCGAAACCTCTCCCAATAAGTTTGATTTGTACAGATTTCTTTGCACCATTTTGAGTCGGAATTCGAAAATGTAAAATAATGATACAAAAAATTATCTAGCTTGAATTTAACGTAACAAGACTTTCTTTTGGCCAAGTAGGCTCTTGGTCTCAGCATAACGTGAATCACTCATCCAACCCCACTAATGTCATATCTCCCGGGGTGGAGCTAGGTTCCAGTAAATAGGTATCGAAGTTATTTCATTGTAGGCATTATACTAAGCATTGAAATTATGTTTGAATGGCTCTGGAAAACAATTTGCTGTCAATTTGCTATCAATGTTTGTAGATACAGCCACTGCGTGATTGCTGGAGCTGCACACAGAATGCTTTTCTTTGGAGTTTTTATAAATTGTTATATCATTAATTCCTTGAAAATTAGCAGTTGGCAGTGCCGTTGGAAAGAGATTCGTATTTAGGGGGGTGGGGGGGAGGGGGTGGGAGGATTACCCATTGTATCGCTTCCCATTCAGTACACTGTTATAAAGGAAATATACTACAGTTTGACAAATATTTTCCCGCTTCCCCGCTTCCAATGGTCCTGGTTAGAAACAATGTAATTAGAAGTTGTGTTTTTTTACATGTGAATTAACTAAAAAAATTATTGTCACAGGGACCACACACACGTCAGCCATATTTGGCTCCAGAAGATGGAGGAATTGAGCCAGAGCCAGAGATGAATAACAGACAGGTCTGTTCACCGACTGCATTTGTATCAACAGCTTTCTTTTTTGTGTCTGGAGACCTACAATGCCTGTTTCCAAAAGTTTTGGTACACTAACGTCAGTTTCCAAGGGCAAATTCAACCATCTCCCCCCCCCCCCCTCATCCTTTGAACAATGTTGGTTTACTACAAAACGACGTAGGGGATTAGGAAGAACGCATTTTTCTGCGACTTCTGCGATAATATTCTAAATTTTCAGCATCATTTTGGGGGAAAGAGGGTGCAAGAATAGGAGTACTCGGGAAATAAATTGAAAATAATAAAAACACAACAAAATTGCTTGATGTTCCAAATACTTTTGACAATCAATGTAGGGCTCCCCTTAGTCTATTTTTATATTGATTCTAAGCGTGAAAATATACGCAATGTGAAGGGAATTCAGAGTTGCGTGACTTTGGAGAGATATTTCCCTCTCTAATTGCTCCTTGTATTGAACTTTTCTCTCCCAACTCAAACTCCCTTTTGCAGTATTAATTCATTTAATATAGACTGGGAAATTATGCACCATTTTGTATCTGATTAAAGGTGCCAAGACAAACACGTTTTTCAAAAGGAGAAGAATTTTGCCTTTGTTTTGCTCGAAACGCAAATCATGCGGATTAACAGCGCTTCTCTTGATAATACACAATTCGTAGTTAAATGTATCGTACATGCTAAGAGTTAAACTGAAATGTTTATGAAAAATAAGGTTTATTTAGATGAAAAGAGATTGAGAACGTAGAATACCAAAATCAGCCAGGTATTGCTTTGACCTTTTCGAAAGGAAGCTGTCCTGTTAGCCAAATTTTTTGACCAAAATCTGTTTTTTCGCAAAACATCGAAAACTATTTTTATGGCTTAGGCTTACGATTCAGTTCTCAGCCCAGAATGTTTGCTGTTTTTTTGCCACTCTGTCTAGCTTTTGAAAATTTCCTATTTTTAAATTCAGCTGTGCCTTTTCATAACATAGAATTTTATTTATTTGGAACTGGACTGCATTAACTTCTTTTTTATAGCAATATTATTTCATATTAACTACAACACCTCTTTATTTCGTTCATATTCATTTTTCAATTTTTAGATCCTTAAAAACTACTGGGGACGCTGGGGGAAATGGAGTAAATACCAGCCTCTTGATCACATAAGGTTAGTGAAACTGAGGTTTTTAAACCTAAAATTGTTATATAAAGCATTCGAATTTCGTTTAAGTAGAACAGTTTCTGCTAGCAGCGCACAGAGACGAGGTTTCTACAGAGCTTAGAATTAAAAAGCTTCGAAAATCTTTCACCTGCGGCACTCAGAGCCATTACACGGGCATAGCCCTGTTGTTGGGCTATCTCAAATTGACTTTCGTTCTATCATGAAAAATGTCACGTTTGACTTGCTGCCTTTACATTTCACCAACTAGCAAAGCTCTACGAACGTGCAATTATATAGTTAGGATTAAAACAGCTAACAATGTCCTAATATAAAATAATTTCCATGTCAAAATATCAATGACATATAGATATAATTTGGTCATCAAATTTTATTTTAATGAAAAATTGTTATTTTCCTATATTCCATAGCATTTGTTTTTCTTTAACGCATATGAAATAGTTTATATACCTTGAAAGTATAATCACTTTGAACGATCTAATCGTGGTTCCCAGATAGGACTTTTGCTTCTTAAATATTTATTCATTAACTCATTACTTTGTCAGATTCTACTTTGGGGAGAAGATTGGTTTATATTTTGCATGGTTGGGTAAGTTTCCCTGCTCAACGTGATACTGCAAATTTTCAAATTCTTACTGCAAAAGTATTTAAGCTTTAGAGCATTCACAGATTTAATAAATCAAATTATTAAAAATGAATTCGAGAAGATCATTTCTGTGGGAAAAATTTTGAATATCTCTAGTAATAACTTAATTTTTAAGCCGTTATCCTTCCTCTTCGATACCTTATACGTATGATGGAACAATAACTAATTCTTTATTAGAATGCCTCGAAATGTCTGACTGTCACTCTCTTTTAGGCCAGTATACTGCATGGCTGATTCTTCCTTCATTTGTTGGTTTGCTTGTTTTCATCTATGGAGTTTTAACTATTAATTCATTGGATAACAAAGATGCGTAAGTCTGTTGAAAACTTTTTGATTGGCAGCAAATTGTCATGTTTATCAATAAATTCATATTCGTCGTCTTACTTGTCTTGTTGACATCATCATTTTAGTCATCATTCGCAAACATTATCATTGTTTTCATTGTCATAATTATTGCAGTCATTTTAATCTTCTTTATTCTATCTTTGCCTTTTTTATAATTGTTGCCTATTAACATTTATTGACCTTCTTGTTTCCATTATCACTGTCGTCATCATTTGTCAACATAAGTTGTCTGTGTCCCTATGATGAAAGAATTCACCAATATATGCAGCAGGGGAAGTGAAAGTAGAACCCGAGTACTCTGGTTGATAATTTGTTGCGATGCACTATAATTTTTGCTTTCTGACCTGATAGGATTGACATTTGCAAAGCGAAAAAAGGAGAGTACAGAATGTGTCCTCGATGCGATGAAAAGTTCGGCTGCAAATATTGGGATTTGAAAGAAAGTTGCAATCTAGTTAAGGTATTAATTTAAAAAAGTATTTGTATTTTTCAAAAAAATACCTCCATCTTAAAAAGATATTTAAATATTTAAATATTAAAAAATTAAAAAGAAATATTTAATAATTTGAAGAATTTTTTTGCAGGTTTCCTATTTGTTCGATAATGCAGCGACTGTCTTTTTTGCCATATTCGTCTCATTCTGGGGTAAGAGGCAATTTTTCAGTAAAAATTGCTCTATCTTTGGATATTACTATTTCCATTGATAAAAAGAAGGAGAATTGTAGAGAGAAATTGCTTTTTGAGTTAAGCAAATCCTTGTGAATTATTTCTTTAAGAAACATGATCGTGTAAGATATTTTAGGAGAAAATATGTAGACGAGCCCGAGTAAAGTATATAAAAGCACAAGAGTTTTTTTAGAAATTGGATTCAGCCTCACGCCTTATAGAACTGATTTTTGTCTCGATTTATGATTTAAGACTTGGTTTCAGACTGACTCCAGTAGTCTTTTTATTGTTCTCTATAATTGGCAGCCTTTTTTCCCGGGGTGTCGTTTCGGTATTTATGTATAGCAATATTTTTTTATGCACTGTATCTTTTAATTATTGCTATAAATTTATTAATGTAGTGTATAAAAACATATGTGATAAGAATTTCTTATATGGAATCCTGAATCTTTTCCAGCGGTTTTCTTCTTGGAATTCTGGAAACGGAAGGAGATAACATTAGCCTATCACTGGGACTGCCTAGGTTTCGAGTCTGAGGAGGAGAGACCACGCCCCACTTTTGCTGCACTTGCACCTACGGTCGAAAGAAACCCTATCACTGGAATAATGGAGCCCCACTTCCCAGAAGACAAGAGAAAACGTCGCTTGTTCTCTGGAATTATTGTCATCGTCACCATGGTAATATATCTATTTAAGATCATCACAAATAAAGGGGAAATTTGATTTTCTTCAAACTTTAGGCTGAGCATTTTGTACATTTCGGTTTGTCGTTATCAAGTCAAAGTGACTGCAAGAAGTTTCATTTTTCATGTACACAGTCTAAAAAAGTACCTTTGGCAATGTCATTTGAAGTGGACAGGCATGGCTACCCATTAACCTTTGCAAATGACAATACAGTAGCCACAATTGGATAGTGCCGTGGTGCCAAATAAACTATGAATCACAATTTTGAAACTAGAGCAAAATGCGCTTGTTGTGTTTACAGCCCATTCTTTAACTGTCGCAAAAGATAAACAAGAACTCGATTTAATATTTCTTATATTTCTATGTACACTAAACACGACAATTGTAGTGTACTTACTTGCCCAATTTCCTACTTCAGACTCAGAATATCCTAACAGAATTTTCCCATTGCATCAGCTATTCATTATCTAGGTATGTTTTAAGCAAATACCATTTCATGTGCACTTCTCTTTTTCTAAATGATTTTTCTTCTAGGTTTCTCTCGTGCTTATATTCATGATCGGAGTCATTGTCTACAAGCTTCTTGTATACAGACCCCTAGCCAAGAGTTCTCTGTCAGCTTCCCGTGCGCTTCAGATTGCAAATATATCAGGAGCCTTCTGTAACCTACTGTGTATCCTGATTTTATCTCGTGTAAGTATTTTTACATTGATTAATACTTGTTTCTCTTGATAACGTTTTCATTATTGCCAGAGTTTTACCTGAACATTTATGTAGAGATTTTTGGATATAGAAAGCGAGGGTAGAGAAAATAAAGATGGTAGGGAGAGTATATCAAGTAGGGTAGGGTAGAGCAGATTAGATAAGTTTAAAGTAGAAGGTTGATACCAGAGAGTAGAAAGTAGATGGAAAAGAGTAGAGGTTAGAAAGAAGAGAGTAGGGGGTAAAAGGAAGAGATAAGAGGGGAGAGAGTATAGTATATTGGATAGTGAGTAAAGAGAAGAGCATGAGAGATGAAGATGTCTGCTATTGATTGTTGTGTGAGATAAACTTAAGGTTACTTTTGGCAAAAAAGATAGCCCACAAATCGTCAATGGCGGTATGGCGGCTTTTCAAATGCGAAAGCTCGTTTGATTGATGTGTTTATAAGCTGAAGTAGTGCAGACAGTCTTTGCTATTGTTTTTTGCTGGTTTCGACTCTATTCTAGGATTCCTTATTTTCTTTTCTTTATTCAAACTCTTTGATGGTTGATTTTTGATAGTAATTCAATTATTTTTCATAATAAGCTTCATGCTTGCACTCTCTGCAGGTTTATGAGAAAGTTGCGTTGGCTTTAACTCACTGGGGTAAGTCTAGTAAAATCTGATCATATTTAAGTACTTAATGCTACAGTTTATAACGAACCCTTGTCAAAGGCCTTGACCTCAGACACTGTACATGATGTGATGGTTTCCCCTATAATAATATTTTGATATCGTCGCATTACTTAAGAAAACTAATAATTTACACGACTTTATGTACAATAGAAAATACTCTTTTTAGCACAAACCTCTTTTCTTTTGTTTGTCAATATATCCTATTCGTACAAAAATTTGTCGAATTATATTTTCGGGCGTTTTGCTCTATCTTTGGACAAAAATTTCCGGACTAAATTTTATTCTTTTTGTTAAAACTTTTCATTGGAACATTTGCAGTTTAATTTTACTGATAAGGAACTATGCTGTTTCTTGAACAAACCCTTTACATACTTTGTGTTATGCTATCTTTAGCTCGCAGACAGACACAGCAAAGATATCATATGATGATTATCAAATGATTCAGTGAAGTTGTGCGTGTTGTACGTCGAAAATGAAAAAAATTACAATAAAATAACGACTTTGTACAAGAAATGAATAAAGATATCGACAAACTCAAAAGACAATAAACTCTAATGATAAACTACGCGTTTATCCACTGATCAGTTGTTATATCTAAGGATTAGAGTCTTGGTCCAAATAATTAGACAGCCCCTGGATATCTACCTGATCTAGAGCTACTTTATGTAAAATCACGTTGGTTATATAGTAAAACAATATCTTTCGAAATATTTTTCTGAAAATTTATATAATGCTAGAAGAATCTGCCAATTTTGTTTGTGATTTTGGAGTAATTCCAAGATACCTTGGCCCAAAATTATCATGAGCATTTTTTGCAAGTCTTGCCCATCCATTCCAAAAATGAGAGAGATTGATTTTAAAAAAACGCCATTTTCCTGTGCTAGCTTCTTAAGAAGCTTTTATAACTTGAGAAGCTTTTATAACTTGAAAAGTAGTGATTTTGTTTTATTAACCTATTTTAATGAAAAACCTTTAATCTAAGCTATATTCAATCTTATCCTGGGCGCTAGAGCCTTTAGAATAATAATCCCACCCCACCCCTGTGTTCCTTTTCTTTGTTGAGGGAGACTCTGGACCCAGGGTAACAAAAGCACAAATTATCTTTTTCATTTCCTGGTGCTTTTCACCTCACTTTTGACTAAGACTTTCGTGGTGACAAATTTGGCCAAACTGATTATTTTTCGCTCGATATGCACCTCTACTTGTCCGATGAAGAATTTACCACGAAATTAATTTCCTTTACTCGAAGACGTTTAAGAATGCTGTCAATAAACTGCAATTTTAGGTTTTTTGCAATGCAGAATTCTGTTACAAACTGTTCCCTTCCTCATTTCAGAGATGCATCGAACGCAAACCGAATATGAAGATAACCTGACGTTCAAAGTTTTCGTCTTCCAGTTTGTAAACTTCTATGGCTCAATTTTCTACATTGCATTCTTCAAAGGAAAGTAAGTGAAATTATTAAATATATTTTCCTGTAATAACACAATGTACTTATTTATGCTTTGTCATGAAATACTCCAAAGATTTCAATAGCTTTGAACGTCTACTTGTATTCTGTTAGAGTTTTACGTTATCTGCTTTCGTAAAGGGTGTATTTTTATGAATTTTTTTTGTAATGACTGTGTATTATGGTAAATTTTTAACATTGATCAAATTATGATGGATCGAACAATGCTGATATAAAAGCTACTTCTGCATTTTCTCACAGCAGCAGGCAACGTAAACCGCTGTTTTTCATTATTTTTCCAATAGTAAAATTGAAAGGTTTATGTTTGACTTTTATTTTGATATTGAAAATATGATTCGAAAATACGAGTAATTTCCAGCTGGTACTTGGACACGTGGCAATATGAAGCTGCTGTTTACGCTTATTTAATTATAACCATTTTTCATTTTGTAGGCTTATTGGGTATCCTGGAAATTACAAGAAGCTGATGGGTTTAAGGCAGGAAGAGGTAGGCAGGGTCATAAAATCACCGTGCAACCAACATCTTAAATTAGTATTCAATTCCAAACTCTAAATGATTTCAACGCATGTAAGAAAATAATCTATTAACGAATTGTATTTATTGTTTATTTCCTTTTTTGCTAACTTTTGTAAAGGGTGTTTTTTAACCTAATAACTAGTGAAAAGTTGACCCCACCCCAATGCAATTCATTTAGTTTAGACAGTAGACTATTGTCCCTTTTATCTCAGGACATAAGCGCAACATCCGCAGATAAAGTCCTATTCAAATTTTAACAATGAAAATGATTAATGCTACATGCATAGAAGACTCAACAAAATTAGAAGTTGAAGACTTTTATTCAGTAAGGTCTAAAACTGGGTTCAATCTAAATTTTCGTGAAAACTGCCTAGCTAAATTCTAGCTTGTTTTGGTGAGGTTTATAGCCAAATAGTTAGAAGCAAATATCGAGCATAACCAATCTTGCTTCTTTGTCTTTGGTGTCAATTATATGATAATCATAATTTTTTTCCTTTTAAGTACAGTATAAACCTCACTATTTCAACATAAACTTTGGCTTTCTGGCTTTCTTTTACGTCCTGTTGTCGCTTTTTGGCTTTCTGTTACGTCCTCTTGTCATCATGTTGTCATTTCTTTTCTCGAAGTGTGGACCTGGTGGATGCCTCATTGAACTTGCCCAGCAACTTGTCATCATCATGGTTGGCAAACAGCTGATTGGAAATATCCAAGAGATAGCTATTCCGTAAGATATTTTCAATAAGTGTTTCTTCCAATTTGTATGTTTATCATTCAAATAAAGAAGGATAACTGTTTGTTGAATCAGTTTATGCACGCCTTCTACTTAAATTGGGAATATTTTGACAATTTTAAAAATTCAAATATTTTTTGCAGTTTGATTAAACAAAAGCTACAGAAAAGAAAGCGAGGAAAGTCAGATGTGGACAAGCCTAGATGGGAAGATGACTATGAGCTGGCTGAAAATGAAGGTCTTTTTGCAGAATATTTAGAAATGGGTATGTCCAGACTGATATTGTTAATCAGCGAGCTAAGATTTTAAAGGGGTGGCGCCAGAAATTCAAAAAGGGAGCTCACCCATCCCACTAGAGCTAGACAACCAACCAGAGTTCCTCTAGTTTAGATCAAACCAATTCGTTTTATCAAAAAATCTAGCATATAAAATCCTGATCAACTATTTGTCTCACATTCTAGTAATCCAGTTTGGTTTCATTACAATCTTTGTGGCTGCATTCCCTTTGGCTCCATTTTTCGCTTTGGCCAACAACATCTTCGAAATTCGCATCGACAGCAATAAACTGGTTTGCGAAACTAGAAGGCCGATTGCAGAAAGAGCTCAGGATCTTGGAGTTTGGTTCAATATTCTCGAGGCCGTTGCGAAAATTGCCGTTATTAGTAATGTAAGCAACACATATTTGATTGAGAACCAACTCATTTAAAAATTTTGAAATTTAGTTTTGCATCAGTTTCCCAGCATTAATTCAAGATGGCAAGAAATTTTCGGTGAGGGGGCAAGGCAAACAGGTTTCCACAAAATATTGTGGCTAGTGATTCTGTGAGCAAGTCAAAAATCTAGCTATTAATCAAACTCTATCCAAGCTTTCAGCTGTTTGGAAGCACTTTTGAAATTTTTACCACCGATGTTTTACTCGCGAAGAATATAAATAAATTGAATGCAATGTCAACATTGGTCCTAGTTTACAAGCAAAGACAGAAGTGAGAAATTTTACAACTGAGCTTAGTGACACGTTTTGCCTCTCTGTAGCTACGCCACTGGTGATTCAATGTTTCAGAAGTTTAAGATCTGTTAGTGTTTCAATGTTCCCGCGAATTTTCAACATAAAAACTATTAGCAATGACGTAAATACAAATTCGATCATTCCAATTTTTGGATTTTTACTTTTTATTGTAACTAGCATCGAAGATTTCGAGGCAATAATTCTCCATGTTATTTATATTAATTCTTTTTGTGCCATAGGCCTTCCTGATTGCTTTTACCTCGAATTTTCTCCCAAAATTACTCTATCGCTACAAAATTTCTAAAGATGGATCATTGGAAGGCTATCTCAACTACAGTTTGGCTTTATCTCCCAAAAATGCTACTTTGCTTCCGTGCAGGTAACATTGCTTGATAATTTCATATTCAGAATACATATTTTATTGCTGTTAACTAAGTTTTTTTATTTTAAGGCAGGGTGTTTCGTCAGCCAAATTTATGCCTTAAGCTATCCAATATTTACTTTCTAAACAAATATTGTTATCAGACCATTCAGTCAAAACAAATTGTCGATTCTCAGAAAAAAATTTTCTAAATTTCTTAAGCTTTTAATCATTTAAAAATTGTGTTGTTTCTATTTATTTTCATGAAGTTTATTCATTTTTATGAGACAATTCAAGAGTACAAATAAGAATATAGAGCAAAGGGCATTTTTATTTCTTGGAAAGCTTGATCATAAAGTAGATAATCAGCACGGCGACCAAGAGGGATATACTTTTGAAATTTATCCAACTGATGACTAATCCGTTGTCAGTCGATAAATTTACAAATCGGTGGGTTAGTTATGATCAGTTTGGTATAATCAGTAGACAAAAGTCGTTTAAACATTATCAGTTAGACAACAATTACGTTTTGACTCTATCTGGAGTCATCTTCAGTAAAGTCTGTAAAAAGCAACAATTTTACTTTAAATAGGAAAGGATTAAACAACGAGGATCGTAAATCATGTGACCTAGGAGCATTTTCATAGTAATGTCAGATTTTTAAAAAGTAAAAAGTAAAAAGAAAGTAAAAAGAAGAAAAAGAAATAAAAGTTGAGTTTTGTTTTGATACATCTGACCGAAAGCCCAGATAGAGCAATTAAAAGCAACAATTGCAAATATGTTTTTTGTAATAATGTTACTAGCTCGTGTAATAATTTCAGCTTTTTGTGCATATTTGCTTGTTGTCTCTAACGGCACGAAGTTATGGTCGTCCGGTTTCTTTCGTTATTTCATCTTAAATTTGGTACTCCTTTCAAACTTAAAATTTTGTGTTTAGCGCTTAATTTCAAAAGAAAGTTAATGCAGCAGAGGCTAGAAGCAATGGCGCCCTTCCATTGATAAAGTTTTGATCATCCTTTAGCAACCATTAGATGAGTTACTGTATCAATCATTTAACACCATACTGTTCTAAAGCTTCACGCTACACTTGATACTGAAGCAGCAAAAGATCACATGCAATCCGATTGTGCTTATAAATGGCTGCTCTAGCATCTAGGCTATAGCTTTTAATCTACTTTTCTACAGGTTGTTATCAAAAACTGGGATCAGAAAATGCTTTTTATTTTAAAACAGTACCATTGAAGATCTAGTATTAAATACTGGAAGATTGAAACATTGATATATGCAGCGTGATAAAGTAACTTGTAGGTAATTCTTTTTGTGTAACATCTTCAGAATCCAAAGATTGTGTAACATTTTAAACTTTGTTTAATCTTCTTTAGATACAGAGATTTCCGCCATGATAATGGGCATTTGACAGCGTTTTATTGGCATCTGCTAGCTTTGAAGCTTGGCTTTGTCATCATTTTTGAGGTATGTCTTAGAAACCATATTTCATTTACAGTTTCTTTGATAGAGAAGCTTCCATCCTTTATGCATTCCTCCTCTTTATGACAACTGACAACTGGGCCTTAGATATATGAAAAAACAGAGTACAAAAACGTGATACTGCAATTGCGGCAATTAAGCTAAGTGCGCCGTTCAATAGGACAAAGTATATCCGCGTTTTTTCCGGCAACTTTGAAACAACAATCTTGCAGATTTATATGCGCTGCATTGTCCATGCTACTTTAATAAGCAAAACAATATTGTTCGTAGATTTTGTCTTCTGATTTTAAGAAACTTTCATCCGCAACAGAACCCTCTTCGCACGACTTCTTTCCCGCACGTAAACGCCGTCATATTACAGAAAGCATGTTTTAATGTACCTCTTTGTAGCAGTTTTGAACCTGATATCAAAAACACCCTTTTTTGCTTTTGAACTAATATTACGAAAGCAAATGGATTTATCTCTTATTTCTGTCTTGTAATTAGTTTGTTTTCAGTTTTATACCATTTCAATTGCAAATCATGATTTTCCATGACCCCTGGAAAACCAGCTTGTGCTGACGGGGTTGCCATCATAACCTTGCTCAAAAAGTATGAAATGAAAGAAGCCAATTCAAGGGGTCGATTTAAGGGTAAACGAATGCTAGAATGGCCTGATTTTAATGGCCCTCAAAGGATAAATACATAGGTGGAATTAAAGCTTCTTTGTTTTCTTGCTTACAAGATTGGTAAAGAAGGGGATGGTGTAGGTGAGTTGGGATGGGATTTGAAATGGGATTTGAGACCTGGTAACCATGTTTGTAGAGAACGACAGACAATATAACTGATCGCGTGTTCGAATTCCGCCCTGGTCTTGTAACTTGCTCGTATTGCTTCTCGGAGAAAATTGCAGAAGAATGTGAAAACTACAGCTGTACCAAACAAGCAGCCGTTCTTAATGACTGTTTTCTGGAATCTAAAGCCAGATATACCTGTTCAATACTAGTAAAACAATTAAGCAATATTCCCAGGATGCTCTTGATTACAGAAGAAAGACTGTACAATATACGTGACGTGGACAGCTTGTAAAAGTATAGTTCTATTGTTCTTCAAGGAAGAAGGCATTTGATAGTTAATGAAAGACGAGGAAATTTTTTAAAAATGGAGCTATAATATCTAGATATTTCTTAGCATCATTTATATCACATCGAAATACCCCAATATTGCAGGGATGTGCTATCCGCAGTACGTATTATTGGTCCTCGTAACATAAATGCCTGCAATTGTTTGTTTCCCTTCCTTGTAAAACATCGATGTTTTAAAATTTTTATAACAATTAATTAGAAATTCTAGCTTCCTCTTTTATCATTCTCCAAAAAGGGAAATTGGTCTCAATTCTTCTGGATTTTGGAAAATATCATCGTGTGATATAAACTCTCCTTGATAGAGAGTTAAAGATGAATCGGAATTGCTTCATAGTTAGGAGACATTGGGAAGTAATTTCGTACTTAAAGTCAATTTGAAGAAACTTTGATTTCATGGAAGGCCTCTCTGTGAGATTAAGAGAATGAAAGGATTTCTTATCTTTTAGCATTTCGTATTTGCAACACACATACTGATCGACTTCTTGGTACCAGATATCCCAGAAAGCCTTGACATCGCAATCAAACGAGAAGCCTACCTTGCTAAACGAGCCATGTCTGGTGGCCATGCCCTCGCTGAAACAGAGGATGAACTCGATGATAAAAGCATAGAGGGAAAGTTATAGTATTAAATGCATTGCACGTGTATGTGAGTTCTCAGAAGCTACAATCTCGACTTTTTTTCTACAGAATTGATGTCAAATCCCCTTTTCTGTCATCTCGGCGTTTTCCTGCTCTCGCGACATGAATGCACTATTTCTTAAGAAGCATTACAAAGACGTAGTTTAAGATTTTTGTAATGATTATCTCATTGGATAGCATTCTAGTCCCTGGACCTTACTTCTAAATTTTTGTGTCATTGTAACAAGAAAGTAATATAAAATAGTAAATTTCTTATTGATGCATATTTCTTTCAAGTCAAAGTATCAATTATATATTTTTTTCTACATTCAGTTTTCTATATTTTTGACTGCAGCTAGAAATAGAACCAATGCTGATTAGGACTGAGTTTCCTGTTTCTTTGCCCCTTCATATTTCTAAACCCTCTTATTTCTTTTTTAACTCTTATCACCCTTTCCAATCTTTAAGGATCTTCATGTACACATAATATTTGATTCTTTACAAGAGTAAAACCTCCCAGCTTATAGTTAAGGACCAATTTTCTTAATGCATCCAAATTGCCCATAACCTGATATACAGGCCATTGTGCATCTAAATGGATCAATAATATAAACTTGATTGCACTCAAATTGGACGTAGAAATTGTTTTAATTGACACACAAATCTGGAGAAGTACGACGTGAAAACAGGCGAAATTAGTTTATACTTAAAGAAAAAACTTTGCCGGAATTCGAGTAGAAGTTTTGGAATGTGTAAAAATTTATTCGCTAGACTTTTCAGTGACAATGACTTGTATTTATAATACAGTTTTGAAAAGTTCATCATGTTAACTGCAAGTGAGTAATAAATCAGAGATGTTCAAGCCTATATTGCACTTGATTGTTGCTGATCAATTTTATGATAGCAGCAAAGACCTTTCGTTGGGGGGGGGGCATCCCTGACAATTAAGTGTAACAACAACCATATTTTACAAACTAAAAATATTTTACTTATGCTACTTGCGTTTTTTGGGGGACAAGGTCCTTTGATATCAGGAAAGAAGCATGTTACAGATTAACATCAACCAAGAGAGAAAGACGTTTACCAGGAAAAAGCTAGCCCATACTTTGGTATACAATTCCCATTCTGCCGATGTTGAGCGGTGAATCTCGGCATAATACAACGTAAAGTCACGTTCAAGGATTTGCCTCTTAAGAACAACAAATAGATACTTATAGGCCGACAAGAAAATGCCGGTTAAGAAAATGTTATGTATGTTCCAAGGCCAACATTTGTCGATTTATCAGTGGGAAAGATCGTCGCCAAAGGGATACCCCAAGAGCAGAATAACAAGAATGGTCTTATTAAGTGTTTTACACATTCACGCGATAAAGATTCACAGGATGTTAAAAATGGATATGTTTTTTAGTAATAAATGTTTTTTAACGAGTACGTATATCTAGCAAAAAGAATTGTGATAAGTATTTTACCATTTCAATGTGGTTTATCATTTTTTTTTGTGACTGTTATAATAACAATATTAACATTTTATCAGTGCACAAATTGATTATCACTGCATGTTAAATAAGGCCCTGAACATAAATATTTAAATCATGAATTAAATCAATTGTCCTCCATAGAAACGAAAGCTATATGCTGTTTAAATTTCGTCCTTTTCCGCAGAAATTGCGCAATGTTTTTACACCTGATAAAAACAAAGATTTAGCATCGACGAATTAAATATGAAAATGGATCCTGTCCTATAAAAACATCGCTGGGGTAGTTTTGGATCCAAATGGGATGCAGCTAGAAAAAATAGTTATTATGTCAGGTTTTTGTGTGATATAAGGACCCATATTCCGTGCCAAATTGTCCATGTAAGAAGTAGGCTCTCCTGTATTGATGGGGTAACTAATACACTCATTTTTTTTATAAGAAACAAAGGTCGATGTTGAGTACTCCAGTTTCTTAATGTTCTGGAAATTTCAATACTCACTGTTTCTTAAGAGTTTCTTAATTATGATGTCATGAATGATGTTATGAAATCTTTGTGACCTTTTTTAACACGTCAAGAGATTCCCTTCCGTTCCGATGCTGTATTTGGATGTGGGAAGTATATTTTTATCCCTTGTATCTTAAGTTCTAGGCCAACAGGACAATCATGTTCTTAGATTTTACAAAATTTCGTTGTTCTCAGTTTTATCACGATTTAATAGTTTCTTATTTTGTTTGCTTCGAGTGCTGAAGTTTCTTAATTTTTTCTGACTGTCCAGTACTCGTTTCTTAAAGCCAGTTCCTTATAAAAAAAATGAGTGTATTATTTTCCCCATAATTCGTTGTATTTGCATTTTCTGGCGAAAATGTATTGTTTCAGATGCTTCAACCGTTGGTTGAAATGCAAATTTTTTTAATATGATAGGAAATACCCCCTAAAGATGGTACTTCCAGCTATTAATACCTTTTCAAGTTACCACCCACACCCTTTCCCTGAAAAATGAATCATCGCGATTTGCAAGCTGGTGTGAGGATTTGCCAATTTTTTACACTTACCTCCTCGACAACAGTTGTTTTGATAACTTTATCAGCTTTCCGTTTGTGTCCGTTCATTCTCCTTTTGATAAGAAAAAATAAACACGTTCTTTACATTCTCTCAGCAAGAAATCTGTCGCTATGGAAATTACTTGGCCTTGACTATCGGGCGTTGATGAGTAGAATCTTACAAACGCTAAATACGATCGCTTAGCGTTATGCTAATTTACAATATAATGGGAGACACTTGAGCAGGTGCATCAAATGCTACAAATAAACAGCTCATCGATGATTGGCTAAACCCCGCGAACTTCCCCTTTTGATTGGTTAACAGCTCACTCTATTATTTCTACGCGTATTTGATTGGCTGATTGGTAGGCCAGCGAAGCCCTTGCAAATATGTGTATGTTGGGCAGGTAGCTTTGATCGGTGGAAAAACACTTCAAAATTATTTCAAAATATTGTCTTTCTAGTGAAACCAATATATAATACCAATGAATGTAAGATACAAATAGCACTTTGATGAGCGAAATTGCTTAAAGGAATGGCAGATGATAAAATCCCGCTTGGCCAAGCAGAAGCAATGGTGAGTTCATTTATTGTCCTGAAAACAAATTTGACTCCTGTTCAGAATGAAAGAAAAATTTAGTAAATTATTTGAGTCTGTTTTATTAAATGATTTGACAGTAAATAGATCTTGCTCGCAAGCACCATATGATATCATGCCGAATAAGTGGTTTGTCGATTGGCTACTTGCTAGGCCTGCGTCGACCTGTTACATTCATATCTTGAGTGGTTGTAGGGTTATTGAGATATCCTGCATACCTTACCTCGCTCGATTTTCTACTGTAAACCCATGATAACATGGAACTAGACAAAGATAATTTAATGTCAAGCGCAGAAAAAATTCCATTTTGTGGAGTATATGTAAGGCGGGCCAATGGAAAAGTGTTCCTGCCCTTATTTCTTTTCAATCGCTCGTTTCTTAAATGTTTGGTTTATGGCTAGTGTTACAGTTTGTTTGAGAAATATAAGAATTTAAACAGCCCAATCTAGTAGAAAGGAGTTATTGTGTTATAATTATGTAATTTCATACATATTATAACGACCTTTATAGAATTATCAGAGTATTGTTGAAACAGTTTCTTTTGTAAACAATGATTTTCAAGTCAAGGCTCGGTCGCTTTATTTTCATGATATGATGCCAGTATTTCTTACCTTTCTGTAAACGTAACCTCTTGACATTTTAATCAGTAAGCTGGCTGTCGTTTTGGATCCAAAAATAAGATTCAAGTGCTCATGTCTATAAGCTGTGCAAACAAGCTCCTATTTGTATAGATTACCAAAATATTTGTTTGGAACACTGATCTTAGTCAAAATAATCATAAACAGTGTGGATAACAACATTGACAACTTTTTAAAATTTTGATGATCACCCAGGTACATAAAAAAGTTGCATAAAATGGATTTCCATCATGAAGCAAAATTAGGAATAAAATGATAACAAAGATTTATTGATCTTGCTCATTTTTCTGCATTTAATATTTATATCTACTTTGTCAACAATCTGTAGAACTCTGGTTTTATAAATAAAGCTATTGATTATTGAATTGCCAGGTTTTAAGAACACATTAGAATATTTTGCTATGAAAAAGCAACAAGATGTAACGTTTTAGATGTTGTTCTAAGAAGTTAACCTTTACTAAAAGTTAAAAAGCTGATTATTTGGCTGGTTATGGGTAAAAATTTCTGGATTGACATATTTAGAGTGATACATAGAAGGCAATGTCTTGTATTGCCAGACCTGACCATTGTGGCTATTTGCATATTCCCACCCTTATAAGGTTTCAAGAAGATTTGCTACCCATAATAGCATTAGAATGTTTAATAATCTAAAAATCTGTTGTACAATGAGAGTTTCCACATTATTGAATATATAAATTACTTATTATGGTATGGTTTATGGAAGACTTTTCTCTAGTTTGCGAGCTTTGATTAAGGTTGAGTGATTAGGTATTCATTTTTAATGACCCAAATCATCATTCAGGCATTTTGATTTCTTTCTGAATATTGAAATTTGTTTTTAGATAATAGGCTCAAAAATTTTCAAGCTCAAATGTGTTTTAACAACCATGAAAAATATATTCCATTAACTCAACACAAGTCAAAATTCAAACTTTATTTGCCAATTTCATTTTCGGCTCTGAATTCATAAGATGGTCACAAACTGATGTTGTCAGAAATGATTGTCATTTTAAGCTGGGAAAGTATTTGGTTTCATTCAATGTTTCATTTAATTATGATGGAATATTTTCTAATTGCCTCAAAGGCTAGAAAAAACATGATAAATGGTTGACTCAATAAATCAGAAATGTGATCAAGAAAAACTATACTCCAGTGATAAATTGTAAAGTCACAAGGTACCAAATTCTTACTGCGTTGATACCTTTTGAATTCAATAATTTGCAAAGATTTTGTGCAGTATGTTGGGCTCTTATACACAGCAGCTAGAAATCTTAGCTCTCTATCAGCTAGATTTGTCCATGTTATGAAATTCAATTACAACTAGAAGTGGCTACTGATTTACAAAGCAGCTCCTTAAGGAAACAAGAAAATTAAAAGAAACTTGAGGCAAATGATGTTTCGTCAACTTAACTTTTAATCATTAGATATTTTTCTTTTAGTTAGAGCTGATTTGAATGGTGTTGTAAACTTTCTTGATAAGATTTTGGACAAGCAAAATAATAATGTTTTTGGCAGGTTTCAGAAAGTAAACATTGCAATCACACTGCTTTTGCTGATGATTGATACCATGTTTCAGTCAAAGAATGTTTATCTTATTGATATAATAAATTTTATATATTTTACCATGCTTGGCTAAAATTATGTTACAGTTATTACTATTGATTTTTTAAAGATAGATAGTTGTATCTTTGTTTAGTTGCCTTTGTATAATCCAAAATGCTGAAGGTTTTAAGAACTGTAAAAATTCAAGGCTTCTGATGAGGGGGTAATTTGAAAAGTAATATATGTCCCACAATGTCCTTCATGACACCCTATAGTGCCACCCTTTCAAATAATGGCAGCTTTAGGGTAAATCCCTATTTTAATGATAAAGAGTAAAATTTTCCATTTTTTATCTTATCACAAAAAGCTGTCAATATATCAGTACTGAATATTGGCAAGCCCTGAATATTGGCAACTATGATACAAGGGGGTTCTTAAGCCCCATAAACTTCGGTTAGTTATCAAGTTTAACTACCAATGAAGAAAACAGTTTTGGTAACACAAGAGGCTACCTCGCCCTACTTTTTTGTGTTTGGATGCCCAGTACAGAATCAATTGAGAAACAAGTAATATCAATGTAAGCGTTAATTTTTGAATTGGTCAAGATAATCAATTTTTGGGAGATTAAATTCCTTGTTTGGGTGTGCTTCAATCAGTTATGCAAAAAGAGCTTTTATCATATCAAAAAGAATTTTTAAACCTTTAACAAAGAGCTTCCTGAGATGTCTGTCCCATGCTAAGTTTTGTACAATGAAAGACATTTAGGAATTCCAGGATCCCTGGGTAGGATTTAGCAACGCAGGTGCTAAAGTTGTTTACACCTACAAAATGATAAAGCTACTCAGTTGAATGAGTTTTAAAGAAGAAATTATTTTTTATTATTAGTAATGCTTTGCATGAGTAGACAGTACATAAAATTTTTTAGAATATCAAAGTTAACAAAAGTTATCATGAGATCACAAGATCTCGAAGCTTCTGTCACCCACTGTCACCTTTATCCTGGTTCAGATGATATTGCCTGATTGGAAGATTAGAATATTTGTTTGTCAACTGTAGTTGATATTAATTAGATAAACCTTGCAATGATTCTTGAACATATCCAAATAGCGGGTAGCAAAACTTATTAAAATTTCAATGTCAAATAGTTTCACATCAACTCCCAGCGAGCAGCTATTGTGGTTTTTGTTTTCAGGGAATAGATGGACAGACTTGACTAAGGTTTTTTAAGCGTTCATAATTAATTTTTTTTTAAATGGCGTTGTTAGCAAAGGCGTTAGCCTGAAATTTTGTTTTATCTTGTATATCGCAACTTTTAAGACCCTTTTTTAACCGACACTCCTCAGATAAAATCGTCATAATAAGGATCAAAAATGGGAAGTTAGAAAGCTAGCGGTTTTCATGTAACGTATTTCGACGTATTTCGCATATATTAAGATTACTTCGTTATATGAAAACCGACCAAATTATATGAAAACCACCTTAGTACAAAATCCTTATAGAACGTAATTCATCGTAATTCATCGGAAGAAGTAAAAAAAACTGTTCTACCCTACAAAATACGTTGAATTACGATGAAATGCGCCGAAACACGTTATATGAAAACCAGCCTTAAAGAATGAGGCAGTTAATATTTTCTCATTGTGAAAAGTGGGTTTTAAAATCAGTTTTACGTATGCTTGTAAAACAATATCATTGAAAACTGAAACTGAACTAAAACTGAAAATAGATTTTAATATACTTTGAAGTAAATATCGGACAAGACCAAATTATGATCCTAGGGAAGGCAGAAGTCCGTCCTTCATTGATACTTTTTTGTAGGCCTAAACATTTTTTTAAAGGAGCCGAGGGATGCTGGTTCTTGTTATTAATAAGACGGTAGCACTAGTCGAAATAAAGCTTGTAGATTATCTTAAAAATAAGATAACTGAGATAAAGATGAATAAATCGACAATTGGGGTTATAGTATAGAAGTTCGGTAAAATAATTATCTTAATCAGAAAGTAAATATAAGTCTTGTGGACAGTGGCATGAATAGGGCAGTCGGGGTCCAAAGGGATTTTTCACTTCGGGGCCCCCTATTTTAAGCATTATGCCACTACTTGTGAGTGTGTATATCAATCTATCATTGTTAAAAGGTTCCTGCGGGTAGGCCTTTTCAGGCCTGTTTTTCTATCGTTTTGCTAATGTACAGTAAAATGCAATACATGCAGTCATCTCATAAGATTCTACGCTCCATTTAACTGCCTTTGTTATTTACTGATTTTTGTTTTGGGTGTGGCTCGTATCACGGGGTGTGACCTGTAGTATAGCATGGGGAAGGCACGTATTGCTAGGAAAGGTAAATACATAGTAAAAGCCATCTATATGAAATAATTGTATCTAGGCAATCTAGTCCTGTAGAGTTCCTTGTTCATTTGTGTTTGGTTGGTATGAGAACTGGTGAATGAGTACACATGTTTTACGCTTGACTGGTCATGGGTCGGCAGGCGAACAATTTATTAAAAATGGCGGCATTGAACGAGTATTCTCATGAAGCGAATTTTCTGCTGTTTAGCTCGTGGATCTTATAAGGATTTTATAAACGGTGAGAAAAAATTTATAATTTGCATCAAAATGAGAACATTATTTATTAACTCGTCAGCAAAGTGGCCGGTGATAAGAAAAAAACCACAATATAAACACAATAAAATGTACGTTGTTTGCATATTCTCGCCCAAAGCATTACGAAACTCTTTTTACTTTCGTACTTCTAATATGATAAATTGATGTATAATTCGTGTTTTGTGAGCTGCTTTTTAGGCTAATGTTACTACTCGTCTTTTATTTATAACAGTAAAGAAATTCAATATATCTACAATGTTTTGAATTTTTCCACCTGAACTTTTGCCTTTTACGCAGTTAAATATGGCTTTAAAAGTATTGAAATCAGTGAAGCTTAACAAACTATGAATTTCCTCTTCTGATTTTAATTCAATTTGATTTAGAATTATTGTGCTCACATCTTCACCAATCGGCACAGATAAATATGGCCTAGCGTGGAAACTATAGATTGCTGCAAAGATTTCCTTGAAATAATCTCAGGACTGCCATCTTATGAATAAACTTAAAATTCCACACCTTCGTGAAAATATTTATCATTTCAGTATGAAGTTTTGTTTTAACTTGGTATATCCTGCATGTCAGAAAAAAGGTTTAACTTATCAGATCTATGTTGCCTAGTTACACAAGATTCTGAGTTGCATTAAGCAAGCAAAGACAACCGCCGATAATGAACATAAATATACTAGATTGCGTGCGGTACAATATAATTATATAAAAACGATGAATAGGCCTTAAGCAGTAGCAAGTAAGCCTTGCTGTTGTAAAGTGTACTTATCTTTCTTTCAATTTTTCATCTTAATTCATTTAAGACGGATTCCTTGTAGTACCACAGTAGTACCACAAGTATTATTACCATGGAACCGCAGTAGTACCGCAAGAAGTATTTCAAAACGTTTCTTTGTTAAGAAAGATATTTTGTCTTTATAGCTTTCTCTTGATTAATTTGTTAACAAGCTTCCGAATGCTGTATTACCAAAGACATCATTTTTGACTTAGAAATTTCTTTTTTTCTTAGGAATTGACAAACAGAGGTTACAACACCTTTGGTGATGGAGTGCCTAATGGAAAATACAAGGTTTGTTGCTTTTTTATGCCATACCCTTTTGTGCCATACCCTTTTAGGCCATACCCTTTTAGGCCATACCCTTTTGTGCCATGCCCTTTTGTGCCATACCATTTTATGCCATACCCTTTTGTGCCATACCCTTTTGTGCCATACCCTTTTGTGCCATACCCTTTTGTGCCATACCCTTTTAGGCCATACTCATACTCTTTTATATAAGGCTTTCATATAACCTAAAAATCCTTGCTGAATTATAAGGCAATATGTCGTTGATGAAAGTGACAGGCAATGTGTCGTTTGTAACCACTTGCCTATGAGGTTTGCGGAAAGCTTTATTCTATGGGCTAAACCCACTGGATATCAGCCCCGGCAACTATTTGTTTAGAATTCCCTGACTCTCTACATGGCAGTCAGCAAAAGCTAAATTATAGTTCTGAATTCTATAACATTGAAATTGTCTTTCAATTCTTGCACTGGACTTTCAACGCATCTTACTCTTAAATTGATGCCCAAAGTTCGAAGACAAGCTTAAAATCATTATTAGGACAGCTTTCCAATTCTTGTTTTATCAAGCTGGTTTTCGGCAAATATTTGATATTATACATATTATTCTATGTATTATTTTGCGTTTGTTAAGGCTGGTGCTTAACATATTTTGTATTACCTTGAATCGCCTAACTTTCCCGTGCTAAAGTCGGAGAATAATTATACTAGTTTTAATTGTTATTGACCGTAAAAGAGTCTCCATTTTGTAAGGCTCCATTCGTTTATATTAACAAAGTTATGTTATGAAGCTGTATAAAATTTTCTTGTTTTATTTAATTCTTAAAATTTTTCATGTATTCAAATAAGCCGTGACGTTGCAATAAGCTGATTTGAATTCAGGGACGGACACCTGGGAGGCGTGGTAGACGGTCGCCCCCCAAAAGTTTTGAGGACAATGGACTTTTCCTCTAAAACAATGCGAAAATTTGACGTCATCCCATCAAAACATAGGTCCTCCCTCCAATATTTGACCAAGTGTCCGCCCCTGTTTTATAAAGTGTTTGTCCCCCCTGTTTGTGTGTAAAGTTGCTCTCTAACCCACTTCAAACTCTGTAAGAAGGGTTCAGTGTCCATGCTAGCGGACTGTAATGGTAAAGGCCACACAGTTTTCGATAAATTTTTCAAGTATACTTTTCAGAGGACTAGGAACAGTTCAACGATTCAAGCAGAAATCAGACTTGGAAATGAACTTGATACAATGATCTCTTCTATTCACCAGCCAGAAATCGTTCTGGTATTCAAAGGTGGATCAATTTTTACAGGCCTTGCTATGAAATATTATCTGAAAATCATTCTTCTCGATCATATAAGCTCGAAAGCACTGCCATCTGTTTTTAATCTCTCCTCGAATCCTAGATAATTTTGAATTATCATTAAACAGATGCAACAAGATTCGTATTTCAATTTCAGGGCATTGATGATGAGGACATGAGTGGCGAAAGAGGTTGTTATTTTCGGGATGGCCTCCGAAAGATTGGTAAGCTCAAATTCCTTACAGTAGCTTACTGTTTTTTATTGAAGATCGTATCTTTAATATTCTCTATTTGATTTTATCGTCCTCGCAATAGGCAGGCCTAGAAAACCTCAAATATTCTGTCTGGATAAAATTTTAATTTGATTTGTACCAATTTGTTTACGTTCGGCGATTTGCGATATCCTTATTTTTTAATAAATACTTCATCAGAATTATTTACTAGGGAGTTTCACTGAGTATTGTGTCTTTGGCAAAACTGTATTTTTCAATTCTTTTTCCCATTGGATCAAGGGACATATATTTGGTATTGCCTAAACGACACTTTTTTCTTATTATTTTATTTGAATTCCTAAATTCAACTCGTTTATTCACAATTTATGATTTAATAACTTTTTGAAACTGCAAAATTTGAAGATGGCATCAAAATAGCGGAAACATGTATAAGATAATATTTTAAAGCAACAGTATTTAATTTAAGTAAACTTGTTCCTCTGTCATATGATATTTAGATAACATTTTATCGCACATCTTCTTGTGCCATTTGCAGAAGAAATTAATTGGACCATTGCCCTGTTTAAACTAATAATTCGCTGAATTTTTTGGATCCAATGTTTTTTGCATATTGACCAGCTGCTCAAGATTCTACTCAAATCTCTCCAGCGTCATCTTGAAATAATTTGACTATTCAATTTTGATTAAGTGACTTTTCATTTCGCAGACTTCATTCTTGTTTACACGGAGGACAATGAAAAACCAGCTGATCCGAAGCATTTGGAGTACAGGGAGAAATTTCTTGCAAATTTGAGAAAATCCCATTTAGATATGGAGGAGGTAAGATGCACGGAAAAGATTTGCCGGCATCTTTGACTAATGCCTTTGAATAATTTATTTCCTAACATATTTCGGTTGTAAAAATGAAAATGACTGTTTAATTATCGTTGTATAGCTGTTTGTTAAATAGCCAAGTGTAATTGTAAATTGGGTTTCAAATAGCTCAAATAGTTGCTTTATAATTTATGTTTAACAATTTTACAAGGTTCTGTAAAGAAAACAGCAAGCGCGTCGTCCCGCGGTTATGTTGCTTGCCCGCGAGTTTAAAGGTTGCACGAAACACTGACTGGATTCACAAAAAAAGCATTGAAAATAGTCTCTTTAAATATCAATCAAGTACCGCCTGCGCCCCTTGTATTGTTTATTGTTCTTTAGCGGTTCATGCGTTTTCCGCTTGTGAAATATTATTTTATGTGTTGTTGAGTAAATATTCTATGGCAGAAATTTTGAATGTCCATAATGTTACGTTATGACCATTGTACTTTAGATTTGAATCAGTACATATCTTAGAAAATGTATGTTATCTAATCTAATCATTTGCCTATACAAGACTACTGTAAAAAATCCTTTCTTTACAACATTTTACACAGATATACAACTTCGGATTCTGTTTTAATTTCACAGGAAGTCACTGAAGACAAGAACACGAAAGTCCATTTCATCAAGTGCCATTGTCCGTTCGAAGTTCTCAAATTCTACGCAGAAGAAATGAGTTTCAGAGCGCCTTTAGAAGTATGAGTCATGCTAAGCCTTTATGAAATGCTCACCTAAAGCTCTTTGAACGCCAGATGTTTTGCCTCGTCTGCATGCTTTTCTTTTCTTGGTTCCGATGCTTTCAACTCCCTTGAATACAAAGACCCTGTTGTTAAAGACAAGTCCCTTTACTGGGAGAACAGGTGCAAAAGGGACCAACGCGTATTGCTACAAGTCCGATCATAACAGACTTTAGGGATACTCTTTTCAAGATTTCAACACATCATTATTCAGTTGCTAAAACCTATTCATTTTCACAATTTTCTGAGATATGTTTGGCAGCATTTATAGTACGTATTAATAGAAATAAGACTTTCCTTTTACTTCAAAACCTTACGTGAGTTAACCTTGCGTGTATCTCAGGGAGTTTCCTTCACTTTTCCAATTAAGTTTGTATATATTTTTGGCTTAATTTATCCATGACGAGTTTCCAGATAAGGCTTTTTGAGTTAGAAAATGCTTCATTCCAGCTTCGAAGTACTGTGAAAACCAACTGGACCGAGCGAATGCTTGCGAAGTTTCATCTACCAAATCCATTCAAAGAAGAGGTCCCAAATTCACCACCGGACTTTTTCACTACGACCTTTCAAGGAGATAAAATGCACAAGTAGGTATTTTGTTTGCAGAGGTACTATGCCTTGCCTTGAGATCAGATACATTTGTATTGTTACATTTTCTAAACTGTTCCTTGTTAGAACCCTGTTGTGTGCCCCCTTCGTCCCCATTCCCCCCTTCCTTCCCTCGTAGTTGATCCAGTATGCACCTAAGCAGTATTTTGAGCTTTTGCCTTAAGAAAGCCATTTTTACCAAAACTAAGGCATTCATCACCTAAATTTAGAAGCTTAACAGATATGCAGTTATGTCGAACGATGTTTCCACCTTTATGAACATTAAGAACGGTATGAAACAAAGCATTGCGCCATTCATTAGATAGACACATATCTATACTTATCTGTAAAATAAGAGACAACAATCGCAAGTGCTGGACTACATACGTTGACTTAAACAATGAAAATCACAGTTTTACTAGTCCTTCGTGAAGTGCACGGTATAAGCAGAGCTGTGCAAACTTTGATGTTTAGACCTTTTGAGTTTCACGCTTAAAGCATTATCAGGCAACATTAACTTGAACAAATGTATATGCAAGTGGTATGCTGTTTTTGTAGATTCATTGGCAGTGACAATCCAGATACCTACTTTACTGATACTCAAAGGACAAGAGTTGCCTATGAAATATTAGAAACAGCACCGTATGGTAAAAGACAAAAAGGAGAGATTGGTAAGCAAATACACGTCTTCTTTTTAAAAAATACTTCAGATCAAGTAGGCTAAAAGTATCTCAACATATTGTTGATTTGAGCTTCAAATGTTCTTAAAACGTTTTTTACGAACAGATTTTTTAGCGTACCAGGTGGAAAAATCTGTAGCTCTAACTTCCAGATAAAATTTTTGTGCTTCTTGTAGCTCCCAGCATACAACATACAATAAAGACATTACACTGCGTAAATTGGAAAACATAACTAGTGTAAATAGATATGATTCTTAAGGACTAATTGGAAACCGACGATGGAAATATTTTTGAAATTTTAAAGGATTAATTTTCAATTTATAAACCTTGGAAATGTTTGTATTTGGCGAAACTTTATGTTAACCAATGTAAAACTAGAACAGATAGCGTTATTCACAAGCAATCCTTTTCTGTTGTACTTGAGATTTTACACAATGAAACTTGCTTTTTTTCTCCGCTATCCCTCTATCTGAGCCTTATAATATTTCTTAAATATTTCTTGGTTTTTAGGGTACTTGAGCGTCGTGTTTCTTATTTCCATGTATCTTAAAAAAGAACTGTATAGAAACTGCAGAAACTCCTCATTCGTCCCAAAGTTGTAATATGTCAAGATTCCGATGTTTTATTTAGTTCATTGAAATGGAGAACAAAATACAAAGGGTGATGTTGATACATTTTCAAAACTACTAGTGGGGTTTTAGTGAATGTACAAACTTTTTAAACAAATTTCTAAACTTTGGCGATCCCATTCAATCCTTATTTAAAAAGCCCACTCCCACATCGTCGCGACCTGATCATACCACATCTAGTATATCAACATTTTACAAGATGAAATCACTCTCTCTTTTTATTTCTTAGGTGTTGAGCGTTTGGTCGCGGAAGGTTGCTTTACTGCCGCTTATCCGTTGCATGTAGTAAGTTCTGTCTCCTTCTTAAAATGTTTTTTTTTCCGAACAGCTTTGATAATTGTGAAAGGATAAAAGAGGTCGTCATTTATCTCGTTTATTCACTATCCATCTTGGTAGCTCTACTTTTGTTAGCCTTTTTCGAAACATTTTTACTGCTAACTACGCTTTTAGCTCTTAGGCCCTTCAGTAAGTTGGCTTTTGCATTTTCGTTAGAATGTTGTTGTTAAAACTCAATTATATAAACAGGGACAACATAAAAGACCGCGAGAAGAAGGTCCAGACAGCCCCGACGATGAACCACAAATGAATAAAAGACAGGTAATGCCATGCCTTTTGCGTAATACAATATTAATACCTATCAGAATATCTGTACAGTAAAACTCTTGCTTTGTCAGATGAAATGTTTGTTTTTTTCAATTTTTGGACCATCAAAAGCTTTCCACAGGGAAATGAATTGAAGGTTCCTAGAGACTTTGGTTCTTGCCATTAATTCTTAGAGACTATATTGTTTATTGATGTATATGAATAGTGAAAAGCTTTTTATATTTAATTAGACAATAGGGATAGCTGCAAGGGTTAAAAATAAATCTGTGGTTGTACTGGAGTGGTTAAGCTTACAACCATTCCTTTGAGGTTTCTTAGAAATAGGTAAGGAATTTAACGAGGGATTCCATAACTATTTTCGGCTTAAAAGTCTAAGTGATTTGACCGCAATCACCTTTCCAGACAAAGCTCGGCGCTCCAGTCACAATTCAAGGTCAAATATTTAGCTTTACATGGATTCTATATCACTATCGTTACAATTGAATTTAATATCGTTAGTAGTTTAGAATGTCTAGAGAAGACTTTGGTTCGAGACCCAGATTCATGCCCTGAAATTGTGTCCAAAGACAACTTAAATAATTCTGAAAATACACCAGCATTGATCTTTTAAATTTCTGTTCAACCAATTTCTCATTTAGCTATTGTTTTTATTTCCAGATTTTGAAGCATTACTGGGGTCGTTGGAGCAAATGGGCAAAATATCAGCCTTTAGATCATGTGAGGTGCGTGTTCAGTCATTAGACCTTATTTTATGATGCCCCTTTTCTCACTTCTTGGCCCATATTTTTCCCCCATCGTTTGGGGGACATCAAGGAGTCACTTTGGAAGATTCACCGCATAATATATATCTTAGCTCTTATTTCTTCGGCAGTAGGCTTTTACAAGTATAGAGTGTTTTTACAAGTTTTGGTCACAACTTAAGTCATGAGTTGGAATCAGATTCAATCCATTTTGTGACTAGGCCTATCTGTAAATTTCAGTAGGTTCGCACTTTTGAATGCATATTTCGGAGAAAATTTTTCAGGTTTTGCATTTAAGAGGTATCATGTCGTGAAATTTTTGCCCCGACACCTTAAGGTCGGTCTGCTGTTAAAAGTACGCTAAACTTTCAAGTAAGATTTGTCTTCTAATTTTGTTGCGAGATCTCCATCTGGCACTGGCCAAGGAGCCATGCTTTCACTAATACCCCCTCGTTTCGTAAAGTTTATAACACCCAACACCTTTTGCGATAAATACATTCTTAAAAAAATCTTCAATATTATTTGTTAATTTAATTTTTTGTTAATATAAGTTAATATAATTTAATAGCAATTCATGAGAAAAAATTTCTGAATTCTTCAGTGTCAACTCACCCATCCACTAATCTGTGTTATTTACAAAATCTAGTACTTAGGTCTATATTTTAGAAATCCGTGTGCAGCTCTAGAACAATCAACTCCAGCCTACGCCAGCAAGAGTTAAAGAAACCACTTGTGTATCTGGCATTGGTGTAGAAAATTTATTTTGCTTTAACCGAATTATTTTGCCAGTCGTTATCGCTTATTGTGATTATCATTATGGTTTATCGTTATTTTATTGTATCAAACTGTCTATTGTGATTCAGACTGCGCAGTAACACCTTAGGCATGGTTGCATTTTAGGCCAAATTTGACTCCACTAATTGGACGCGAAATATAAGTTACATAACGTTTATTTTCCAGGGATTATTATGGAGAAAAGATAGGGTTGTATTTTGCTTGGCTTGGTAAGTAATAGAAGAGGAAATTTGTTTTAATTTGTTTTTGATGATTTTACTTCTAGGTATGTTTGTCTTTGCAAAAGGACGTATTATCGTCACTAGAGATAGCTATCAAGTTTCAATATATGTTAACTGTATCACAAATACAGTGTTCCAATCGTATGACAAATACAGTAAATCCTTGCGAAGAAGGACCTGCTTTTTCAAAAATCAGACCATTCTTGGTTCTAGGTGCATAATAGGCCAAAGTTTCTCTTTCCAAGGGGTGTATCCCTTGCCTTTGGGGGAGAAAAGAGCCAAAATACCTTATATAACGATACTTCAATTAAATTAGCCACAAAAGTTTTGTGCACAATTTGTTACACAAAATATAGTACTTGGGCTGCCGAGGAGTAATGTAATAAAATATTCAGTGCTGGCTCAAAATAGTTAAGATGTCAATATATAATTTACATAATTCAGAGAAAAGATAACAGTTTTTGAAAGCTTTCATGTTTTGTTGTAGACCTAAATCAGTCGTTGTGGGATAATATTCTGTGTGTTGCCAGTTTTATGGATAAAACATTTGTATTGCCCTCTCTCAATTCGATGTTTTTCTACATGGTAGGTCAATACACTGCATGGCTGATTCTTCCATCCTTTGTCGGTCTGATGGTTTTTCTTTATGGTATTGTAACTGTTCATTCACCGGATAACATTGATGCGTAAGTTCTGTATTATCAAGCATGTTATTAATTTTTTGCCTACATTTTGTCGGTTTCTTAACGCAAAATTATATTTGTAATTTCTGAGCCAACTACCAGAGGCCTTTAAGGGGGAAAAGCTTTGTTACCCAAACCATCATATTGCTTTTCATGATTTAAAAACAAAACTATGGTGTAACCTACAAAGCATTTGTAGAAAGTTTGTTTAAAAAATCAATTAAATCTGTTTGCAAATTGGTTGGGACTTAGCCAATGAAATAATTGAGTTTCGCTGATAGGTTACTAGCAGGTAATCGATTTTTTGTTTGGCTTGTAGGTTTTGGAAAGGTTCTCTAGGCCTTTATTTGAAAAACCTGTTCTGTAGGCCTATATTGGAAGGACTTGTTTGAAAAGGAAAAAGTCTTTGTCTAAGTAGCTTTATTTCAGACAGCCATGAACAGATTTCTCTGATTGACCATATCTTTCAGATCATACGATCCAGTAACAAAATTTCTAAACTTTCGCTTTCCCAATGGATAACCGTTCTTTAGGCCTTTATTTCTTTTAGAATCAAAATAAGACGACAATGATTTTTAAAGAAAATGCAAATGCCTTTGTGGCCTATAAAACTTATATCTCTGGCAACCGGTCATTGATTCAAATGATAGACCACTTTGATATGATGTTTTTTATGGTGTTCAAAAATTTTAACAATATATTTTTATGAGGCCATCACTTTCATCACAAGTTCATATCGCTACAGATTGTTGAATGACTTATGTTATTTTCCCGTAGTATTGACATCTGCAGCGCAAAAAACGGAACATATAGAATGTGTCCACGGTGTAATGAAAATTTTGGTTGTAAATATTGGGATTTGAAAAAGAGTTGTAATCTAGCAAAGGTAAGCACCAGCGTTTCTATTGTTAGCCTAATGTATCAAAAGCTGATTTTTTATTCTTTTTTCAAATTTGAGTATCATAATGCCATAATTAGAAACGCTGCTTTTTATCCTGCGTAGACCGTCAAAATCAATTTATAATAGTGCAAAGTAATGTATGTTAGAACAATACGATTTGTAGATATTCTTGGATTTTCCATCCCTTTTAACAGTCAACCGCCCTTATGTTTCAATTTCTATAAAGATTATTTGACACAAAGCTCTTGTCTTTCTTTTTAAGGTTTCTTATTTCTTCGATAATGCAGCAACGGTATTCTTTGCTGTTTTTGTTTCTTTTTGGGGTAAGTTTACAGACATTTGCACTTATTTTTATGTAATCGATCTTTCTGGTAGCGAAAATGAAATCATTTACTTGAATAAATAAGCGAGTCTTACAGATGGTGTCGACAACCCATTGCATTCTTCAAGACATTCTTAAATCAAAAGATCAAAAAGCTTTGTAAAAAGTAATTTGCTCAGTATTTGTTGTTTTCTATTGTTGTTTTTAGTATGATTGTAGCATTGCATTATATTTAGCACATCTTTACTCAAATAAAGGCAAAGTCGAGTCTTGAAGGATTGTATAGGAATGTCCAGATTCTCTGTTCATTGATCAAAGCTTAACGTAGCATCACGAACAGCTCAACTTAAAATTACTAATTATGTAAGTTACTAATTATTTCTGGCTCTTTCAATCAATCTTACTAGCAATTGCAATACGTCATAAGTTGCTAAACTCTGTGGCGGGTACATGAAGTATCTTGCATTAAAGCATCGTGAGCACTATCTGAAAATAATTATTTATCAGTACCTTTTCAATTTTTAATGAACTCAAACATTCAACATCAAAGAGTTTTCAAAATTTTTCCCTTGAGTTCATGGGGCAAAGTGCACTGATCGCTGGAAGGCCGTTGGCCATAGGTCTGAATCTAAGGTCATCATAAAAGTCATCGTTTGAAGGACATCATCTAAAGGGCATCATCTAAATGGCTACCCTAGGTACCAGAGTCTCGGTGAAAGAGATGGTCGTTGGAGGAGAGGGGAGGAAAGAGGCATAATCTTCCCGCCCCTCTCGGCTTACTACTCATTCTTTCACCTACCCACTTTTTCTCTGAAGCTGTGCAACTCGGGGCACTAAACGGCATCTTCTAAAGGTCATCATGTAAAGATCTTTATCCAAAGGATCGAAACAATGATGAGCTAGGGAGTCTGCATCATGATACTGTGATTTCATTTCCTTTTTGTGCGGCTGTGGTAATGCTGTGGTAATGATAACACGTGACAGTAATATGCGAATCGAGCTGAATAAAGCTCACAAAGTCTCGATGCTCGTTGCAACGTATTTCATATCCCTACCTTCATACATATAAACATGATAATGAAACCTTTGGTATATTTTACAGCTGTTTTCTTCCTGGAGTTTTGGAAAAGGAAGGAAATCACATTAGCTTATCAATGGGATTGTCTTGGTTACGAATCGGAGGAAGAGAGACCACGTCCAACATTTGCTGCACTTGCACCGACCGTGGAGAGGAATCCAGTCACAGGCATTCTTGAGCCTCATTTTCCTGACGAAAAAAGGAAACCTCGTTTATTTTCTGGGATCCTTATTATTGTTACTATGGTAATGTTTTGTTTCATTGTTGTTGTTATGATTTAGTGTTTTTTGCGTATAAGATGCTTTTTTTCCGTGCCCTTTCTAAAGTCAGGCAGTTAGAAATGTTGATACGCAGATGTGTCGTGTAGAAACATAAAAATCTAATGGATTGGTTTATTTTAGTTGGGTTTAATGATAAAGTTCCCTTTTCTTGTTTATGTTCAGGAATTCAAAATTATCTCTAGAACAAACTTAGAATTCTAGTTTTTTTCCAATTTTATTGATAACGGTTTTATAGAAATTGGTGCTCAAGGACTCTATTATTTTTCTAATGGCAGATATCTTTATAGTACATTATAGCAGATAACAGTATTAAAGCCTATTCTTTAGCATTGCTGTTGAATTCTTCCCTTATGCATCATACTCTAAACGTATTTTTGAAAGCATAATATTTTATAGTGGTTGTTTAATATGTATATATGCAATGACTCAGTAATACCGATAGTCGGGATATTTATCAATCGGGTAGAATGCATTTCCCATTATACGAAAGACTGCCCCTTTCTACACAACTGTATGAATTACTGCAGTACATCAAAATATGACCTTTCTTGTATTCATTTTAGGTGTCTCTTGTGCTCATTTTCATGATCGGAGTCATCGTTTACAAGCTGCTGGTGTACCGTCCTTTGGCAAAGAGCTCTCTCACTTCATCCTATGCACTGCAAATTGCCAATATATCGGGAGCTGTTTGTAATCTTATGTGCATCATGATCTTATCACGGGTATAGATATTTTTCGTATCAAGGATTTTTTCGTCATGCACTCTCTTTTTGTTAACGTCTGGACAATAAGTTTTTATTCAATACCCACGTCATTTTGCAGTTTTATTTAATCCACTCTTTTGTTGGTAGCTCACTTCTGAAGTAGAAACCTACCTTGCAAGAGATTTTCTTTCCATTTCCCTTGATAACTTTTTAAGAAACGATTCAAGAATATTACTGAGTAAAGCAGTTGTGTTTGTTTGCCTACGTAAATTAATTTTACCTCAATTTTTCTTGAATATATCACCAACCTATCTTTCGAGTCTTATCTCTCGATATCGATTGAAACACCCAACCAAGATAATATTTTTGTTTCAATGATGGTACAGCAGGGTAAATGAAGTCCAGAGAATTCTTAAATTGATGTTCTAAGCTAAAACGCTGATGATAAAACCAACTGGCTATTTACTTCCTTATGTGCATGCTCAAATAAGATGTGGTGAAAAGTGATCACAGAGAAGCTCCCCGGTTTTTGAGTAAAATGCAATTTTTTGACAATGGTCTTTTCGGCTTAAAATGAAACGTTTAGAGATCGATATTTTTTACTCAAGCCATTCATTTTAGTCCCATGCCTTACTCTTCTACCCCCTATGACAAACCGATGACATTACTCGTGTTTATTCATTTTTATGTTCCATACCTCTAGGTATACGAGAAAGTTGCATTGGCATTGACTCATTGGGGTAAGCTTTCTTAAAACACAGCATCTTTATACCGTATGGCTTGTATGATCTAGTTATCTCATTGTGTATGATTCATCAGCTTTATATCATCGTGTTAAGTTCGTTATTTTTTTATGAAATTGTATAGAAAGTACACTTAACAGTGTTTATTTGAATTGGCGGTAGTGATGGAAGTTTGCTATTGGTAAGGTCAAAAACTCGGCAGTGAAGATTGGACAGCTTATAAAAAGTCTGTTTTGTTAGGGAGTTGAAAGGAGGTTATGAAGACAGAACATCAAAAAAGAGCAATATCATCATCCTTTGGAGAGGATGTTGAAGGTCTATTTTGCAGCACTGGCTGTAAACAAGAAAAACTTTGCTTCTCAATTCTGTGGCTAGTTATTTATATTTAATTTGTTTAATTTGAATTACAGAGATGCATCGAACGCAAACAGAATATGAAGATAACCTGACGTTCAAAGTTTTCGTCTTCCAATTTGTGAATTTTTATGCTTCAATCTTCTACATCGCGTTCTTCAAAGGAAAGTAAGTATCATGCTGGATTTGAATGAAACGTTTCTGTCTTTCATAACCATATCCGTGATGAGAATTAGTCGATATAATTCCTGATCGTTATTTCAGCAAGCAATGCAACTTTCAATTCAAAATAATTGCGGTTTAGGATATTTTGAATAAATTTGTTGTTTTCTAGAATGATTGGTTACCCCGGGCATTACAACAAGCTGATGGGATTACGTCAGGAAGAGGTAAGAAGACTGCATCAGAATTTTATTTTCAGCATCGTTGTTTTATCCATAATCTACTGTTCTAAGACTTCATCGAATGAGACTTTATCAAATGAGAGAGTTATTGGATAAGTTAACCTGACACAATATGCGTTCAGATTTCATGTGACATCAGCACTTTACATATCGAATGTTACGCGAAAAGAGAAGCGTTTTCTTTGGCGGTTGTTCTCTGCCGAGCCACTGGCACGTATATCAACAACCTTCCCCCTCCCCCGTTCTGTTACGTCCTCTTGCCATCATTTTGTTATTTCTTTTCTTAAAGTGTGGGCCAGGTGGATGCCTCATTGAACTTGCTCAGCAACTTGTCATCATCATGGTTGGCAAACAGATGATTGGAAATATCCAAGAAGTAGCTATACCGTAAGTGCATCTAAGTAATTCTTGGAATATACTTTCTCTTTTTACTTAAACAATATAGAAATTACATTGCATTATTTGTTGAACCCTGGTTGAATTATTAATTCAAAAGCTATTTTGGTATTTACTTTGGTATTAAATTTGCATTGATATTTCATATTTTGTTATTAACATTGTATGGTAATTCTAATCTTTACCTATCATGCTGCGAAAGATTTTAATCCATGCTGATATTGCATTTCATACACACTCAATTGACATTCTATTTCAATTAAAGTTTTTATGGATTATTGTTGATGGTAATCTTTGATCATGAAATTCCACGCTGTTTTTCAAGAATGTCCAAGAACCCTCCTTAAGCAAAGAAACGAGCTTTTGATGTTGTTCAAATTTTGGGTCATAAGTGCCAATTTCGATCAAGAAAATTAGCTTTACATTTTGAGTATTGTGACATTTTTGGATTAATGATTCATTTTGTAATGTTTTTCTTTTTTAGTCTAATAAAACAGAAAATGGCGAAAAGAAAAAGAGGAAAGAAGGACGTTGTTTTAAAACCGAGGTGGGAGGATGATTACGAACTAGTGGAAAATGAAGGCCTTTTTGCTGAATACTTGGAAATGGGTGAGACATTTCATCTTTTGTGGTTATTGTTTATTCATTTTCATTTTTATTTGGCCATATAAGGGTTTTTAGGCCCTAAGAAACAGCGTTTAAGATGTAGGCTAAAATAGGTTTTATTGTCCGTTTGAAAGTTCGTTTAATTGAGGCTCTAATTGAAAGTTTCCGTGATTTTAGAGGATAAAAAGGCTTCCAGGAAGCACCCATCCTCCCTAAACGAATTTTTTGAGCACCTTCTTTATGGCTAAGGCCTAAACTCTTAAGTGATGCGAAAGAATCAATTGTTTTAAGATTCAATTAGCTCAGAAATGACTCTGTGACTTTTCTGTGACGTGGAAACACGCTTTTAGCTAACAATTTTATTTATAATCTAGGATACTGACTAGAAATCGAGGGGGTAAAACCATACAAAGAGCTTCCCATCGGCATAGAACCTGGGAAGCCTGATCTATCCAGCGCCAGTATTTGTAACGCCCCAGCAGTTACTGCTGGAACTACTGCGCATGACCTACATGACACCACCGACGACAGTGATGCAAAATCAGCATTACATAATCTGCGTTTAAAGAACATAGGTCGTATGACTATCGGGTATCTAAATATAAATTCCATTAGAAATAAATTTGATGCACTAAAAGCGATAGTTTCACAGAATCTTGACATTCTAATGGTCGCCGAAACAAAAATTGATGATTCATTCCCAAAGGGACAATTCTATATTGAAGGTTATGCTGATCCACTACGGCTTGACAGAAATTGTGAGGGTGGCGGTCTGTTGGTCTATGTGAAAAGTGACATCACAATGAAGCAGTTAAAGTCATTTAAATTTGATCTTGACATTGAATGTATTTGTTTTGAAATCAATTTAAGGGGGAATAAGTGGGCTCTTTTCAGTGTTTACAGACCACCGTCCCAATCACAAGAACACTTTTTCGAAAATCTTGGCAAAGCAGTTGATCATTACAGTGAAAAATATGACAAATTTTTATTACTTGGGGATTTTAATACAGTAGAGACAGGTCAACAGATTCGTACTTTTATGAATAGTTATGACCTCAGAAATCTGGTGAAGGAGCCAACCTGTTTCAAGGCTGACAATCCACGGTGTATTGACCTAATCTTAACCAACAGATATAGGAGCTTCCAACATACCACCACTACCGAGACAGGTCTCTCTGACTTTCACAAAATGATAGTCACAGTTTTGAAAACGACGTACCAAAAGGCTGGACCTACTGTTATTAACTATAGAGAATATAAGAAATTTTCGGAGCAGACTTTCAAACGAGAACTTAAGGAAGAGTTGGCTAGCATTAAAACAACTGATTTAGACTACAGTTCTTTTCAAAATTGCTTTGAGAAGGTACTTGATAAGCATGCACCGATGAAGAAAAAATACGCAAGGGCCAATGATGGTCCCTTCATGAATCGAGTTCTTCGTAAAGCTACTATGCTGCGCTCTAGGTTGAAAAATAGATATAATAAAAGCCGCACAGCTGAACATTGGGAAGCGTTTCGTCGACAGCGTAATTTGTGTGTCAAATTATTTAGAACGGAAAAAAGAAATTTCTATAAAAATTTGAATACTTCTGATATTACAGACAACAAGAAATTTTGGAAAACTGTAAAACCTGTCCTTTCCGATAAAAGTCGATCGAACTCAAATATTACCCTTATCGATAATAATAGGATGATTTCCAATGATAAGGAAGTTGCAGAAGCCATGAACGATTATTTTATATCGATAACTGACTCATTAGGTCTGACAGGGAACAGGGAGGTTACCATAAGTACAGATGGTTTATCAGATCCTATAGAAAAGGCTATAATGAAATATTCAAAACACCCTAGCATTAGGAAAATTCGCAGTTTTGCTCGAATTAAAGGCTACTTTAAATTCCAAGAGGTTACTGTGGAACAGATACACTCTGAAATTGAGGGGCTTAATCCTAAAAAGGCAACAACCTTTGGAAATATACCCGCGAGAGTGCTGAAAAATAGCTCTGACATTTGTTCCGAATCGTTGCAGCTTATTTTCAATAACTGCATTCAAAATGGTGTCTTTCCCGACCTATTAAAACTAGCAGATGTCACTTCCCTCCACAAATCGGAGGAGAAAACCAATAAGAAAAATTACAGACCGGTTAGTGTACTACCAACTGTTTCAAAGGTTTTTGAGAGACTTATGGATAAACAGATTATTGATTATATGCAATCGTATTTATCGTCACTTTTATGTGGTTTTCGTAAAGGGTACAATGTGCAGCACGCATTAGCTCGAATGCTTGAAAAATGGAAAGCAAGCTTAGACAGGGGAGAAAATGTTGGCGCAATCCTTATGGATCTCTCGAAAGCCTTTGATTGTATTAAACATGACCTCCTTATAGCAAAACTAGATGCTTACGGATTCAGCCATGAAGCACTGTGTCTTGTTAACAGCTACTTGGAAAATAGGCATCAGAGAGTTAAGATTAATGGATCATTCAGTACCTACAAACAACTGTTCCTTGGTGTTCCGCAAGGATCAGTTCTTGGTCCCCTCTTCTTTAACATCTACATAAATGACTTACTTCTCTCCTTAATGGATACGGATATCTGCAATTACGCGGATGATACAACTCTATATGCGTGCGATTAAAATCTCAATAATGTAATTGCAAGGCTAGAGAATAACTCAAGTATAACTATCCAATGGTTCGCTGATAACTTTATGAAGTTGAATACAAACAAATGTCATTTACTTATTCTTGGCAAAAGTTCTAATCAACAGGTTAAAGTTAATGTAGGAGATTCTATCATAGAAAACTCGGAAGAGGAAAAGCTACTAGGTGTTGTGATAGACAAAAAACTCAGTTTTGAGACACATATCAGTAAGTTATGTAAGAAGGCTGGTAGCAAACTCACCGCCCTCGCTCGCATATCTGGATACATGGACGCTAATAAACTTAAAATCTTAATGAGAGCATTTGTAATTAGCCAATTCGAATATTGTCCACTAGTCTGGATGTTCCACAGTAGGCACTTGAATAGTAAGATTAATAGAATACACGAAAGAGCTCTGAGAATTGCATACAAAGACTATGATTCTAGCTTCAACACTCTGCTAGAAAATGATGGCTCGGTAAATATTCATGTAAAACACCTGCGAAATCTTATGATTGAAATGTTTAAAACAAAGGGAAATATCAACCCTCCTTTTATGAGGGAGATTTTCTGCGAGCGTCATGCTGTTTATAATTTGAGAAATAATAATGAATTTATGGCACCAAGAGTAAGAACAACCATTTATGGAACCGAAACTATCAAATATAGAGGGCAGCGTCTTTGGCTCTCTTTACCTCAGCACATAAGGAATGCTCAATCTATTAATGAGTTTAAGAAAGAAATTAAAAGCTGGAATGGCACAGACTGTACATGCAAACTATGTAGGACGTTCGTGCCACAACTTGGTTTTTTGTAATTCTATCTTTTAAATAGCTCAGGTTTTTATAGTTTTTTAATGGATCATTTTGTATTTAAAATTTTATGTATTTAATCTCGTATGTATTTAGTTGATGTAGTAGTTTTAACAGTTGGCTTGGATTAGCTCATTTCTTTGTAAATAGCTATGTAGCGCCAACTTTAAATAAATTGATTATTATTATTATTATTATTATTATTATTCTTGATAAGTTCTAATTGTTTGATGTTCTCAAGTGGTTTTTACCAGTGTTGCCATGTTGCTGACACTGCCGTCTAAAGCTGCTTCAATTACATCCTATATTTATTAATGTTTTCTGGAACGTCAGCAGCAAAATCTTGGTTGAGTGTTTCCCTCAAACAAACAATATTTCAATGCTGTCAGGTAATTTATCCCTCAGAAAGTTAACCAAATTGCAGACTGCCGTTTTAATGTATGATTTGATGCTAAATTCTTCTATAAAAGTCAAAGTCTTTATAGTTTCTTGGTCATGTTATCTTGAGGTTTCATCCGATATGTCTTTTTCTTCTTCAGTTGAAATGATAATATGCTATATTCACTGCAAAGTCTTAGTTTTTCCTCTTTATTCTACAGTAATCCAGTTTGGTTTCATTACAATCTTTGTGGCTGCATTCCCGTTGGCTCCATTTTTCGCTTTGGCCAACAACATCTTCGAAATTCGCATCGACAGCAATAAACTGGTTTGCGAAACTAGAAGGCCGATTGCAGAACGAGCTCAGGATCTTGGAGTTTGGTTCAACATTCTCGAGGCCGTTGCGAAAATTGCTGTTATTAGCAATGTAAGTTTAAAAGAAGAAAAATAAAATAAATACGCAAAAAAAATTGTGTCAATCCCTCGGCCTAAAAACAAACGTCCTGTTGTTCATTCGCTAAAAAGTATTCTTTTTAGATGCATTCTTCTTTTTATAAAATCAAATGCTTTACTAGGCCCAAGTCCCTGATAAAAATGTGATAAGTTTCTTGGGTGTTTTGTATACGTTACTACCGCGGTGACATTTCCTCAAGCAATCCTTAGCTTGTCGCAACTCAGCCTTTCTATTTGCTGTAGGGATCATGAAGTTGTGCTATCCACCCCACTGGGTTTCCTTGGTTATGTTACGTTTGCGCGAACATAATGCGCGCCTCTCTTGGTTGAGTCCTACTTTCAGGCATTAATAACATCTTAAAGACATTAATAACTCTCTGGTCCTTTGCTGTCATTGCTATTAGAACATTTTATTTCGTTAGTCTCTGTTATTTTTTTTTCTCACGAAGGTAACCCTTTTCTGTTTTAGGCTTTCTTGATCGCGTTCACCTCGAAGTTTCTTCCCAAACTGCTTTATCGTTACAATGTTTCTGAAGACGGTTCACTGAAAGGATACCTCAACTACAGTCTTGCTTGGGCGCCTCCCAATGCAACAAAACAACCCTGCAGGTTTGTATCATTCCAGTGGTCCTGTGAATCCTGTCATATTTGCAACATGAGACCTCGATAGCTTCACTTGCTACAGTTTTCTGTTTAATTTTTCTAGATTCATTAATCAATGAATAATATCTTAGTATTTCTTTCAAAAGCTTTTAATTAATTTGTTTTGTCATCTGTTAACACTCCCTCTCATTTTCTTAACTTTATTTCCAAACCTTCTTTTTCATAGATTTTCGATTTTTTTCATAGATCGGTTTTTTATTGTAAATTTTAACAGCTGATTTCAAATTCTACAGATACAGAGACTTCCGTGACGCGAATGGCAATTTGACCATTTTCTATTGGCATTTGCTTGCCCTCAAACTTGGTTTCGTGATTCTGTTTGAGGTATGTTATTTTCCGGTATTCCATATACTCGCTTTTGTTCTTGCATGTCAGGCTCTTTTTCTTTACACCCACCTTAATTTTTCGAAACCACTTTATGTCTCTGTAATGTAGCAACTGCGCTTCTATGTTCCATATGGACATTCTACATATATTTAATGTATGTCATGTGGCTATTGGAATAAAATTCATTATGATGAAACGCTCTCCTTAAAAGGTTGCAAAGGGCAACAACAATTTTATAGTCTGGCATTTTTCCAGCAATTGCTGGGTTCAGTAATATTAAAACAACACTTCGTACAAATAGTGCTTGAATGCAGTGCTGAAGATTGCAGGTTAAAATCCAGGCTGGTCCCTTGACCCATGCTTTAAGCGATGTCCCCTTGTATACTTAGCAGTAACATTGATTAGGCTAAGAGAGGCAAGGAATGAAACTAGCCACCATGCCTGATCATGCTATTTGCTAATCGTTGTATATTTGTATCATCTTACTAAAATTTGCTTTCATCTGTGCGGTAAGACAGTTTTGTCATTGTAGCATTCTTAACTCTTTTGTTACTTTCAGCATTTCGTATTTGCAACACACATGCTGATCGACTTCTTGGTACCAGATATCCCAGAAAGCCTTGACATCGCAATCAAACGAGAAGCCTACCTTGCTAAACGAGCCATGTCTGAAGGTCATGCCCTCGCTGAAACAGACACTGGCGATGAACTTGATGATCGTAATATTGACATAAAAGTTCAGTAAAAAAACTACCGTGTAAAGAACCATCGTTTTACCATGCAAATCTGAAGCATTACAAGCAAGGACCCGAACTGGGGCGACCGCATTTAGATATCAAACAAAGCGGGTATTTATAAGCCTTCGGTTTTTTGTTATGTTTCTTGACTTGAATTCGAGGTTTTTTTCCGTATAAGAAAGAATCTTTCTAAGCAGCCTATAAACATTTGTGAGAGAAAAATTAAAGGTTTTGTGCCTTTTGCGGTTCAGTTTCTAATGCTCGGCGAAAATTCAATATGCTTACATTACGAAATTTACAAACATTTATGTAAGATTGGCAATATAAACAGGCCTCTGTTTATGAATGCTTCACCTTCAGTATGTTTTCTACTTCCTGAGCTCCATTCTATTTCCAGAGCTCCTATCCATTATTATATTTAAGTGATTCCTGCTACTTGTAAATGTTTATACGACTCTTGATATAAGCTTGCGTTAAATGTTGTTATAATCCTCCGCCCGTATATCCCCTATTCTTGCTGTGTCCTCTTTTTTCTATTTTTCAATAGATTTAGGTGCAACATATTATTTTACGTGTATTTATGATATAGAAGATTTTAAACGATAAATATCTACTCTATGAGGGTTTATTGTGGTAAATATTTAGTTATGATTAAGAGGAGAGGCTAATAGTAATGTGTTCCACTGTCATTTGTGATTCGCTTGATAAAATTTTTCAATGTCAGTTTGCTACTACGACAATACTCGTTGTTCACAAAATGCTTGACATTCGAAAACAGGATCCAAAAGTCCAACACGGGAAAACACTGGTTTTTCAACTGATGAGCTTGAATCGGCATTTTGTAATTCAGGGTCAAGTTAGACCTATTTGTGCATAATTTTAAGTTTGAAAAATTAAAGAGTTAAAAATGACATTTATTAGATGCGCCATAACGACTTCCGATGCTGTTTACAATTATTTTTTCGTGTTGGTAAGGTCCATGAAATTTAATGAAATTTAACAGGCTAAACATTTCGAATACCCTTGTCGCCCCTAGGAGTACCTTTTCTTTATGTAGCAGATTGCTGCTTACGTTATTATCGGGCCTAAATACTTCTATAAAAGTACCAGGCCTACATTGGGTGGGATAAAAACTGATCTACTTAACACCGCTGGCATTTAAATGTGGAACAAACGAGATTCTGTACAAATGCAATGATAAAGTGATTTTGCGTGTTATTAACTCTAGCGTTAACAGCCTGGCAACGTGCCCATGTCTAGAGCGCAGTAAATACCCGCAAAGAAAAACAAGCTTTTCGAGAGTCAAATTGGTCTTGTTTTTAGGTGCATGTATGGGTTGCAGGGAACAATTTTCTTGATTCGTGATGCCTGGTAATAGGGGTGTCTCTGAACAATAGTTGTTCAGGAGACAATGCTTTCTGAAATAGAAGTATTATTATTGGTAAGGCAAGAAAGGGGCTCTTAAATATGGCTCTTGATTAAGAAAGTACGGTCTAAAATCTCTTAAATTCTTCTCTTTCTTCTTTGTGTTTTTCTTTGTGTGGATTTACTGTAGCATATTTTAAAGTATTCTTAGCTATGTAAGCAAATTTACATTTTCAATTCTCATTTAAAAGGCAATCAGAATATGATAGATAATTTTCTCATTCTCCGTATGTTTTCCCGTGCTAGCAGATGGCACATGTAGTGATGAATATGTATTGTGTTTAAAAACGTTGAATTCTTCAATCTGGATAGAGAATTTGGGTATATTAAATATTAGCTAAGTGGAATTAGTAAATAGTAAATTCTATGCGAAATTTGTCTTACCTTCGTGTTTTTCTTTGCCTCTGCTCAATGTTAGAAATGATTTTCACTGACTAGAATCGTTCAATCCCAAGCAAGGGCGGATCCAGAGCAAATTTGAAAGAGGGGCAGTTGGTAGTGGGGGCAGCATATTGCATGAAAAGGGCAGGTGTACGAAAAAAATAAAAACACGAATAGCTTTGAAAGATGTACCTTTAACTAAAAAATGGAGCTTCCAATAAAAGGCCTAAGCTTGAATCTAAGAAAAAGGTTGATTAAATCACGTGTACGAAGTGTGTTCTTTTATAGAGCAAAGACATGGACACTGCCCCATGAATTCTCAAGGATTGGAAAGAAAAGATCTGTTATAGACTCCATTACCAGCAGAAAAAACAATAGATAGGGCATACTCTAAGACATAACTGCTTATTGAAAACGGCCATAGAAGATCGAATGAAAGAGAAATGGAAGAGAGGAAGAAAAAAATCAAAATGCTAGATAACATAAAAATTGGACAGTATGTCAACTTGAAGTGAATGGCAGGAAAGAGGCTGGTTTGAACAGGACCTGCCGTCTAGCAGAACACTAGGAGAGAAATGAATCTAAGGTCAATAAGAAAGGATTATGGGCTACAACTGGTTTGAATTTAACAAAAATGTGTATTCTAAGAATTTTTGTGGAAAGCTGAATGAAAAGAAATAATTTAGGCTGCATCAAATGCTTATATTAACTGGATATGGATCACTTTTGTTATTCATTTTATTTGCTCTGATAGTGCAATGGTGTTTAGAATTAATTTAAATGGGTGTAGAGTTTCATTTAGCAGACCTGAATGAGATCAATTTGCATTCCAAGTCTTAGCCTTTGTCAATGAAGATTTCCCGGCTGATCTTATGCACGTACTACTTGAAGTTATTTCTTTCTATTTGTCGATTTTGAAAATAAAATTTTCAAGTTTAACTGAGGTTGCAAAATATCACTGCAGGATCCGGGGAATATCCTAACGACTTAGAAGTGTTCCGGTGTTCAGCACTAAATAGCAGTACACTTTTTTCATAAGAACACGAGCCTCAAAACTGGTCAAAAGTTAAGAACAAATTAAGAACAGGCCAGGGCCTAAAATAAGCGTGGATCTGACTCACTTTGTGGAGTCGTAAATTAAAATTGTGGACCTGTAATTGTAGAAAGTGTGGATTTGTAAATAATGCATGTTCTTAAAAGTGCAGCATAAAATACCAATCAAAACGCCTAAGAAAGAGATGGGAACATTTTTTCAACTCGAAGTGAATGCCCAATCCCAGCCTTGTGTATTGCACTCATTTTTTCTAAGAAAATTGCGATAAGAGATAAGCAATAGATAATAAAGAAGAATTAAGAAACTTCAGAGCTCGAAGCTTCAGTACATGCGGAGAAAACTTAATTGCGCTTTACGATATTTCTGGTGCTATTTTGAAGTAAGATGGACTCTGTATACAGCTTTAACTTCAAGACATCATCTCAACTTAGCTTGCTTTTTTTTAATTGGAGAAACATTGGAAAGATTCCTCTCAAGGCTACAGTAGCTGAACGATGATAAGCCTCTCGGTAGTAGCTGGGAGGAACATTCAATTGGGAATGTTGCATAACAGGGACTATAGTCCTCTTCAACTTTTTTGCAGTAATGTTTTGCAGTAAGGTTAGAAAATGTTTGGAAAGTTTACACTAACGAACGCATTAGTAGCAGTTCTTCTGGGAACACGTTTTTGTTCTTTTTGATGGTGCTTTATCTTGTGTGATCAAAGATAAATTTGTATTTTATCTAACTCGGTTTTGTATTTTTATGTTAATTGAAATCTTCTTTAAATCGTTATGTTTATGAATAAGGACAGAAAAAAGCAAATATTTTCTGAAAGGAGTGGTTTCCGATGTTTCAAAGGGCGTAGCCGTAAAAAATTTAGGTGCAAGCCTGCTAGTCCCGTTCCAGCCACTCCCTTGTGGGCTGGTGCCAGTGTGACCTGATCTAGCGTAATATTAACATGAAATTGGCCAAAAATCGTCATTTAGCATAAAATTTAGAATAATTTGGAATCTAGCATAACTCTGGCATAATTTTGATATTATTTAGAAGAAACATTGTTTCCATTGATCCATTGTCTATTGTTACCAAATGCAAACACTTTACACCAGCATCTGTGGTTTCATTTTGGGAGTAAATTGTGACTTTCCACTTTCAGGATATTGCCAGTTGTTTTGAATAGTTGGCAGCCACATATTTTGTGGTTGGCAGCTAAATGCAGCCAGCTAAACGCAGTATACAAAAAAGCTAAATTTTTGCTAATTATTGGGAGTGATACCGTAATCAAAATCTGCTTTGTAGGTTACAAAAGCTTTCACTTGCTTTGATCTAAAACTGTCTGTTATCTTTTGCTTTGTTTCATCATTCATCATTTACAATTTTGAAATTATTTTAAAATTTTTTTAATATTATCTGTGCAAAAATTTTTGTTTCCTTTGCATTTTCGTTGTTTTTTGCAACATGCTGCCAGAATTCAGCCAAATGTTGCTTCTTCCGCCAAATTAAGTTATGGCGGACAAGGGATTTTGAGAAACTGCCAAAATGGAGAAATTTGGCGATCAAACCATGGATCTAAATTGCCTTTTTGAGCATGCATAAGCTTCTTTCTCGAGCAAGGTTGCCTTGATTTGGAATCTAACATAATTTTTGCAAATCTAGCACAATCTTATGACAAATTTGGCGTAATTTCAAAATTGAGATCTGGTGCGTTGTTTTTATTCATTACAAACAAGATGGGGGTAAAGATCATGCTTTCAAACTGGGCGAAAAGAGAATAAGAAGAAACAAGCACAATTTGTACATCGGTGAGAGAAGAGTTTATTTGCCATCTTTAACGAGGTTCTCGTTTATAGTATCAACACTTTTTGAAGAACAGATTTGATGGCAAAGAATTTGATGGGCTGAATGCAGTTAAGAACTTTCCATAAGTAAACAAGACTTAATAAAGCTTCACCCAGCTTTTGTCCCGGACATCGCAGCAATCCCTAATTCTGTCGATGCAGAGAGGCTGATTCCCACCTATAACAAGATAGAAGCAGGTGGGGAAAGCAGCATAGCTCCAGAAAACTTATCAAATAGATAAATATTGCAATTAATATTCTCGCAAGTTTCGAGTTCCGAGAAAAGCTGCAAAGACATAGTTCCAAAAAACCAAAAAATACCAAAGCCTGGAAAGCAAGGCAGATTTAAGGATGAAAAACCCAATCCATATAATGTAAAGAATCAGCTTTTGCTACTTCATTCATTTAAGAATATGCCCAATTAGGACATACTATTTGCACTATGATGGCAGTTTCTATATTTGCCACCCCCATGATGCCAATCCCAGCAAAGTACCACGCCCAATTTTTATAAAAAGTGTGGATCTGTAAAAATTTCTTATTTTAGGCCCTGGAACAGGCTGAGGCTGAGCTTCTGCAAAATGCGATTTTGAACATTTTTTCTCAAAATCGAGGATTTTTAGCGATGTGTGGGTGCTTTTTCGGTGAATATTCAAATTTGTCAGCAAATTAAGGCTGTCTCACTCACTTTGTTGGCAAATGAGGCCTGAACACCTCCTTAAAGCGTAAAAGCTAGCAAAAGCACTGCTTACACCCTCTTAATTTAAGAACAATTAAGAACAATCCAGCCTCAGATTTTCGAAAAAAATTAAGAACAGTCAGCCTGAACTTAAATTTACTGGTTCTTATAAAAAAAGAGTGTAATTGCTGTTTCGTTTTTAGATTAAGGAAAACATTTATTAAAGAAACACTCTAGTGCCTAGGCCACGTCTTATTAGATAGCGTAGTAATGAAACTTTGGAACTGATAAATTAATGCTTGATTGTGGATTGTTAATTCAAAATACACAATTCAGCTTAAACCAATTCAGTTGTTTCTGTTCCGTACAGACCATTTTGGCAAACGTCCTTAAATGCTAACGTTTTCTTGAAACTGTTGATGTGGGCACAACCAAATGAATTCTTATGATCCATGGGCATATACATAGAAGCCTCGATTTTTTGGCCTAATAAAAGCTTTTCTAGAATTGAAAAGCAAAAGCGAGGTTTCGTCAAATCTCACTTTTATCTTTAGACTAATAATAAACTCAACATGTCTATGAACTAATCTCTTTGTACTAAATCTTAAACGGGAGTGCTTTGACTTTGGTTGAAATACTTTTTAAAAACCGCAGATGATACCTGAAATGTTGCTTTCGAGCGATCTAAACACCAACATGATCTAAATTCCGTTTTATGAATGATACTTTTTACTATCAAAAACCTTTTTTTAAAGTCTTCACTTGAAATATATTTCTTGGCCTGCTGAGAGACGAGGTCAAATACAGCCACACAAAAGATTTGTGATGCATATATTAACTGCAATATCACAGACAAATAACTTTTAATATCAGCAAATATCAACAGCTAGCTTATTGCATTGATCAAATACGCACGAATTGCAGCTTAGAGATTGGCTTACAAAACAAAACAAACAAAAGCAGTTTATATTACCACGAAATGATAACACCAAAACAGATTATGACGACAGTCTATGACAGAAATGCGTGTAAGAGGAACATTATCATTACTAAGGACAAATTGTGGATATTTAATTGAGCAACTAAATAAATCACCACTACTCTTTTAAGGAATATTCGATTTGCTATTAGTCAATAATCTAGTATCTGGAAAAATGGAAGAACAGATTACTATACCAGGTGATAATAAGGTGATAGTAGGTAGTGTCTTTCTTTCGATGATATTCAAAATACGAGGTCTTCTCTATATTAATATCTATTACCTTTTGACACTGAAAAGTTTCTTTAAAATGCTCACATAAAAGTGGTAATCCTACTAGAATTTGCAAGGCGTCATCTATGAGACCAAACGATTTGATTGATAGTTTTTGACAATGGAAATCGTAGCATCGGCATTTCAGTTTAAGGGTGGTTGTATTTAAATCGAGAAATTATCAGCCGCTATGATCAAATTTGCGTAAACCATTGGGGTTGTTCTGCCTTGTTCTCTTAACCATTCAAATCATACTGAAGCTGTCTGAATAAATTTTACCAAAAACAGGCTAAATTCCTTTATGCCCTTTAATAATGTGTGCTTAGTATAGGATGGAGTGCAAGAAAAAATCCTGTTAGAAAGCACCAGCAAAAAGCAGATCTATACGTCTACAAAACCCTAAAAGATAATCAGATTGCTATAAACCCTAAAACCCTAAAGAAATCCTTACGCAATACATCAGCTGCGACAGAAGCGACCCGTTTTTAATAACCCATAATGCATTAAATGTACCTAAGAAGTAGTCAATTTGAAGATAACTAAATTTATTCGCGGGTGGCTCATCTGATGAAACGCTTTCCAAGGAATGTCTGGACAGCTCTCACGAAACTCTTCGGGTAGGACCACGAAGTTTTGCGTTGAATTGCATTGGCCTGTATCGAAATTATGTGTAGCAAAAGACCCAGACTTTGGAAGAATCCCATCACCTACAAAGAATAACGTCCTTTATGACAAGATTGAAACTGAAGGTGTTAGAAAACATTCTAGATTTCAATGAAGATCTGATTAGAAGAGCAACATAGGCAGGACTGCAATGCAAAGCCTGGGCAGTAGCTGGAATCGGTCGCTTGGCCCCACCCTTTACTATTCTGAGACGAGGAACAGTTCACAGGAGCAAATGGAACAGCTTTGTAATAGAACCAAGCAATTGCGGTTTCTCAGCGAAACAAAAACCGAACGGGACCATGCTGAAAACGTAACATAAACTACCGACGCTCATTTGGGTATGGAGCCATGAGGCTTCGGACTTTTTTATAAAATAAATTGGGTTTAATTGCCCCATAATCAGTCCAATATTAACGGAAACAAAGATATTGGCAAAGAAATCAAAACCACTGACAGTGGAAAATCTTGGAACGATTGACGAAACGTTACTACAAGTGAAAATGAGATTTGAGCGTTCTGATTGGTCAATTCAGACCTCCCAGTCTATAGATAGCCAATAAAATCAATTCAAATACCTTCAAAGAGCCAAGAAGACCTCCATACATAGCACCTGCAACTGCTGGGGTCCAAGCATCCTGGCCAGCCATGTACAACCCATCAATCTCAGTGTCACCTCTCATTATCCAGCGCATTGAGGTCTTGCTAAAGTAATCAAGATTGCAGCGAGTACCATAAGAACCCCCTCTGTAAGAGTGCAAGAATGTTGCGTCTGATATCGGTGTTCCCAGCTCGTACCACAGGACCTTGCCCTTCACTTGTGGTACCTGAAAAACGATCGAAATGTATGTAAATGTGCCAGTGCAAGATACTGACACGAAAGTAGTACGCATGAATCGTGCCTAAGTGAAGTTTTGTTTATCTATGATCCATCAGAGTGTTTGTGAGTACTGGATGAGGGCAGAAAAATAATGCTAGAAATTATCCACAAATAGCATACCTATACGACTTCAAAACCCTACTATATAATCGACAATTTTTCAAGCAACTTTCTCGTTCTTGCTTGGAGAGGCGACTTACTCAGGGGGAACATTTTAGATATCAAAAGTCACTTTGACCTCATCAAAAGGGATGAAGAAGCTAGAGTTGAAAGATGGATGCTTTTGGAATCTTGAAAGTCTGAATGTCTCCTGTTTACCACTACATTTTTTTACATTATAAGCTACTCAACTACAAAATAGAAGTGATAAAAAACAACTCCATTTCGAACATGAAATGATCCAATAAATACAATTATGATGATGATGATTAATGGTCATAATCATCATCCCATAGAATAGAAAACAAATCTAAATACCACGCCCAAACTCAAGATTGTTTTTTAAAAGTGTGAAGGAATTGTCCCGAGGTAGGTGGGGAAATTCCTTGAATCTATTTTCGAAAAAAGTTAAAATATCTTGAAGTATTTGAGCGTGATGAACTTTTGGAAGATGAACTTTTCACCGGTTACGAGTTTCGGGCTCAGTTCCTTATAAGTTATCAAACTTTGTACCGTAAAAGAGTTTACAATACAGAAAGAACCAAGATGAAAATATCTGGACCAAAAGTATGGCGGTGAGTTCTAATACTTAGGTATTGATCACACCTTGGAATAGAGAACGTCGAGTAACTTGGCAGCGAACTTTTCCTTTAGCTGGTCGTATTCATCCCCTCTTTTGTGCGTTCTAAGATCCTCCCACTTCTCGAACCACTCGTACTTTCCATCAGATATGAGGATGCAATTAGAAATTCCGGGATGGCGGTCCTTCCAAGTCGGGTCCTACAAAAACAAGACGCATTGCATTTACTATCACCTGCAAAAAAGTTCAAGACTCTCCACTATAAAGGAATCAAACAGATCGCCCCCAAGTTCTCATTAAATTTCTTTCTAAGTCTATCAATTTTATTGGTGCATAAGTTTATATCAAAAATTCACTTTTAAATATCATTCTTCTTTCTTAATGAGTGAGAGAGGTCCATTTCCAAATGAGTAAGAGGAGCCCTTGTCATCATTTTTTGCTAAAAGCGATTCAAGTAGAATAGGCTAGGCAATTTCAGGGTCATTTAAAATTGCTCGTTTTTGCAAAATTGTCTTTATAATATTGAGCTTACAGACAGGAAGGTGTTTTTCTAAATTTTAAAGAAACATTCCTAGATTGGATTTATATTTGACATAAAAATTTAATGACTTTCTATGACTACGACATTGGAATAGAGACCATATTCATAATGTTTTGATACTTTGTAATAGCTTTAACGTGTTATGTCTGTATGTGGTTTGATATGTGGTTTTCTGGGTTTTTTTGGCAAAGTTATTCCGACAAATCGAACACAGTCCAAGCGTTTGGTATACCATATAGGTTTTCCAGACACTGCAATAGAAACGAATTTCAACACAGAGCAAATCCTTGTTAAAAGGGCCAAGCAAAGTGTTGTCGTTCCAAATTTTTGCAAGAAATAAAGATGAGAAACTACACAGAAGAGAGGATTATTTTGTAATTAACCTTTCGGGGACTTTGTCGATCGTTTTGGATAAGTAAGCAGATGTTTAGTGTTGATATCTAGCTAGACCGATCATAAATCATTGAAGATTTCTTATTACTTATTAAGAGAACGGTTTCTATGATCAAAGCTTTAAAAGGAACGAAGCAAGAAAAAGGATGGTGGCATGTGTTCGTAGCAGACCGACAATACATAACTCTTCTCTTTATGCTTTGTTTCTTGATCCTACATTTCCGAAATCTCCTCAACAGAATGATTAAATAGAAAAAGATGACATTGAAGCTGTTCTCCTGTTTTTAGTTAAGAAACAAACGGCCTTCCGATGCCTTAGGAAGCTATGCGAAACTTTGCATATTTCCAGTGGCATCCCCTTCTCCCTTGAAAACAACGTTCTCGATGAGATACTTTGGATCGCTTAGGTGGAAATCTTTCAACTAACATTGCTTTAATACTATTTTTGTAAATATAATAGCAAACAGTTAATTCTTAAAAGTGCAAATTTTCGTGAGAGTTACGCCGCTTTAAGGCTGATATTCTAAAGAAAAGTGGAAATTTGTTTAAGAGTACACTTTGGAAAGCACAAAATTTGACATTTTACAGTAAGGCACAAACTGCCTTTCTCTCTAAGCTGAGAAAACAAACAGTTACATCATTCCCTTCGAATTGTCATTATAACTATTTTTCGTTTTCGCGAATCTATTTCTTTGTTCACCGTTACCAGTTCAGTATGAAGTTCAATCCCTTGTATATCTTCTTCAGTAGCCATTTTACTGCCCTGTTGTCCTTTTTCAATAAATATTTGCAAGCAATTTCTAACCCGAAGCAATTTCTAACCCGAGGCAAGGTGTTTACCTTGCTCAAGTAAATACCTTGCTTCTTTTGTCCCTAAGTTGTCCGCCTTAAACAGGTTTTACTGTATAGCTAAAGGGGGAAAGAGGGGGAAGAAAGAGGGTGATTCACCGATTAAGTAACGCTGCTGCTGCCAGTTGGTATCCTGTTATTGCGCCGTCTAGTAGAGATTTTGTTAATCATGAACAATAGATGTCTGCAATATCTACTTACGTAGTGAATAAATGGTGTATCTAACATATTTAGAACAAGTTGATGACCAGCTTACCTTGGTACAAGGAAACCCAAGATACACGGTGGGCGGTTTGTGATCTGTGGGGTTATCAAAATACTTATCAAAACATTCATCGGTGTCATAGCCATTGAAATACCAAGTGTTTGTCTTCGGGATTCCAACCTCGTCCGCGTCACCTGGAACAGTCAATTCACAAAGATTATTCTCATTGTAATTTTGCCCGTTGTTAGACCTATATCTAATAGAATGTGTATTTCGTTAGATAAAACTAGGAACAAGAAGAAGATATTTATAGCTGTATCTATAATCGATAGTATTTTATAAAGCAGCAAAAGCGAAGGTATTCTGAAGCAAGCTCATCCACTGTATATAATTACAATAGTAACGGGAAATACACCAATGCTTTCATTGGAGCAAAAATGGTTATAATAAGAATCATACCTTTAATAGCAACAAAAAGGTACATATGACCATATGATGGTATCATCTTGTTTGTTTCCTTGAATTCTTTAACTAGAGGTAAATTTTGCGGAAGTAGCTTGTTGTACAAGTTATGAATGCCAGTCGCATTAATGACAATTGGAGCCCGGATTTCTATCATGTTTGGTTTCTTTTCCGAACCCGGTTCTATTGACGTGGCCTTGCAGACCCGGACACCAACGGCACGTCCATTTTCGATCAAAATTTCGTCAATGTGGGCATTCACTAGACACTCGCCACCATATTCATAAACAACCTGCATTAGACAACACGTTCTGTAGAATGGGACTAAGCCATGAGATAAGAAAGTATCTATGATCCTGATGGACAATGCAATCCCTCTTTCAAACATGGTATTGCTTCAAAAAGCTTAAACCATACAGAAAGGTGTAAATATCAAATTTGTGGAAGCAAGGAAAATACAACAAAGTTAGCCTATTTGCACGAACATGAAAATCATGGTTGATCTCATTCAGACACGGGGAAAGAAAATAAGATGTAGAACTATTTTAAAGAATTCAGTTGGCTGGGATAATGCCAGTGTGTCAACCTAAACCTCTTTTACCTTCTTTATAGCTTCCTCAAAGGAAGAAACTAGTCAAAAAAGAATGTTTTTCCTTTTCGAGAATCCATCATCGTGATAGCATATTTGCCAAAACTTTAGCTAAAAACTAATATAGTCAAAAAGAAATATTTCCTTAAACTCAATTCAAGAATCAATTATTAAGTCATGAATACAGGTTAAAATATAGGTTCATAGCACTAAGAATTTCAGGCCGTGAAAACAAATTAGCCCTTAAGTTACTTTAAAGAAAGAAAACATCTTACTATAAATAAATACTTTAGAAAAATATTGGTACCTTGGCTGCGCTTTCAGAAATGGACTGAGTTGCTCCATTTGTATATGAAGCACCATTCATATAATACCAAGCTGTGAGGGAATGTGCAACTACTGATGAATCTCTTGGTTGACAGGCATAATCTCCCAAAGGATGAACCATTACCCCTGAAAAAGGAGATTTGAAATGCAACCTGTAAGTGGGCAGCCCAAAAAAATTTCAAAAAAATGTTCAGTTATGTTTCATGTTGAGTATTATAATAGAAAAGAACAGGAAAATCCGAGAATAAAGATTAAGTTAGCAATGGGACCCCTTTGAAATGTGGCCAAAAATGTGGATCTTGGTATAGCATGGACCCAGGGTCACCAAGCCACCTGAACAGTGGGGTGCAAGCAGGGCTGCCACCAAAGGGGGGGCAGCCAAGGCAATGATACCAGGGCCCAGGCCCTGAATTTGCTGAGTAATAGGTGTGGTATTGGCGTAACAAGAGCATTGTTTGGTTGTATTAATACAGGGCCATGAGCAGCTGCAAAGTACTTCCATAGAAATAAATTCATTTTTCTTTGTTTTTAGTAAGATCTTGAAACCTTGTGTATTGTTTTTTATTATAAGGTATTTTTTTCAGTTTTAAGTTTATTGGTAATTTTGGAGATTTGTTAACTAAGTCCTAATTTTGCTGAATTTGCTGAGTGACTTAGTCCCAGGAGGTAGCTGCACCCAATGCAACCCCTTTAGCGACAGCCATCAATGGACCATCAGCAAACTTTAACACAGTTACTTCAAAATTACTATATATACATTATTATGAAATGTGACCGATCGTCAAACAAATGAAATATAAGAAGAAATACCACAAGCTTATGCAATTGAATGAATCCTGAGATAGTACACAAGATTCAAATATGATGAAAGTCTCATAAAGGCTGCTAGCCTGGGGATCAACAACAAAAACTTTGACACCTGCTTGTAGCTACTACTTTGATAGATTAACTTTTTAACTAATTTTTATAAATTATTCATTACCTTTTAAACGTCTCCAGGTATTTTCAAGCCCTTTTTCCTCTTCTTTGGGAAGAGCCTTGTGCTGCAAAATTTCATCTTCAGTGAACCCATGTGACAGCATGCCATCAAGAGTGTAGCCTGTTGTTATTTTGCCATACTTGAAAAAAGAATTGTACAGTGGCTCCAGCAGCCCTTCCAGCCATCTGGGAAACAAGCGTACTAGATACAGAGGTATAATTGTATTGTGTGCTACACGGCAAAATTCTAGAAATCTCTTCAACCTTGGCTTCAACTTTGGCTCATCAGGGTTAATCCTCTGGGAGATCTCTTCAATCAGCCTCTCAGCCCCCTGAAGAAAATCATAGCTGTCATTATTAGGGCAACCTTTGTCGACTCTTGGGTCATGTGGAAGTACAAGGCAGTCATAGGGATCACCAAGGTCATTCCATTTCACTTCACCATCTGTCACATACTTCATAATTGCTCCAGAGCGTGCAGTATCAAAGGACATATCAACTGCACAGTAATGACATCCTGTGTCAAACTCGCAAGTGCTAAACCCACTTCCGTCAAGGTTACTGCTTGACCAACTGAATGTATGTGTGCAGCCACCAAGTTTGTCATGCCTTTCTAGCACCAGAACTTTTTTCCCATGCTTGCTAAGAACAGAGGCAGCAGACATACCACCAATCCCTTAAAATTAGACAGAAATTTTTGCATATTACATAAATACAACTCTACTGGTAGCATTTTGTTTTATACTAAAATGCACTTTGGCCAATTTATGAAAGCTGGCATGATTTCATGAATGTGTATGTATAGGTTACAACATATATTCTGTGGTCACTTTATTTGTAACATCAAAACAAAAACTTCTTTTTTGTGAAAGGTGAGAAAGTTACTACAAGTCAAATATTTTTTTTATAACTTATATTTGTATTTAGAGATATTTTACAATGCTTTACAAGACCCTGTTGAAAAAAGAATCAGTGAGAAGGTGTTCTAATGCAAAAACTATTAGAGGAAAATTACCATGAATGCTGTATAAATGAAATTATGGGACAATTAAGGGACAATGTCATTGCACAACCGATCTCTAATGTCTGCTTGTATACCACTATCCAGTAGGGACACTACATCAACCTTCTTAAAAAATTGCTGGGAAAAGTATCTGCTCTCTGAAAGAAAGGGCTTTGTCTTATGTAGCATCCGAAAAAAGTGTTCAATATTTTAGTATTGATTCTCTAGTTGATTCTCTATAGTTTTGTTTATTTCGAAGTTCAAAAGACCTGTCGTTTTCCTGCTAGCTCTCTGGTGACACCCTTTGACTACCAATAATTACAAAAGATATCTTTATCATAGCAAGACAACAAGACAACATGGCGATTTTGAATCGTTCATAGGATGAAAATTGAAATCAACCGGTACCTAATCCAGTAGTCGAGGTGATAATCTTAATTCAGGATAGGGGCACATGTCACAACAGACATAACATTCGATTTTTTTAAAGCAGCTTCAAAGTTTCGATCATAATATCACCGAAAAAGAAATTGGTATCTCAGAAGCACATGACTGAGATGTGATACCGATATTGCCACAATTCTGATTATGTTGAGTGACAAATATGTAACAAACTTAAGTGACAAAATCTATGTGCCAGACTGCGTGAAGCAAAATAAATGTATACATTCACAGCCTCTGTTATCAGATATTTAAGAAAGTTCTGGGTGGAAGCATTCGGAAGTATTGGTGGAAAGCCGGGGCCAGGCATAGCTGCTGCCATTTTATTAACACTCGTGTCATAAATAGTCAGATGGGTATTTTTCAATCCGTTATAGGCCTACTGCATATTTGTAAAAGAGAGTGAATTTGAATCTTATTTTAGGATTAAAATAATGATTATATTCTGGATTACATGCGTTGCACGAAAGATTTAGAATACTTTCTACCTAGCGCACACCGGGCTGTTGAAAGTAAACACAAAATTTATCCGTCACCCAATCCGCGCAAATGTTGCACACGGAGAAAAGGTTACACGGCTAGTTTTATGAATCAAAACTGATTTCAACTAAACACTCCGCACGAAACATCTGCTGCAGGTAATTTACATTTTCGACAGATAGATACGTGTCTGTCCTGCCTGCAAAAACGTTCCATTTTTAATGCATTTTGGAAACTGTACTTTGGATTGAAAGGTCAAAGGTCTAGCCTTGTTTCAAAAGGGGCTGGTGGCTAAATTTTTAATTTCAACCTTGAAATCTTTAAGCCAAACAAAGGCATAGTGAAAGAAGGTATACCCAATGTAGCAATCGACTTCTAACTGACAAAACTTTGTGTCGATCTTAAACAGAATTTATAAACAATAAACGACAGCGTCGATTATTTCTCCCAATATCTGTTGTGGAAGACCGATTTAAGGCACGCCCCTTCAATTCCAAAACGTGCAGGCTTAGGGTTGATTTCGCTCATCAGTTTAAAAAACAAATTTGATAATTTCAAAAATTGTCTTTGATAAATCACTTACCTGATCCGACGACAATAACATCGACATTGCTTGGGATCTTCGAAGTAGTGAAGCGATTTCTGATCAAGTCAAGCTTCGGGTCGACAGCCCTCTTCTTCTTTGGGTGCGGTGGTGCTATCAAAAGCCAAAAAACGCAAACAAGAAAACCAAGAAAGCAAAAGATCCCTCCTGCAATTTCCAGCAACGCCATTCCTCTATTCTGCCTGTGTTACCAACAAGTCAAGCAGAAGACTAGTTCGTTACAAAACGGGAGGTACCCTCCTTCTTCACAAATAAATCTTTCGATTGATCGAAGGGCATGAAATATGCCGCAGACCTATACAATAGGCGCTAATAAGCATGACAAGGGTGGTTTGTGAACCTGCAAGTCAAGGTAAATATACATTTGTACGCCCATTTCATTACCAGGTGGAATCCCCATTTTGTTTCTGTGCGATCACCCGCAACATAGTTTCCCGCCATAAAGCGCCAATCCAGCGTCCTCACAGTTTTCTAAACGTGCTCGGTGCAGTGCTCAGGGGAAGGGGTCAAGGGGTCACTGACCTTGGGGCTATGGCTATATGAAAAATCAAAAGTAATTCAAACGAGCTAGTAGCTTTAGATGATTTTCTAGTAATTTAACATCATAACATTAACACGAAATTACTACAATAGTATTGCAGGCCAAGCCCGGGCCGCGGAACGGATTTATGGGCCCCGGTTCAGGCCGAAAAATGATTAGACAGGCACATCTTGGGCGGACTCTTCTAGGAGGCACGGGGGTACTCCAGGGATCTTTAATGTGCAATCAACACAAGAAGTGCAGTTCTTAAAACTTTTCGTGCAGTTCTTAAAACTTTTCGTGCAGTCCTAAAATTTTACTTTAATAAACAAAAAATTCAGGAATTTATTGCAGACAAAAACAAACAAAAGTTTAAATGATGAAACACAACAAACTCACAAAGATGACGCCAAAATTAAGCAAACATCTTTTGGTATATAGAAATTGAAAGATAAAGAAAACATTCAATGGTGAGAAAATACAATGCTTATAAAAATAGTCTTTAATTCGTTTTTTTAATCACGCATACACGAAGCACGAAATTGATAGCTTCAAAGCAGGACCCCTTTTTAACCTCTTGAAAAAACAATATTGAAAAAATCAAGGACAAAAATAAATCATGTCACCAGTTTTGAATTGAAATTTTTCAGTTGTTTGGCTAAACGACACAGACAAAAATAAGTAAGAGGCAATCCAACATTTACTTATAAAGTGCAATTGCTATTTATACCTTGCTTTATTGTCATTAGTATCGCGCCGTCTAATTGGCATAAACTCGAAAAATAAAGACGATTTTAAAATGTTTTAAAGATTATATAACACTTTTTAAAGTCGTTCCACAAACACAATTTTGTTTTTCACGATTCTGTATGTTGGTCTCTTGGGATTCGATATAACCAAGAACTTGCAATTGTTCGAAGGGGCGGATCCAGAGCAAATTTGAAAGATGGTAGTGGGGGCGCTGAAAAATTTTCAGAAATTGGCGACGAATGTACGCTGTACACAACAATTTCAGACCCTAACTACTGACAGAAGGCTCTCCATTCACCTTGTAAGGGAATTTTCACAATATTTGTTGCATTCTTTGAGGTAATCCTTGAAGTAAATCAACCTGCAAGTCTCAGAAACCTGATTCTCAATCTTCACAAGGGGCGCACAGTTTTCGAAAATTGGGGCACCAGACTTGCTTCAACTCGGTGAAGGAGGGGCAACTGTCCCTAATTGCTCCCCCCTCTAAATCCGGCACTGATTGTTCCTATATTTTCAAAAGTTTGATTTTCTACTTTAAAGTACTTTATAATTGCTTCCAAGTTGAGCTAGAATCTACTGATATTACATAATAAATCTATTAGGAAAAATTTTCTTTATACGTTTTATTTCCCATATGCATGGCAATAAAACATGTATATTTTCAGTGTCACCGAGAGAATTGTGCAACTCTAAATTTTCTTTAAAAAACCTTGGGGAATGCATTGGCCTGGGGGCTCAAGCTCCTTGAAAAGATTTGGGGAAATGGCTTCGTCACCCTACATTCTTTTTGATACAGAAAGGATTTAGGGGGTTCATAAAAGGGTAGCATATTTTCACTATCTAAGGAATTAGGAATAAAAAAAATTTCTGACTACCTTGAGATGTACCAACAGGGGCTCACTTTGGACTTTCCGAGAATTCTGAGACATGATTTTGCCTTTCATCTTTTTTCTGTCACTGGTATGCCAATTATAAAAAAAACCTTTTCCAACAAAACACGTTTATGACTAGTAGCTCTTTTGTTTTTAGCAACATTTTCTTGCATTTTTCTCAGTTGTAATTTGCTAGCCTGAATAGCAAGTTATGCACCCAATATTGTCCAAAATGCTTCGTTCTGAACTTTGCTTCAAGTTCTTTTCTCTTAATTGTTCAACAGTCCATGTTATGTTTATTGTTAGCTTGACCCCTGAAAAAAATTTAGGGGGCTTAGCCCCCCTGGGAAATAAGGAATTTGGCTATCGATTTGTTAGACTAATTTTTCACATTCTTAGTTTCATGGATAAAAATCGTCTCAAGAGAAAGTCTGCGCCTATAATTCCTTTTGATAATCTGTAAGATAGTGTTCTTTGATTCATAAACATCTTTCATTTTTCTTATGTTGTCTAGTGTAAGATATTTTCATCTGTTTACATTATAATGATGCCATGATGAAATTCTGCTTTTTGGTTTGATACCAAATAGTTTGCAATGTGCCTTGTTTAGCAGCTGTTTCGCTTCTAGCTAAAACTTCATGGAATTTTTCGCAAGGGTTTATCATTCTATTATGCTGCAGACATCCATTTTTGTCGTCTCTGGTAGTTGTTCTCGTGGTGTAGAAATTTCATTCTTTTGTTAAATCTTGTAGCATCCTTTCTCAGTTCATTAATTTCTTCTTTATATGAGCCAGCATAGGTGATTTTCTGCATCTTTCAGTTTGATCAAGAAACAACCTTTCTGTTTCAATATTTAAGGGCCTGTTTAGCCCATAAAACCAATTGTATTTAAATAGTACCTTGCAAAAGTCTAAGTTAAGTCATAGAGTTCTTTTGACATCATTTTTTCTATCTACAATGTCATATGCATTCCACAAATCCTATAGAAACTGATGTGAGGTGTATCAAATACGCTCTTTGCTTTTTATAAAAACAATTTTATAGAAACACGAGCCTCAAAATTGGCTGAGCTACTGTAAAATGCAAATTTTAACAACATTTTATCTCAAAAACGAGAATTTCTAGCCATATGTGGGTGCTTTTTCGGTGAATATTCAATCTTGTTGAAATGAAAGTTGTCCCACCAACTTTGTTGGCAAATGAGGCCTGAACACCTTCCTAGAGCGAAAACACATTCTTGACTTCAAGAACCACTATTTCTGGACAAATCAACACTGGATTAGTCCCTGTTATGTTACAGAAATTCTTCGCTCAAGCTTCATGATAGCATAAGCAATTGTTTTTCTTCTGATAACCACTGCTACTGAATTTAAAGCCGTGGTAAATTTGGCAAAAAAAGCTTGAAAACATCGAATCGTTTTTTGATGCGAATAGAAATGAATTTTCTTATCGCCATATTGGACTGGACTCGTGTGCATTACGACAATGATGCTTGGCGAATTGGAAACTAATGAAAAAATAGCCAGAAATATAAATTCCTTTTTTCATTTCCCTAGTGACCTGTGAAAAATGCCTTCTGCCAAAATGATGCAAAACTCAAAATCTCAAACCCTGGAAACTCTAAACTACTGTATTAGTTTGGTCTTCTAATCGTTGAAACAGAATTTAGGACAGCAGCCGAGAAAAAACATTTAGTTGTTTAATTCATTCTTTTTGTGATGAAATTAAAATTTCGTGAAAATTAAATTAAAAGATTAGTTATATTTCTAGTACCAAATTATAGTGGTACTACAACAGCCATTGCCAAAGTTGGCATAGGCCAAGCTTCAGCTGGTTACTTGCGAAATGATAAAAACAAGAGTCAATTGACTGAACTTCTGGCTTAAATAGCAGCAAGGCCAATGACGCAGCAGTTGTGGTGACGTAGAAGACGCCATCGTGATTCAAGATTCCTGCTAGTCTTCTTGTATATTCTAGAAAAAAGAAACAGATTTATTTATTATCACATGAAAATTTATGATAATGAAAATAGTTTTTAACCTAGTTTCATAGCTTAAGTTTACAAGAATGCCGTGAAATTTGGCCAAATTTAAAGCATTTCAAAAATAGGACGGAGGGCATATGTAAGCAGAAAATGACATCTCCGTCAGCTACAAATGGGCATTTTGCAGTTTTAGAGGACCCTCATGAAAAGCACCCTCGAGTGACTGAGGCCATCCTCTGTAGATATTTGTCTTATTATTATCATTATTATCATTTTACCTCTGTTTTGGAAAAGTAGGTACATCAGATCCTGTACTCCCAGGCTCCTAAATCTATGTCCATTATACATGTTAAAGAGAATCTCATTTTTCTTAAAGAATAGAATTCTCAAAGCAGACAAAAAACGACAATGAATATTTATGGAGCTTTGATGCCAGGAAAGTTCATGAAAGTTCAAGAAACGACTAAAATTGGGAACAAACTGGCTTTCCTGAGTAACTCACCTCTTGTTCAGGCCAATTCCATAGAGAAATCCATCCGACCCCATGCTTATATCAACGACTTGGCCACTGTTTCTCAAAGGTCCTCTCCACTTGGAGTTGTAACTTCTTCTGATATACAACTTCTTGTTCATCCCGATGCCAACAATTGCATCTCTGCTTGTTTTAGTTATTCTCGTCACTGAGCCAGATCTTCCAATCAGCCTCCATATGCCATTAACACCAGCTCGTTGCCAAAGTCTATTGCGCCTTCCTACTCCAATGACGCGCCCACTGCGTAACTGTACGACTGATTTGACGCAACAGGAGCGCGAAACCTGTCGCCATGAGCTGCTATCCACTGACGACCTGGTGTACATTTTGTGATCCATTCCAATCCCAACGAGTTGTTTGTTTTTCAGTAGCGTGATGCTTGTTACCTGGAATAGCACATTGACAGAATCAGTTGCGGAAATTCAGGCTTTAATTTAGGGGGGGGAGGGGGGGCGGTGGCCAGGCCTACAATTTTCCGACAAGATAACATCTTGATCATGTTCAATTTTAAAGAAACTGCACATTTGATAAAAATAGGTGATTTTTGACGGAATCCTTTTCTGTGGTCGGGAAATCTTTCCTGACCACACCATAATTAAATAGCAAGAAGAACAATCCGTTTATGATTTTTGATATCAAGATCGCTATATCATCTAAGACAATTGATGGTACAAGAGGTCGACCGATTATACTTTTGCAAAAAGGGCACAGAGAAGTTAAAGAGGCCCCTGGGGTAAAAAGGGAAAATGCAGATCACCTGCGAGCGAAGCGAGCAGAAAATTTGACAATTATGCCCCTTAGACTAGCTTAAAATTCCTTTTCAGAATGATTTCTTGGAGTAATTTTGACACGTTAAACGGTTGTCAATTATCCGGCAAAAGCCCGATTTGGGGGCCCGAGCCCCCCCCAACCCCCATAATTTCCGCCACTGGACAGACTTACTGGACAGAGTTACTGCGTAAGAGAGACTGGATAAATTTGGCTGATTCAAAAACAATAATGGTAGTTTCGGTGTAAAAGAAAAACACTCTTCTTTGTCATTTCTTACAACACGATGTAAACGAAGATGTTCTGGAAGTGGCTTGAAATACAGTTTTTTTTAAATAGGCACATTTAGTGCAGCAAAGCAGCTTATATTTTTTATCAAGAATCCAAAGAAAGAACCAAATTGAAAAATATTCAAGTGTGGAATTGAAAATAAATATTTCATTGTTCTTCCACAGATTCTGTACTGATGACCTCAAGCAACAAAAGCCAAGAATAGCAAAAATCTTTAAATCTCGTCTCCTTATCACTCTCACTAAACAGTTGAACAGTTGAGACTAAAGTTCTGAAAAAGACAACTCACCTTTCCACTGCTGAGAACAGAAAACCATGGAGCACGGTCGTTTGGCTTGAAATACAGCTCTCTGTTCGTACCAACTCCTACAATTTTGACTGGTACACGTCTGCTCTTCACTTGTATTGATTTTACACAACATGTATGGTGGCCCTGGAAAGCCCATCTAACTCTGCGGGTATTGGCAAGAACAGTTGAGTACAGTTTGTTGTTCATGCCAACGGCTGGATGAAAAAGATTTAAAGGTTTTAATGAAGAAAATCAGGAACTCTTTTTAAGTCTTACCTGCTGTAAACTGCAGGTAAGGCCTAGCTGAAGAGATGGAATAGAGTAAATAAAGATATTGCTGGAGAGGTACATATAAACCAAATCATTTCACAGATATATATTAGAATTATATGTTAGATTAAAATATATATATGTTATATATGTTATTTTCCTCCTATATTATATGGGGAAAAATATTTGTTAGATTAAATTATAGATACTGAAATCTTTAAATTGTCATTTGCAAATTAAATTTGAACGACATATCCCAGTGTCCTATTCATTTGAAAAACCTTAATTTGTATTAATAATGAAGAGACTTTGCATTGAGAATATAAAACATAAATTTGGATTGGTTTGAAATTTAACTGACGTTAATGCTTAGAATTGATGCGTAAAAGGTATTAAGCAGAATGCGTCACTGTCGACAGACAATCAAAGAAATTTGCACATCACTGGAATTAAAATGTTTGATGATATTAATTCAAAAGATGACGAAAATCATGTTCAAGATAAGACTAATTATTTAAAAAAATTATTTTTAGATGTAATTTTACTTACCATAGGTAAAATGCTTGTTGACGTCATCTCGCACCTCAATGTCTTTGACACAGCAAGAGCCTGGAATTTTTCTCCATCTGCTAGCGAGGCCCTCTCTTCGGTATATAAAGTTGTCCATACCGACACCGTATAACCTACCCGTTACTCCTGCCACGGCCTTGACAGTACCTGAATGCGGATATGGGCCTTCCCAACGACTGTTAAGTGATTTCTTTGAGTAGAGTTTGCCATTCATACCAACTCCGACGATGGTCATTCGATTGCACTTTTCAGCCCTAAATGTTGTAACATCCTTCACGCAGCACGAGTTTGGAACAAGAGACCATCTTCCGAACAAATTTCTTTTTATGTAAATGTGTCTGTTGAAAGAAAAGTAGATTTATTAGTACACTGTTGCCCTAAAAAATAGCCTGATATGTAGAAAGTTGTGAACTATCTAAAAGTATGACCTGAAAAATATTTTGCAATACCATACTCTTACTTATCTACCTTCTATCTACACCAACTCAAAGAAAAGAGATAGAAGAAGAAAAGGTGGCCTACTCATTAAACTCGATAAACTTATAAACTCATTCCACAAGTTAGGAATGTACACAACATTCCTTTTAGGTAAATGATTTGAGCCAGTAACCCCCTTACCCGCTACAACTAGCGAAGGGGGGTTTCCTGTGATTAGTTCAAAAGTTCAGCTCAGCTCAATTCAATTCAATTCAATTAAGGAAATTATTCAACAATCCAATAAGACGCTGAAGTAAGTGACGTCACCTGTTTAATCCAACACCAAGAATGTTGCCGTTCTTCAAAAGATGAATCTGAGTGACGCAGCAGCTGTTAGGAACAAGAATCCATTGTTTACTTCTGGAAGTCGTGCTTCTCATATAAAGATGGTTGTTCATTCCAACTCCAATGAATCTGCCATTGACCTGTATAATTTTTCTTGGCTCGCCTTTGTCAACACAAATAGCTTGCACACAAGCCAAAAACAGAAGACTCACGTAGAAAAGCATCTTTCAGTCTTTCTAAGTCTACAAAGATATGATATATAGGACATGATATTGTCGCCTGATATGAAAAATGATTAAAAAATTGTTGTACCAAGCAAAAAACAGTGATTTAAGCATTTCATATCGTAGAAAAACTTTTCACGAAGAGTAAAACTACAAGAACATTGCTATTTGCAATTAAATTTACTCCACGGGTATCTATAACGCTCCCTGGTATTTGCGCTTCTAATGCCTGTTAAATATCTATAGCCAGTGCGTATCGGTTGATATGTTGCGATGTCACAGAAATAGAGAGAGCGATACTGTGCGAACGGAGCTTGTGATTCAATACGTTTGTAGAAACAAATCGCCTTAAGAAACTTTTGCTATTCAGTTGTAGATTTTAGGAGCGTACTACTCTCGTGACAAAACTTTGAACACGAAAACAACTATCCATCAAACTTTGGTTATGCTACGCTTAATCGTAAACAGAATCCCTTAGCAGCTTTTCCCAAGCAGCTCTTGAAAAACCAGCAAATTTTTCCGTTTTGCAAAATCTGTTTCCATTATAACAGGCCAGAAATGACTGTTTCTTAAAAAGTTGTTGGCAAGTTGAGGGTTTTGAAGACACATCTCGAAAAAGTACATTTGCAAATGAAAATGATAAGCTAACGTAATCTATGGAAAATATGATTCTTGGACTAAAAATTCCAACTCTGTAAAATGCAATGCTATGAAAAAGCTGAGCAATATCTGACAAGCGACAAAAAAGATCTGTTAAATCGCCTCGTACATATGAAATTGGATAAATATGATACGCAAACCACCTATCTGAATCATATTTTGAAGTTTTAGGTTTATGTACGGCGTTGCCTGACCGTTCCTTTCACAAATTTCATTATCGATGCTGCCTGGCCCATGCTAGTTCATTACGGGCCTAAAAATGAGAAATAGGTTCTACTACATACCTGTTGAAGCACAGCCTTGCCGTTGTGATGTCATTGCAAGCTCTGCCCCTTTTATTATCTCCAGATCTTTGAAAGAAAACATTTTTCAATGAAAGCCTTTGATAGGATGAAGCTACTTTGTGCCAAATTTTGTTTGGATTAGTGGAGTGCATGCACCAACGTGCTGAGATACTACTTTTCACAGTCTCAAGGTAATTGAAATGAGCCAGTAAGATGTGGTGCCCTTGTGCTTGTTTCCCTCGTTGAAAGTTTAAAACAAAGGCGACGTAGCATTGCAAGCAAGCTCTGCTTCTTTTACTTTCTTATGATCCTTGAAAGAAAACCTTTTTTTCAATGAAAACCTTTGCTAGAATGACGTTACTTTGTGCCAAATTTTGTTTAGATCAGTGGAGTGTGCTGGGATACTGCTTTTAACAGTCTCGAGGTAATTGAAATGTGCCAATAAGATGTGTTGCTATTGTGCCCTTGTGCTTGTTTTTCTGGTTTAAAGTTAAAAACAAAAACAACGGTTCATTCAAAACAACGTAGATTGAACCCCAACCATCTTTTTTTCCACTGAAACCATAACGATAATTGTTCAGACTTTTTAAATGTTTGTCCCTCAAAAAGAAATTAAAATATGCCTGTGTCTTTTTGTGAATAGAGAAACTTTGATCAATTCTGAATGTAAGTGCTAAATTGGACAAGACCTGCTTACACTCTTGCTATCGTTATTTCAATAAAGTTAAGTTTCTTGCTTGATTTTAGAAAAGTAGGAACTGTCTGCAATTTTTTAGAGGCAGCAGGCACTGAGCAACCGTTATCCATATCTAATTTCAAGGTGCAGTGTTAACCAAAATGTGCAGTGATACACAAGAAAAGTGTGCAGTAAATAGGAGGCAAATTGACGCATTTTTCACAAACTCCAAAATTTTTGAACTTTGAAGGAGAAGTTTAATATCCAAAACATACGAGGGCAGGGGGCAAAATGTCCACAAACAGACAGGGCAGGGGACAAAATGGCGATGTTTGGATTTATAGCAAAAATACAGGGCTATAAATCTGATTTTTTAAGAAGATTCCTGTACATTTATTCAAAATGTTCTCTCAATCCCACCAAAGGGTATGCAGAATGTACAAAATTGGTCTTAGACAGACGCAAAATGCTGGAATAGTAGATTTTCTTTACTTACGTGCGACTCTTTTGTCATCTCGTATTTTCGGCCCTATAAGAAGAGGTATTAGGGTGTGTCCCTTTCCTGGGAAAACTTTTAAACCCCATTTATTAATGTGATACCCCTTTTCAATTCGACACACAGTAAACTAAGATTCAAGGTCTAGAATGAAAAATAATACCAACACAGCTTTCAGCTGTTAAAATGTCAAACAACTTAATGGGGTGACTCAAACGACTTAATGGGGAAAACAGACTCAGAAAGTTTCAACAGGACGGTATGCGTTGGCTTTTCACGACGCCTGCTTCAAGCGATGGCTTTTCAAAAGCTGATTCAGATAGTTTGACGCACAAACAGCAAACAACAATTTCGAAAACCATAGATGTTTGCAGGGCGAGAATCGAGTATCTGCTGTCCGGTGTTTCTAAAAAAATTCAGACAAAGGGGCTGAGTTATCCAAAAAATACGAGCAAACGAAAACAATCCGATCGGGAGAGGGGTAAAATTTCTTTCTCAACGCAGGCTTAAAAGTAAGTTCAATTAAAAGTTTGTCAACGGGCTACAGCTATTATGGCTTGATTCATGAGTTTTAGAACCAGAGCCTAATCACAGCTGGGTGAAGGGTGAAGGCCTGTACTAATGTGGTCATTTCTTAGACGATTTTGAACAGTTTTAGCTGATTTGCAGATCTAGAGGTATTTTATGATGTTTTTCAAGTTCTCTGTTGAAAAACCAAAAAGCCTAAAGATAGAAACTTGTGAGAATATCACATTGCGAGTTTTGGAAGCCCAGGTAACCGGTGAAATACGCACGATGCCAATTTTAGCATGATTTACATGAATAATAGCAACAGCGATAAAAAATTCATCTACAGTTGAAATATAAAATTGTAGCAACTTGGCTCATCTAAACTAACATTAAGATGGTTGAAAAAGAATGAGTAAATTCTTGAGAGAAGTGTATTGCTGAGCATCGATTTAAGGAAAAATTTTATAGGTACCACGGGGCAGGAGGCTGGGGCTTTAACCTACCCCCCCCCCCCCACTTTTTGTCAATACATGTAACAATAATATGAGAAGAATAGCCTTTGAAAAAAGCAAACATTTAGTAAACTAAAGCTTTTCGTCTGACACTCTTCAGAGTTTAAAACGTCAGAACATAGATCAAAAACTCTACGCTAAGAAATATATATACCCAGTTGTGGATCGAAATAGGCCAATCAGAAACACGAGCACATGACTGTAAAGGTTGACCAATCAGTGCCGCTTGCCTATTAGAATGTTACCAATGGAGTCCTAAGGTGAAAACGAACTCCTTTTGTCTACACAGTAGCGTAGAGTTTACTAAATGTTTGCTTTTTTCAAAGCTATTTACAAGTTTTGTACCACCAAAAGATTGTTTGAATATGAGAAGAACAATCATTAAAGCCTCTTTTATTCAGTTTTAGCCCCCCCCCCAATTTTTTGACCCCCCAATTTTCTCTGCACCCCGTGGTGCCTGGCGTATAGGCAAAAATGGCAATCAACGAAGAATGGTAAGCACTTATTTCTTACATGGACAGAATGTGATATTATTATGCTTCACTTTCGCTGAACTAATGCTACTGGTTGCTGAAAAAAATCATGCCTGCGTGGTTCGCAGACCACTAACCACTTACAAGCGTCGCGTTAATACAGCTTTCACATGCCACGGCAACATTTTCTATGTGTTTTACTCTTTAGCTGAAGGCTGGGCTGTAATCGGAATCCCCAAAGGTTCAAAATATTCTTATGACCTCCATTGATGCCACGACGCCAAGAAATACACCTCTGTCACCATTATTGGTATAAAAAATTTGTGCTATACAATTTAAATCAAAGTTTTATTGTAGAAGATAGAAAAGGCAAGATTGAAAGTTTAAAGGTAAATGGCATGATTTTGCACATTGAGCGCTCCTTCAAGCTGCGGGCTCCCTCAAGGCTCTTGTCTTTGAACACCTTTATCTCAGATTAACATAGCGATCTTTAATTAGCCATAAAGCATTGGAAAGTAAACATATACTAGACATATACGCTGATGATACAAGTTTATTTCTGTCATAAAGCTCTGTAGCGAATATCGATGAAGGAATAAAGATCTTGAATGTCAAGTGTGAACGAAAATCTTGACAGATTTAAAAAATGGGGTATTTTGCAAACCAGCTGTCTTTAACGATACAAGGCATTCAATGTACGATAATTAGAGGCAGACAGGGTATGCAAGCCTATCAGAAATCCAGTAAGGGTGGAAATTCAGGTGGACAACTTTCAAGAAAGTGAAGTGGAGGAGACCTTGATTATGACTGGGGATAATGGAAGTGAAAAAATAGAAGAAGCCCAGAAACTAAGCAGTGCTGTCGCTACCATGACTGAAGACTGAAGAAGCAGTTGCTACAGTGCTGTCACTACCATGACTGGGGGTGTCACAACCATGACTGAAGACTGAAGAAGCAGTCGCTATAGTGCTGTCACTACCATGACTGGGGCTGCCATAACCATGACTGAAGACTGAAGAAGCAGTCGCTATAGTGCTGTCACTACCATGACTGGGGCTGTCATAACCATGACTGAAGACTGAAGAAGCAGTCGCTATAGTGCTGTCACTACCATGACTGGGGCTGTCATAACCATGACTGAAGACTGAAGAAGCAGTCGCTATAGTGCTGTCACTACCATGACTGGGGCTGTCACAACCATGACTGAGACTGAAGAAGCAGTCGCTATAGTGCTGTCACTACCATGACTGGGGGTGTCACAACCATGACTGAAGACTGAAGAAGCAGTCGCTATAGTGCTGTCACTACCATGACTGGGGCTGCCATAACCATGACTGAAGACTGAAGAAGCAGTCGCTATAGTGCTGTCACTACCATGACTGGGGCTGTCATAACCATGACTGAAGACTGAAGAAGCAGTCGCTATAGTGCTGTCACTACCATGACTGGGGCTGTCATAACCATGACTGAAGACTGAAGAAGCAGTCGCTATAGTGCTGTCACTACCATGACTGGGGCTGTCACAACCATGACTGAAGACTGAAGAAGCAGTCGCTATAGTGCTGTCACTACCATGACTGGGGGTGTCACAACCATGACTGAAGACTGAAGAAGCAGTCGCTATAGTGCTGTCACTACCATGACTGGGGCTGCCATAACCATGACTGAAGACTGAAGAAGCAGTCGCTATAGTGCTGTCACTACCATGACTGGGGCTGTCACAACCATGACTGAAGACTGAAGAAGCAGTCGCTATAGTGCTGTCACTACCATGACTGGGGGTGTCACAACCATGACTGAAGACTGAAGAAGCAGTCGCTACAGTGCTGTCACTACCATGACTGGGGCTGTCATAACCATGACTTAAGACTGAAGAAGAAAAAAATGAGCATTGGTTCAGAAAGAAATTATTGGAAAACACTTTCTAATTTTCATAAGGTCACACATTTACCAGACCTGATTACATTTTCATGACTGATCAAATTTCAGAAAAGCTCTTCAAATTGCAAAAGTTGGAGTACATTGCCAAGCGACAATGCTAACGGATCGACGGTATTTCATTGCTAGCAGAAGCTGCTCTTCAGTATAGCCTTTTTTAAGACTAATTGTTTCTAGAACGTTTTCCTTTGGTTTGCGTTTTTACAATATCAGCTCAAATGACGTTGTCGAGTTGCTGAATAACACGAAGGTAAAAACTTCAAAATGGAGGTACAACAAGCTAAATAATGGCCATCAGCATTTGAATTCCACGGGCTTGAAAGCTGCAGAGCCGCCATTTTAATGACGTAATGCAAACTTTGAATAGCAATAACTCGTTATTTGAGTCTGATAGAGTTAATTCTTTAGAACTGTTTGTTCCTATTACAATGCCAAATAAGACGGTTTGAGCGATTTTTCAAAACAAGAAAAGTAAAAATTTTGAGGACCAGTGAAAGTAACCTCGTCGATCACGTGATTCTATTTTGTAACAAAATTGTATCCAGGGCTTAAAATATTGTTGTGGGAAATTCCCGGGCTAGTTTGTCAGCACGCTCGCGTGAATTTGAACAAGGTGCGTTCGAAATATTTCCTGGAGAAAAATACGTTAAGATTTTCAGCTTTTGCCCGTCACAATGCGTCCCGTCACAATGCGTTATTTGCTGTTGTGTAAAAAGCTTTTTGGTTTAAGTGTTCACATCAATGCGTCATCGTGTGTAATTTCTTCATGCTGTTCTACTTGTTTTCGTCTTGGAAATTCGATTTATTGCTGCCTCGAAGCATCGAAGGCCCTTTTATAAAAGCCATTGGGTCCCAAGAATTTCATCGATCAACAATTTCATCTAAAGTGCTATTGAACAAATAACAATACGATAGTCATATCCTTTCCGTGAAATATGTTATCCTAGACTTAATTGCAGTGAACCTTGCCTTCTCCAAGCTGTTTCCAACTGACTGCTTACGACTGCTAATAAACATCAAAGCAAACCAACAAACTCGTCTTAAATTTCCTTCTTATTTGCATTGCATAAAAACGGATATTTTCTGACTGCCTCGACCAAACGTTCCTTCTTGATACGTTTTGCGACCATTTTTACGCAAGTCAGCTATTGTTCTGAAGCGTCGAAGTTGGATAAATCCAATTTTGACGCATCATGACGCATTACTGAAAAACGCGCTGCACGTGCATCGCGTCAAAAACGCAAACGTATTATGGGCAGCGTAAAGTCTGGTGTGCATTCAGTTTCAAATATGAAAATAAGCGAAGTTGCCTAAGACTTACAACTTAGAAGTAAGCTATTGTTCTGAAGCGTCGAAGTTGGATAAATCCAATTTTGACGCATCATGACGCATTACTGAAAAACGCGCTGCACGTGCATCGCGTCAAAAACGCAAACGTATTATGGGCAGCGTAAAGTCTGGTGTGCATTCAGTTTCAAATATGAAAATAAGCGAAGTTGCCTAAGACTTACCACTTAGAAGTAAGCTATTGTTCTGAAGCGTCAAAGTTGGATAAATCCTATTTTGACGCATCATGACGCATTACTGAAAAACGCGCTGCACGTGCATCGCGTCAAAAACGCAAACGTATTATGGGCAGCGTAAAGTCTGGTGTGCATTCAGTTTCAAATATCAAAATAAACGAAGTTGCCTTAGATTTACAAAAAACGCAAAAATTGACAGATATATGTGTTTCCCACTTCTATGTTTACATGTGACCTGGTTACAGCTGATGGTGGGCTTTTGTTTAATTCTATTGTAATGTCTGTTATTGATTGTGGGAAAGAACAAAGTTTCATCGGTAGGAGTTTATTCTGTCTAGTAAACAATACAAAAGCTAGGAAGGAAAAACTGTTCGTCTTGCTTAGATTTTGTCAGTGTCAGTATTCAGTCGTCAAAGTGCGAGTCATCAAGTCATTGACTTCGTCTCCGATAACATCATCCTCAGCCATAACCACCATTAGGTGCAGCCCTAGCAGTGAAACAAATGGAGAATGACAATGACTTTCCATTACTGTTTCTGTTTCATTCCATAACACAAAAGACCAAAAACACCAAAAAATCTAAGCCTTTAATTTAGCTATAATATGTACATTTTAATTAAACTCTAATGATTAGGAATTAATTTGAAAGAATGCTTGCTAACGAAAGCAAAATCAACAGAAAATGAAAGCTTATCAGGTTTGTATCCGACTTAAGATACAGACAGACGAAAATCGAGTAATCATTTAAGTGCCAGCGCGGAAAGTTAACATATATACAATAAACGAGACTGGAATGTAACTGGAAATTGTTAAAAAAGCTAACAAAAATCAATCTACTTGGCTTTTTTTTAATCTACTTGGCTTTCGAGGCAATTGAAAATGATTCCTTACTGAGATGAGATAAGGGCTTTAACATCGGCTGATTGCGCGTTAATCTTTAGTGACATTGTAAACAGCTGCCACAAAAAAACAGTCGGTGGAATGTCAGATTTTATAACTACCAATTCGTTTCATACAGTAAGAGATTACTAAAATGTACATAAACGATAGTAGCCATTCCATATACGGTAAAGAGCACAACCCTCAATGGAACGACGGGTAATACTGAACTGGTCATAGGTTACGTAACATACCAAGTAATCTACTTCTTATTGACCTTATGACTTTCACCTATTCCTTGAAAAAGTACTTTATGTTTGTTTCACCTATTCATCACACCGCACAAGATTCCATTTTTACATTGCAATTTACACGTTACCCTTTTAGATCGATTCACCAGTCACCTAAGTCAACATGCGTATTTACATTCTTTACGTGCTAGTATATTCCAGGAAATGATTGCATAACAGGAGACATATTTCATAAAGTATTGTATTCACTGTAGTTTGCACTGTTGAAATCCTGAGCCATCACGTGTAACCTTATTTCCATTTGCGCAAATGAATGGATTGTTTTTAGCTGCGTCAGAACTAATTTTTTAGCACCTTTATTTCCAACAGACAAACAAGTGAATTCTAGCAAGATACCCTTTAGAGATTATCATTACACGGCAATCCGTGACAATGAACCAAGACTATGAAGGCCCTTAATTCTCATTAGTCCGGACTTGGTTTCCTAAAAATGTGCAACAAACATTCCGTTAACCATGGCTACTTGAACCGATATTTCTCCTGAGAACAATAATGAATCCGTGCTCAACAGAAAAGAAATCCGCTATTATAAACTCAACTAACAAATCGATTAGGCCAGAGGAATTTCTTTTGCAAAGCTTGTAATTTGTTTGGGTTTGAGCTGAAATAACACAAAAAAGCTCAAAGTTGAGTTCATATTGTTAGATTTACGGTTCATATTACACATTGGTGCTGTACAAGTGGAATTTCGACAGCAGAGTGTATTAGTGTGTTGAATTTATCATGAATTTATCATGAATTTATCAATAATAATATCATAATATTTCAGTAGGAACGTGTTACATGTTAGACCCTATTGGACATAAGAACCAAAGGTTGTGTTGTAACTAGCCTACAAATTACTCCAAAGACGGTCAAATGCTCAACGCTTTCAATTACGAGATCTAAAATCGTATAGGAAATCAGTATGATGACTATACTGAAAGCCCACCTAGTAGAAATCAAAATTTATGTGCCAAAAACACAGTTTAGCAATAATTTCTTCAACACTACAAATAAGAGTTGGTCGAGTGACGTCACGAGTAGGCTGCAGCCACATGGGCTACCGAGCTAAAATCAATGATTAAAACTTATGATTAGAACTAGATGCTCACATCATGGACAGTCATTGACCAGCAAGCTTCTACCATATATTGCACTTTTTCTTTGGGTTATATTTGCTTCCGGCCGGACACTTGAAAACTTTTGCAAACTCCGCCGAATTTGATATTGAGCCAAGAACCCTAAACACATAAAAAGAAAATGTCAATTTGCCATTAAGATATACAGTCAGTTGATCATTCTGTCCTCTTTTCCTGAATAATCAAAAATCATCTTTACAAATTTGATTAGAGTTTGACAAAGAAAAAAACAATTTCTTCTTTATCTCGCAGTTTCAGATTGACCTTCAGTAATGCAATCCTGTTTTACGATTTCTTTATAAATGCTATCTCTGCCAAATAACCAAACGAAAACGTTCACAGCTTATAGCTTTGCGTCCAATTACTTGTCAGTTATAAAAAGGCCTACTGGAGAAAAGAAAATCCAACATCGGATTTCGCGTCTATGATGAACAATTCTCATAAACTTCACTTTTTTCAATCTATTTTTTGAACAGGTTTTATTGGAACAAAGATTTCATTGATAAGGAAAGCATAGAGAACCTAGATCTTTTTTTAGATTAGGAGCTGCAGATTAGCGGCAAGTTAACCAGTTTTAATTTATTTTACTTCACAAAGTGTATGACGGATAAGGTTTGAGAAGGCTGCAATCCAAGAACCATGTTTTTGGCTTAATGTTGAACAGTTAGATAACAAGAAAAGTCACTGTTTAAGAATGACTATCTTCAAGCAGATGACATAAGAGTGTTGGTTCAAGATATGATCAGATCCACTTCTCTGCAAAGGTGTGTCTTTTCTATAAACATGGTTTAACCAAAGAGGTTTTTGTACCGCAAAACTTGAAGATTGCACGAAATACCGGAAACATACCATACTAAAGCACTTTTCGTCTGATACTCTTCAGAGGATACGCAGGATAATGACCACAAGTAAGCTGAAAATTTATATCTAGACGTGGATCGAAATAACATGAGAGGAAGAAAGGCGCGTGTGATTGGCTCTTTTCTTAACCAATCAGCGACCGCAAACCTCTCACCTAGTTGGAAAGTCCAATAGAGAAAACAAATCTTTCTGTCTATACAAGTCAGGGTCTCTTGTTTTGATGTGAAAAGATTCCAAAACTTCTAAATGGAAAGAGGACCTTGCCTGCCCAATGATTTGGTTTGCGATATATTCTAGGACGTTTTGTCTTTTAATTACATCAAATAGGTACACATTTTGTTTGACATGCATAAGATAAGGCGATGAAGAAATTATTAAATGCAAAAAAACTAGTCATTGAAAGAAAAAATGTTACCTATCCATAGCGGGCGAATGTGAGTCCGTATCTAATTGGTCCAAAAGAGCAGCAGTGCGGGCGCTGGTACACCACGACTAGGAAAAATGAAATTTTGAGAATGTCAATAATGAAAGCTAATGTAATCAGCGTCAAAGGTCTACATAAATGACAGGCATTTAGACTGGTGTTAAACCTTGCAAATAAGGGATTCAAAAATGGTGAGATCAGGAAAGGTTTCTGCGAGAAAAGAGATGCTATGACAATGAATGAGAAATCGCCATGACCAAGATTAAATCATACAAAAGTTAAGCCCTTAACTGTTGTACCAGATACCAGACCAGATACCAGACCAGATATAAGGTACCAGATAAAATGTTTTTAAGTAAGTTTAAAGAGTATAATAACGATCAATTTCAAGTAAATTGTACAAGGAAAATTGTTTTAAACAAATAACGACGTTACGAGCATAGCCCGTTATCAAGCATTATATTTTACCGCACGCAATCTAGTATATTTATGGAAAGTTTAAAGCGTACATGTAAATCACTTTTGAGTTGAAATATCGAAGGCCATTTAGCAGTTAACAAATGAGCTGTCTATGTTTCACAATGTAACAATATCAACAAAGAAGGCATTTACAGATTCAAAGTTTTAAGTTTTTCTTGTAATCAAAAATACTAATTTTACTGTACAGTTTTTTATTATTGGAAAAATAAGTGAATTCATTATGTTGTGTACATTCCTGTGATTCCAATCATTGAAAGCAGAATTTGAATAAGAATAACAAACTACAGATTCAAGTTGTTTGGGAACTCCATACTCATTTTGCGGGTTCTTTTGGTATTTTATCAAGTTTGATTACATCTAAATATTCAAGATTAAACGAAGTCTAATCAAGCGATCACATTTGGGAGGTCTTACCTTGAACTAAAGCAAGGAAACAAAGCGAACACAGAATGCAGTAAAATAAAGAAATGAAATAAGCAGTGCTGAAGTTTTGTAGCGGTAAGAAGGGTCGGAATAGAAGCATAAAATAGATATCAGATGTGAGTGGAGGGGATCCAAGATATAGGAGGACTTTTTCCCTCTTTGTTTGATGAGAAAGGTATTGAAATTTTCAGTCAAAATACATTTTAACCAATTCTAAAGATCTTCTTGATAAAAGGACATCCTTTAAGATACGAGCAATTTTGATTGGGTCTCGCGTTTTTGGGAGTAAACACAGCTGTGGATAGAAAAAGGGGAGGGGTTGTTCTTAAGCAAAACAATATGAAAATTTAGGACAGAAAATTCAACAAAATGAAATGAATATTCATGAGCGGTACATTTGCTGAACTGAGATGTCAACCTCTACCAGAGTCAGGAAAACATCACGGCCTCACGGCCACTGGCTGGAGGAAGGTTGTAGAAATAAAAGGAAATCGAGGAAGGTGACCGAAAAAAGGAAAATGAAAAATCCTCTTGCCTTAGGGCTTTCAAAATGCAGTTAGGTAAAAATAGAAAAAAAATTATTTACATTTATGAACTTCCTGTTTGTTGATATTATATTAGTCAAAGAACAGCTTTGCACTGTAAAATTTGGGCGCAAACTTTTTCTAATTTAAATATCTGAATTATGACATGCATTTGTTATTAATTGACATAGGGATGTAACTTTTTATCTGTTCCAAAAATATCTATAATTAAGAACAGATTACAATTTTTCGAAATGTTTTGGAAAAACAGAGTAGCAAAGAAAGGAGTAAAAACTAGTTGAGTTCCCCCAACTTCCAGACCGCACCCATTTAAAACACGTTAAAAATGAGGAAGGCTTTATAGTAAGATATGCTTGGCCGGAGAAAGATTGACAACTTATCGGGACTTTGATATCTACTCCTTCAAGCTTCAACTAACATACTTCTGGATGTAACTAACATAATAAATTGTCAGAACCAAAATATCAAAGCTGCTAAGCAGAGAAAAGTCATTTATACCTGGCCAAACGATATGAAGAACAACTGGTCATGAGTTGCATCGAGTCCAGGAAGAATTGGCTCTTCTCCATTCTTCTTAACCCATGCCTTGTAAGCCTGTGAATCAGACAATTCAAGTATGAATCGAAGTTGCTTTCAAGCTATAAGGGCTAACTTTTTCCGTATGAGCTGTGTTCTGGGTTGACGGGCTCAAGTGCTGCATCGAGATCTAAGTGCACCAAGGCCTACGTGTCTAGTACCTCAGAATAGTCTAACTTATAGTAAAAAAACCCAACTGTGAATGGTGTGAAATTGATCAAATAAATTGCTATTGTCTATTCCGCTATTTACTGGTAATGACATGGAAATGCTGCACGTCATGTCATGTCAATACTGGTTTGGTGACGTTGCAGTAAAAATTGACAAAAGTGAATATTTCAAAACGATGATTGATTTTGATAAGGGAGTTTTCGTCACTGAAACAAAGGAACTCTCTGTAATAGAAAACTGATAGCCATGCCAGGCTTATGGCAAGCATACGATAAACAATTGATGGCTGATGTGGCTTCTTCAAGAGTAAAGCCACCACATTAAAGAAACAAGATCTTTTCGGCAATAATCTATTCGTCTATTTTTGATAGGTCTTTTCCGAATATTGAGGTTTTTGCAAAGGCCTAAAGAATATTAAGAGATTGCATCAAGACTTCATATCGAAGTTATTTCTATATGGTGTGGGTATCTAAATTTCCCTGTATTCAAGCTGTGCCTTGCCTAAGTTTCATCAATAGCCCTAAGTAGCTCTAGAACTGGCCAAAAGAAAAGGCATGGCCAAAGAAATGGGGATTTTTCTCCTAGATCGATTAAAGCTGAAAATATTATGTTCCACTGGCGCGCAGATGCAATCATGACCTAATAACGGCACCGCCTTGAATGCACATCTCCTGTTACTGGTTTTATCGAGATCAAGATGTTGCTTTGTTTCAGATAAAACTTCCACCTGCCCACTCACAATGAGTCAACATTACAACAACACGCAGTTCGGATCACCCCTACTCCGATACAAAGGCTGCAGAACTCACATTATAAGCTGCCTTTAAACCACCATTATCGGCAATGTTCTCACCCAATGTTACTTTCCCATTGATCTGAAAAGTAAGAGATGCAGAATGCCCTACATAAATACGAACATAATTTTAAAAAAACCTCTAATATATCTTTGATTGCAAATACTTTTCAAGCTTCACTTTCTGTTTCACAATAAATGGACAGAAAAATAAATAAATAAAAAATTAAAGTAGAACAAATGAAAAATAATAGCTTTTATAGCTTACCCAGTTTTCTTTGAAAGGAAAAAGTTGCAACAATGTTTAAACGACAATAAATGCGTAACTACGACGATCATATTCAAATACAACTCACGTGCTTTCCCTTGATAACGTATTGTCCATACTCGTCGATAAAGCATTTTTCTTTCTTTTTGAACTCTTCCACGGCATGTTTGGTCCACCAAAGCTTGCCCGAATTTCCATTTTTATCATAAAGACGACCTGAGAGAGACGGATTACAAAGATATAAGATTAAATTTATCAAGTGTAAATTTAGAGAAAAAGAAGTGCAGTAACAATAGTGAAAATTTAAATTATAATAATAATAATGATAATAATCCATAATTTATATAGCAACTCTGTGACTAGTGTACTTGGTTGCATGTTACATAACTTTTCCTGAATTTCTGTAAATAAACTTGTGTTTTATTCACTTTTTTGGTACACCAGCCTTGTGGCTTCCTAAATTTCAGGGTCACTGCTATCCTCTAGAAGCTGAAACTTTGATGATTTCGTTGCTTTTTGTATTTGAGCAAGATAACAACGATAATATGCTAATATGTGTTAAAGAGAGTAGGAATAAGAAATAACATTGTAAAAATAGATAATGTATGTTTTACCAGAGTTATCGAAGCCATGAAGAAGTTCGTGTCCGATGACAGCACCAATTCCACCGAAATTCACTGACCTACAGCAAAACAGAATGTATAAATCAAAATTAAGACAAGTCTGCTGCAGTTTTCTAGATGTCGTATAGACGACAGTCCGGTAAATGCAAGGTGTCATCTCTTTGTTTTATCACTCTATGACCATCACGGCAGCATGGCAGCAATAGTGTTAATGCTAGTTAATAAAAATCACGTGTTTATACCAGGTTCTTATCTCTGTGCTCAACTTCATTGGTCAACTGCTGGCAGACGAGTGGCTATAAGCCATTTTCACCAGAGGCAAATGCCTTTAAAATAGAAAGACTTACATTGGATATCGTATGTCGTAATATGGCGGCTGCAAAATACCAGCAGGAAATACTGAAACAAACACATGATAGCTTTAATACGATGCAAGGTGAGAAGGGATTACTAGTTTTCCCGCAGTTCTTCGTTTTACCAAAGCATGTTATTTAGAAGAACTTACTGCTAAGTAGGTTCCAATGCATAGTAAGAGCAATATAGGCACAATACACTACACCAACAATATAGGTACAATACACTACACCAACAATATAGGTACAATACACTACACCAGGGGTCGGCAACCTTTATAAAACAGGGGGCCAAATTTGATTTCTGAAATGCATACCAGGGCCGCAACTCAAAATACAGTATAATTTTAACATATACCAATTCTACCTAACTGCTAATCTAATCAATAGAATTGTATTTATCGGAAAATTATCTGTAACGTGAAAGCTGTACGTAAATACAAACATAGATGTGAAGTACATGTTCACTGGTCAGTATATTACAAGAAGCTGATGTGCAAGTTGGTGCTGCATGTCCTTGTCGAACTTCTCAATATTTGGCAGAATTGTTGATGTTGGCAGCCGCTAGTTGCCTTCAAGGTGCTGATCAATCATTCGAAATTGCAGTCGACTCTTCGCATACTTCATGTTTAAGAAGAGACTTTCGCAAAGGTAAGTACTGCCAAACATGCAACACATCATCCACCATGAAGATACTCCATATAAAAACTGGATGATATGAGTTTCCTTGTATTTCTGTTTCAATTCACTGGTACCCTGCAGCTCGATCAACTTCATTTGAAGATGGAAAATGAACTAGGTTCCCTTGATTTAGCTGTGTTTTCCAAAAATGTAGCATGACCAGGAACATGACAACATGCTCATACATGCAATTAACAAATTGAACATGTCCTTGAAGCTTCTTGTTCAGCTTGTTCGAGTGACTAGTAATGACAACGAGGAATGCTAATCTAGACAAGACTCTAGGATCACTGAATCCGGGTCACTGAATCCGGGCCGACACTCGTGCATTGGGCCAAATTATTTACAGGTTAACAGGGGCCTTCCGGGCCACACAAAAGTACCTTGCGGGCCGCGGGTTGCCGACCCCTGCACTACACCAACAATATAGGTACAATACACTACACCAACAATATAGGTACAATACACTACACCAACCATTCTTTAACTCCGGCCCGCAGCATGTTTTTTATCCGGCCCGCCGAGCGCTTTATCTAAAAAATATATTTTGAAATACACTTTGAAAATTTTTAATTCGATTTAGCTTTGTTTTTGGACTGCTCTGATATTTTCTTTTCTTTTTCTCTGCAACAAATGATAATGTGCGTCCCGTTGACCAGTAATTGGTCCGAATCGGAGTACGAAAATAGGAAATACTTTATTAAATCATTTAAACGTTTTATAGAAAAATATTTTACTGCTTTCATTGAATTCAGTAGGTCGCTGATAAACTCACCATGACCTCACCCTTTCCTCCACTTTCTGAGATCCAAGGCCCAAGGTCAGACTTGATATTTAGTTCATGAAGTTCATGCTTATTAGCGTATGTGTATGAGGCAGCGTGTGTTGACTAGGGCACTGGCTAATGCTTTTTGCCAAACTGTGTTTTATTCATTTTTTCTCTCCATCTTATTTTGGTTTCATTCATTTATAAAAACATTGATTAAATATAATTCTAAAATTTTAGATAATTTTAAATGTCAACAATTAAATAGATAAAACTATGGAACCGTGTTGACGCTTTTTTCCCGTCAAATTCTATTTTAGATGCAGTTTCTGGCCATCCCTAGATTATTATAATCGAAAATTTTTCTTTTTTAATATAAACGCAATCATTAAATTTTGGCCCCTCTTTGAAATACGTTTCGCCGTCCCTGGATCCGACTTCGAGTGCATTAAGTCGACCTAACAAATATCAACATCATAACCTAAAAATACCACAACTGTCTTCTGATTCAACTTGGTAAAAGAAACACATGCTGCAAACTTTGTGTAAAAGTTACTTTGTTACAGTTTGAAGCTTTTGGTCCCCCTCCCCCAGAAAGTTACCTCTGGCCTTGGGCATGTAAATCTGTCGGGTGTTGCACATTGAGCTAATCCCTCTAACATCAAGCCAGCATCATGTTCCTAAATATTATCATCGCCCTCTTTTTCTCTCCTCTCATCCACCAGTGCTAAAATTATTTCATGAAATAAGCACCCTACATAGATTTTATGAATATAGAATGTAGAACTTATGTATTTGTGCAACCTTTTTGACACAAGCTATGTAAACGTCGAGAACTCAGTGGCCCTCGGAGAAAATCAACATGTTTTTCTGGTCCGGCACTCAAAACAATTAAGAACCCCTGCACTACACACTTATGTTTAAGAGAACAAAGCAAGCCTCGACTTCAAGGGCTGTAAATACTAGTAATCGGTTGGATCGAGGTTGCAGGTGGTCCCTTCATCCAATATGGGACTGGGGCATCAAATCGTTGTGTTTCCCCGATCGACTCAGTGATATCACAATTTGATTCGTTTCGGTAAGAAAGACAAAGTACGTTCCTAAGAGAACAGATTATTTCTAAAAATAAGAATTATGACTAGGGCATTGCCCAATCACTGTTTCAATCGCTCGTTAACTGAACTTTGAAGTTCAGGTTTTTCAGCTTTCATTCACTGATCCGTCTAGTTAATTTTTTACCACATTAGAAATCTGCCTGATTGATATAGCTGAAAACTAAGAGGCAGTATGGTAAAATTGAAAGTACCTGAAAATCATAAAAAGCTTCATAAATGAATTCTAACCTATTTGATTTCGTGTTGCATCATAATAAGCATTCACGGTCGAAGGAGTCATGTACCATCTGAAAAATAAGATAATGCCAATCACAGATCTTCATTTAAAAAATGAAAAAAGGTGTAAAACAATTTAAAAGAAACTATAAAACAAGGAAAGACATATTTCAGGTATCAAATTTCAAGAATCAACTAGGTTTGGAAAACTTGAAGTGAAAACCCAGGTTAGTTATTGGTCTGGGGAATTAACTCTCAAACAAGATTTCCATCAATAACGAGGGAAGTACTACATTGACAAATTTTAACAAAAGAGTTTTATGACGTCATTATTTTAGAACTCTATTTAACCGATGCAATTTTTTTGGCAGATAATTAGAACTTAATTACTTACACCGTTTTATCTACAGGTTTTGTCAGTTGGATAATGTTTTCCTTCGCCATCCACTCTCTGTAATTCAGCATATTTTGAAAAAAGCTTGTTTCTGAAAATTGTACCTGTGCAAAAAAAACACAATGAATAGTATCATTTTACGAAATATTTTGAGAGATCGAATAAGAACAACAACATATAATAATAATAATAATAATAATAAAACGAATATTTATACAGGATAAACACTTCAACAATTAAAACATCGCTGTTATCACTGTGTGTCCTGTGATTTACAAAACTACAATTACAAAATTTGCAGCGTTGATTCTTAAAATACAGGTATTAAAAGCCTGTGCAATGGTCACAGAATAGATGCAGGCAATGGCTAACGTATCGTCTACGTTGTATAGCATAAATTTGTAAACAGTGTAATAAGCAGTGGGTAGAGCAAGTTTTAACTGGAATGTATAAAGAGAGCTGCATTCCAAATTGAGACTTAGCTAACTCCAATCGGATTAAGGAAACTAAAAAGTTTGATCAAGAAACATATATCTAGCTCTGCAAATCGATTTATTTGTATTGCTGATATGATTAATAAAAACCAAATAATAAAACATCATTGGTACTGTTCATCGCACAAAAAAATCAATATTGGAAATCAATTAAAGCGCAGTGGCTTCTTGCATCTTTCGAAATACCCAATAAATAACAACAATATTCCAAGGTTGCTAAACTTATCTTAATACAGTATCTACTTAGCTGGACAGTCTGCGGTAACACAACTTCTTCCAAACTACCTCATCTAAATCCAAAATTCCTCATCCAAAATAAAAATAATAACAATAATAACTTGCCAAATCTCCGTTTCGAAGCAGTTACTATAACACAAACACAGAATTGCCAGGAAAGACGTCATGTGCAGTATAGTACCACAGGCTAATTTGCACTTAAAATTTGAGTTTGAGAAAAATTTCAACCAATCTCTCGATTTCTATCAGGCCTTTTGCGTTGCATTTTAGAATTTGTTCCATTGCTGGAAGGTGTCTTTTTGAATTTTTGCATTGCCATAAATGTTCTAAGTTTTATTTTGTGATCCACACCTTTTGCAACATATATTATCATATTTTCTTTGTAATTAGCTTATAAATCGGTCAGTTTCATGAAATGGAAAGAGATAGAAAAATTGTTTTTTTTACCTATGTTACAACAGCAAAACTTGAAATAGGGTTATAAACAAGAAACCAGATAAGCGAAAAGGTTTCTAAGACAAGAACCAAAATTGTCCAATTTCGACAAACCTTTGTCATAATGATTGAAACATTTACTATTTACAAAAAAGTTGTCTAGCGTCAAAGCATTTTCTGGGAACAATGCCACTTGATGCAAAACCTTCTCCAAACTTTCTCAAACTTTGGCCTGGCTAACATTTACCATAGTTTGACGTTCAAATAAACTTACTCCTTGATACATCCTAGTTAACTTTTCTGGATCCATGATTTTTTCTGGGTAGCCAATTTTTGGGAACACAGCTAGGGCCTGGAATAGAAAACAAAAGATTGATAAAGAGTTGTCGATATTCTAAAAATTTATTGAGAATATCAAATAGCCTCGATACAAGGCATTAATTAATGGCAAATTGGCGCTTTATGCTGAAGTCTTCAGCTTTGGGCTTGATCATTTTACTTTCATGTGAACTCGGCAGCCATTACCAACAACTTGCCACAATGATTCCAAAATCAGTACGAGGATATTTCATGTGATCAGTCTCATGTCCGCCAATAGCAGTGCCTCAATATAAAATTTCCATGTAGCAACCTATTTGCAGGTGCACGTGTTAAATTGAAAAACAAGAGATACTTACTACACAGTACCAAGTCAGCTAAAATCTATTTTCAAGAGTTTTGAATGTCGACGACATAACGGGAAAGAACATCAGAGAATGCCACTCACTTTAAGTGCAAAATCAGTTAAATATATTGAAAACTGACAGAGATATAGCACGAAAAGGAATCATCTTTTGTAAGTGAACCTAAAAATATTTTCTAAGATATCAAACCAAGTTATAAATCAAAACAGAAAAGGGATTTTAGTTCAAAATTTTGACATTTTGATTGTATTTTGGTCAAGCATTAAGCAAATTGTGTATTTCCCAGTTGTTCCTCTATAAAGGCCCTCGTCCATGGCGGTTTATTAAAACGCTAAAACTGGCATGCTATGGTGGGTGCTTATACGAGAGAAAGGGCTTATTCAAAATTGTTTCTTCCAGGATGCGGACTTGTTCGAGGGGACGGGGCTTATACGAGAGGGGTGTGGCCATTCGAAGATATACAGTCACACCGAAATCATTGTAAACTAGGCAGGGATTTCCCGAAATATCGAATAATGGTGTGGAATTACACGTCAAAAGGTGAACAGACATCTGCGTTTTTTATTCCAAAAAACAAAATCTGCTCGCACGTCCGGTGCACCAAAATCAGCAGTGCTGGAAAATCAACATATCTGAAGTATAAATACCTTCTCCTTAGCTGCTCTGCGAGTTTCATCGTCCATCCACTCTATGCGAGGTAAGCTTGCGATAAAAGCACGTCGAAGTTCCTCAACTAAGTTGGCAGCCTATAAAAGATATTTCAGAAAATGAGGAACATTTCATGAGTTAGTGAAAAGAGGGTTAACTGTGTGTGAGTGGTACAACTTTGGGCTTGGATTTGAAAGAGTATCTCATTTTGCGGCTCAGCTTGGATTTGGTGACCGTGTAGCTCGAGTCCTGATACCGCGGATTCGATTCCTGATACCGCGGGTTCGAGTCCTGCCCCCGCCTTACGCGCTCACCTTATGTCTGAGTTAGTATATTTCAGGACTGTAAAATCCAGTATCTTAAAAATGCAATACCATAATGTCGGAAGATGAAAGCAAACGCAAAAATTTACAGCAGCATATGCATATTGCTGTTTAAATTTTTAAGAATTATTTATGGCGCCCAAGAAGTCAAATTAGGAGAGCCACGGCATTCTTAACACAGTAGTAAAATTCAGTCTGGATGTCCGAACACGACATTAGAGTCAGCTTTACCTATTACCGAGAAGAGATAAAAATGATCCCTAATTTTTCAGTCAATAATACACGAGTTTCGTAAAGTCTCTTAGAAAAATACAGATGAATAAGACGAGCGTTAGTGTTGATAATTAAATTCTGAGTTTCTGAAATTCTAAAGGGGTGGTTTAAAGTTTAAAAGTCACCTTAAAATCTAGATTGATACAAGGCCGCTGTGCCAAAAAAAAGAACAGTTATGCGAAGCAAAACCGAGCAGAAATTTTGGGAACATTTACGTAAAGCATAACCAACTACATTAGTCATGGAGAGGCTATATTATGCAGCATTATTATCAGTATCAATATCAGTATTATTATCAGTATCAATAACAGTATTATTATCAGTATCAATATCAGTATTATTATCAGTGTCAATATCAGTATTATTATCAATATCAATATCAGTATTATTATCAGTATCAATATCAGTATTATTATCAGTATCAATATCAGTATTATTATCAGTATCAATATCAGTATTATTATCAGTATCAATATCAGTATTATTATCAGTATCAATAACAGTATTATTATCAGTATCAATAACAGTATTATTATCAATATCAATATCAGTATTATTATCAATATCAATATCAGTATTATTATCAGTATCAATATCAGTATTATTATCAGTATCAATATCAGTATTATTATCAGTATCAATAACAGTATTATTATCAGTATCAATAACAGTATTATTATCAGTATCAATATCAGTATTATTATCAATATCAATATCAGTATTATTATCAGTATCAATATCAGTATTATTATAAATATCAATATCAGTATACGTTATATTCATACCACTGACTTGCTTTTCCCTCTAAATTTACGCTTGACAAAGATCGATCCAATCGCGAAGCCAATAACACCGTCTGTCTGTTCAACGCATGTCTTCCATCTAGGTTGTTCCAAATGTGAACCAACTGATGCTATGTCAAGCTCTTTTCTCGCGTTAGTGAATTCATCCGACAAATATGGAGCAAGGGAAGCGTACAGTCTCCAATGAACATAAAGGAGTACTACATTAAAATCTGTCTTTTCAATTAAACCAGAAAGTTTTTCCAGGTAAGGCTTAGCAAGGACAATGATTTCTGTGTCGCTTGTGATCTTCGCTAGGCCTAAAGATGCTTCTTGATAAAAGCTAAGCCAATCGATCTAGCAAAATAGAAAGCATAAAAAGGTGTTACCTTGAGTATACAGAAGGTTAGCACCACACAATTAGTTTGTGAATTCAATCTGTTATGAAACGTGTCCCATATGTTCGAATTTTAGACGTTGTGTTGGTTATTATAAAAAAGCCAGTGTTTCTATTAAAATGCTGATCCTTAATAACACAATCTTGTTTGTTATACCTGACAGAATAAGGATCAACACTCTCAACACGTCGTCAGCAATTAAGGATCAATTAAAAAGTTCCGTTTTTTATTTATTTGTAGTTGGAAAGCGTAGTGGACGCCGTTCTCCAAGCCTATGGGCAATTTCCCTAACGCGAGCCCCCAGTTTTGACCACTGATGGAAGTTCTATCACCCTCACCAAGCTATAAGGAAGCATCCTTAGCATAGACACCAGCTTTGAATTTTTACCGGGGGTCACTAAAAATTTGCATGAATCGTTCCAATGTATTTCGTCTTTCGATCAATTTCCATCTAACTGTCTCTTTGGTAAAAAATATCTGCACTTTCTTCGATCGAGAAAATAAAAGGCTAATTAGCTGTTTTCTAAAAATTCTTTTCTACGTTAGGAAATGGCCAGGGGTGGCTGAACGAGCTCTGGAAACTTCCAAGGGGCTCGAGCACCTAGCCCCTAACCCCCCCATAATCAGCACTTTGGGAAGCGTTTTCTGTTACTTCAAAAAGGCTTTGGTTTTTCCATATGTTAAACACGATATTTTGAAAGTCTTTGTCTATGACAATTATTTGCTTTGCATAGGTTATGAAGTATAAGCTTGGATCCGTACCAGCCTCCTTATACCGGATCTCAACTTGAACGGATCCGTACCGTACTGGTACACCTTGAGAAGCGTTCACAAACTAGTACGAATAAAAAATCCATACTGGAACGGATCCAGCAGGTTTAATGTAAATGGGATGCCTATCTTTACTCGTTATATTTCGAAACAGTGTCACCCTAGCTGACAGCGATCTCCTTACCTATGATGCCAATGACCAGTGGCGTAACTGACAAAGGTTGGGGTTAGGGCAACTCCTAAGGGCACACAAAGATTCTCAATAGACAGGCTATTTTGCACTATTTGATGTGAAAAGGGATTTAAAAAGTCAATATTCCCTCGATAACAGGTTGCACGATGCTTCTTTTCTTCTAACTTGTTAAAAACCACCGCTGTATCTTAAATCCTGATGTTTTCTTTCGATGAGGTGGGAGTAATCCAGACTTTGGATAAGAGGCCAAGGAGATGGTGGTGCAAACATCATAAGTTGAACACATGCTTGTGTGCAAACGTTGATAAAGAATATGGTTGACAGCCCTGTTCTATTTGTTAATTGCGGCAACCATAACTTGAATCTGGTCATTAGTGACTCTGCGGGGGCAGTACCGGAGAATGATGATTTCTTTGGAAAATTGAAGAATGTTTTTAAAATTTTCGGTTCAATATATTCGGTGATAGATATCCACATATTATGACAGTTTTAATTTGCATTACCTTGACATCTAAAAACAAAAATGAGCGAGATGATGCAAAAAACAAGAAACTCAAAGAAAGGATGGATCCTTATGAATTCATTCTTTTTATCATTATTTGGGAACGAATTCTACGGGCATTCGGCACAACTTCCCGTGAATTGCAATCCCCAAAAATTGACTTAACTGTTGCATCTCGATTGATATGTTGCTCTATTTCAGAGCTTGTTGTGCTACGCGAGTCCTGGGACTCTGTTAAGCAAACTGCGCCTGCTTTAGCTAGTGCTTGGCACACAGTAGTTGATTTAAAGCCAAAAACTAGAAGCAGAAGGTCCGTTATTGGAGCATTTGAGGACAATATTTTCAATACGCCAGAACAAACATTCAAAATCAATGTGTTTCTTAAAACTGTCGTTACTGCTTCGATGCAGCTTAAAGAAAGGTTTTGTGGCCAAGATCTGGTTACTTCAACGTTCGATATTTTATTTCCAAACCCTCTAACAAGAGCCACCAACGAAGACATCTGATCCCGAAGATTTTGAAGAGGACTTGGAATCAGAGCTACGGGCATTTGCTATCGAGTTTCGAGTGGAAATAACAGAGAAATTGGCATCTGTAGACTTGGTTGATTTGATGTGGGAAAGTCGAGTTAGCCTTTCATTCCTACAAGTCGACAAAGATTTTTATCTTTTCGCCACAATTCCTGTTACTGTAGCTACCACTGAGAGATCTTTTTCGAAGCTCAAATTTGATTGTCTTGAAAAAATTTCATTGTGAAAGGGCCTCCAAGCAAAATATTCCTAAGGGCCCCAAACTGCTCGGTTACGCCACTGTCTATGACGTAATGCCTTTGCCAACCATATCTTCTACTCAAGAATATTATTGAAAGAATCGCCAACTTACATGTGATGAATCAATATACACGAATCCTATGTAACAAGTTATAGATCTAAACAGTCTATAACAGTCCAAAAAAAACTTTTATGGAGCAAAATGATTCCAAAGTCAAGTTCATATCCAGACTTACAAAAATATTCTGAAAATGTAACATTTTGTGATTAAATTCCATACATAATAAAATGAAAAATTCAAACAGGCTCAAATTAAAATATACGGGAAGAAGCCAAATAATCCCTTATCCATTCTGGTTTGATGCCTCTCTTCTATCGACAAAACCCCGACAAAACAAAGTTGAAATGTGAATACAATATTATGCCAACCAAGCTACTAAATCTATCCAGTAAGGATATACATACTAATATCGAATTGAAAGCAAAATTAAAATACTTCTTTGTTAGATTTAATACGCTAGATATCTGGCGACATTCCATATGTCAGTTCAAGAAATAAGATTAAATCAAAGGAATCTCTGTGTACAAAAATACTCGAAGAGGATTTTTTATTAATGCAGGAATGTGATATTAAGAGTAAGCTGGCCAAAACAGACCCTTAGCTAGGATTAACTGCTTGTAGTTTCGTCAAAGCGGTTAAATTATCTCCAAATAAAGATTATAGATTTCTTTACAAATTCTATCACTGTTAACATGTTTAGCTTCTTTGATTAACTTAACTATCTTTGACGATTTAGAAGAATCAATAGAAAGTAATAAACAAATCAAATTACAAAGTCAACGTCTGAAATTCTAATGTTTTATCTAAACATCGACCACTGCTTCTGAGAAATTACGACTTTGCGAGTATTATCAAAAGAATTCATTTTAGTCCGGAGGTAAGCAGATTAATCTTTTACGTGATAATAATAAGAATCCGTGAACTACCGAATCTAGACAACAAGATAAAGATGTTATGTAGAAAAGAGAACAAGGGAGACAGACAGAAAATAAAAAACCAACTTACCATGTTGCAGATTTTTGTGAATTCACCAATTGTCATTTTGTTATAAATCTTGTTAATTTCGGTCATATTTTCCCTAGGCACGAAGATCTGCAAAGAGCAATCACATACATACGAATACTTTTGAAGGCAAACAGTTGAAAATAGAAAGGAAAGCACCTAATCATACAAGCATTTGGAAGGCAGAAAGTGAGATTTGGTCATTCTGAAAAAAGATCTTTTGCCAAAACGTTTATCATTTACTTCGATTTGATTGCACTTCTGCAGATTCCTGTTGGTTTATTTGAGTTTCAACAGTGTTGGTACACATAGATACCCTTAATTAAGATTCTGGTCCTGCAGATTTAACAGTGGAAACAAAATCGCAAAAAAGTGGAAACATGGCAAACTTTAACCATTACCCGACGTTTATACACTAAAGGAAAGTCCTTAAGCATTCTATGTTTCCATTTTTCCTTGATACAAATATCCACAAATGCAAATACGTTGAGAATAAGATCCAAAACTCTCAATCAAGAGCAAAGGTTTCCATCTAGCTTTTTTTAAGGAAAGGCAAATATTACCTTTGCTAAACTTTTCTCAAAGTTAAATACATCTTCCATCTGGGATCCTAATTTTGTCACATTTCCAGCTCCAAGAAGCAAATGAATTTTGGTCATATAATTGATGTATGCAGAAATAACCTGAAAATATAAAAAAAAATAAGATTTAGTCTAGATACAAGACTCCATCAACAGAGCAATAGAAATAAAATTCCACTGAAACGCTATCTTTGAAGAATGCGACTCTAGATTCTTAACTTTTCATAATCCAGATTCAAACAACAGACAAAATGTTGCTCTTGGGTCCTCAAAAGACAAAGCATAGCAAAAAGAGCTTGTTTGAAACATCTAGAAAGATAGCAAAGGCTGGCTTGGGCAGGGAGCTTGGGCAAAAACGCAGCTGTGCTCGAGGTAAATGAGCAAACAAAACAAAAGCTTTTATCCAAGAAAACAAGGGTGCCAACATTTTTATCTAAGGCATTAGCTATGACTGGGCTTGGAAGCTTGGGCCAGTAATTAGAAGATTGGGCTGGTCTACTTTTTGCAACTTTTCAAAGTAGAGCATACTTTCTCCAATTACGAAACAACAAATCAAAATAGGTGCTTAGATACTAATCAAGGTAAAAATTCATTCATAATCAAACTTTAGAAAAATTGACCCTTTTCAAACCAATATTTTCAGCTCAAATATTGTGTCACCAATCAATAAATTTAAAGTTACTGCCTATAACTATGATGGAACAAATGTAATACAACTTTTAAGCAAAGATGTTTACTTTAATGAATATAGGAGACACGTTACATAGCTGCTGACTTGGAAAGCAGAAAACAATGAAGGGGAATAAAAGCTTGAACAGCAAGGGTACTTGTCAATTAGGCAATAAAAAACAATTAGTAGTCTGTTTGGGGGTTTAAAGCCAAGGAATTCATAATGTTAAAGGTATTACTAATTCCTATTAGAAAGAATAAAACTTTTGAGGATATGATAAATTAATTGTGTTTGGAATTGTTAAAGAATTAAGATAGTTGTATTATCATATATTCATTGTATGATATCTATATCACAATACTGATGCAAAAAATCTATGATTGCTTATAATTTAAACAAACTGACTTCTCCTTACTTGTGCAACTCAACTACACACATAGTCTATATTTGATAATAAGATAAATGTGTGACCTTAAAAGTCCTACATCTAACTTTAAAACAAGACCTAAAACAGTCCGACCCTTGGAAAATTAATCCCTCTTTGAGAGCTTTTCTGTAAACTTGGGATGCAAAATGACATTTATCAAAGGCATATTTATTCAACTTGCAGCTTAGCAACAGGCTACTACATGAATTTATAACATAAAAATTAGAGATCAAATATTTCTTTAAACAAAGATGCTATCTGCTCAAACAAAATCCTATGACCTAATCAAAACTGAATACAAACAACAATTCATTACCTTGTCTGTCATATTAGCTGCATAACGGCTTTGTGTAAGTCCAAGTCCTGATTGAGATATCTATAAATAAAGGAACGATTGACATGAAACCATGTATGGCATGTGGAAACAAACTTGAGGCTGTTAGAGCATTACTCTGAAAGTTCCACTGTATGTACTTTTCAAAATTACTTGTGTGTCTCACCCATCCTTTTTTGTCCCTCCAAAAGAAATTGTCCAATTAGGTTACTAACTGGTGTATTAAATTCTAAAATGATTTGCAGTAATATTGGCCAAAAGGCACAAGCTGCATACTTTAAAACAAAAGGAAAAAGCAAAAAATTCTGAACAAGTTTTTTAACACTTTGAATTATCAAAAAATCTTTTAATACCCACAAAACAAGTATTTAGACAAAAGATTCAAGGCGGGGAAAGCAAGTGCAAATTACATGCTGAAAAAAGATTTTATGCTCACTTCTGTGAGGCACATGGAGCACGATTGAAGGCCCTCAAAAGGGCCCATGTGCCCATGTGCCCAAGACCAGGCCATCAAATTAAGGTGAAAACCTGCACCAGTTACTTTACTTCACATTCAAGAAAAATATTGTTGTGCCCTTTGTGGAATATTGGTACAAAACTAATCTATATCTTGTTAATGGAGTGAAATATCTTTTGTAATTCTCCAATGAAGTTGCAGCTTTTAAAGGTACACCAATGGTTTTTGTAGCTTTACTTATGGATTGTTTGACCATATACAAGTAACACCAACTTTTGGTAGCTTTGGTATACGCAGCCTTGATTTTATAACTTGCTTTAAACTTGGGCTTTTTTACAAAACTTTGGTTAGGGCTGACTTGGCATGCAAAGAAATTTGGTGTCTTCCTTTAATGTTTGACCCCTTTCTGCCCTGCTGGCTAAATTTTTATAACAAACCTCAGTATACAAACAGACAAAAACTGTATACCATTCTGACACTGACATACATTTTTAAGGAATCTTCAATGGGTTGATAATAAACAGTGGCCTAGCATTACTTTGGGAAATGTGCATGTGTTGTGGAGTCCTATAAGGGTTGGGAGCAGGGCAGTGGGTCCAGAAGGCTCAAGGGGCTTGTGCCCCTTTTGTCTGCAAAAGAGTAACCCTAATCTTATTGCATCGTTTTGAGAAAATTTTGGCAAGGCTTCCCTTGTTCCCTTGGCTGGGAACAGAGTATGGCTTGGTTTTCAAGGGGTATGACCCTCGAAAGCTATAGCTTCTTGAAATAAACTATGCCTTACAATACTGATGTATATCTGTTCTTTTGTAGACAATTCTGTAGACATCTATTGCTATAAGTAACTTTAGGTGAGTCAGCAATTTTATTTTTCTACAGTATCTACAATAACTAACTGTTCTGACACTAAAATTTTGTAGAAATGGTGTTAAAACTGGTGTATGTGGTCACCAAACCAAATTTGTAAAACTTGGCTTATTTGGCAAGGAAGGGCTAAGTTGTTTCTATTTCAAAGTTCAGACCTCTCCACTGTAAAAAACATTTATCTTGCAGCTATTTGATAGATTAGGGTGCGCAATATGAATGGCGAAATGGTTGGGTCTGCCTTTTTGACAGGCAAGATACAGGATATATCAATTATTTATCGTCAGCAAGATACAGGATAGCAATATGAAACAGGAGCAGGGCAATTGAAATTATACCCTTTGGGCTTATGGGACATACCAGAAAACAGATGCAGGATGGCAAAATGAAGGAACCCTATAGTGCACCCTTACATGTCATCAATTGGTAAAACCACAAAGACTATTATTAAGCAAAAGTTCAGGTGTAAACAAGGTAGAAGCAACTGTCTTTAGACCCGGACATGTGGTGATCCAGCCAGAAAGTGAAAATAATGCTTTAGATAAAGATTATTAGCCAGACTCCACTGATCTGAAGAGCAAGAATCTTTCAAAACAGGAAACAAAGTAAGATACTACAAGATGCTGAAAGGGGTGGGGACACTGTCAGTCAGGCACCCTGCAGCCATTGGGCTAGCAGGGGCTATAACCCCCCCCTCCCCACAGTTTGCTATAGTAGGTTAGAAATATTTTCAAATATGAAATTTCTGGTTTGTCTTTTAACAAACAAACAGAGGTAAACAAGCAGATGAAGAACAGGGAAGTGAAATTTTGCATAATGTAATTAACCATCACAGATTTTATCAAAGGAATAGTGACTTTTTTTAAAACAGAGGTCTTGACCTAAAGTGAATAACCATCATACCTTGATTCTTTTCCACTAACAATAATGCCTATTTAAAAAAAACAGGTGTCCCTACAATCTAAAGTGCAGCTAGGACCACAGACTGCAGAGCAAATGTAAAGGAGAAAAAAACTTGGACAGTCTAGCAATTTACTTAACATTGCTCACTTTGTCAAATATAGAGTGTTTTAGCTAACCTCTTTGTTGTTTAAGGTTTATAATCTTTTCATAAAATCTGTAAATAAGGAAATATTTATTTCATTCATTGTGATTTTGGGCATATTTACAAAAAGAAGTCCAAGAAAAGAGAGAAAATACTTTTAGGTATATTCTTTAGAAATAACTGATTATATTGATGATGTTAGTGATTACGTCATTGGAATTTGCTCAGAAATCTTAAGACAATAACACCTGTTTTCGGTGTCCAATGTAGCCAAAAAACCACTTGACACTTGACATATAACTTAGGATTATCAATTTTTATTTATCTTGACTCTTGAATATATGCACTGACCTGAATCCTATGAAGAGACGAGTTCCTGGCATCAACTTCAACGAAGGTGTTAAAAAGCGCACTGATACTGAAGTTTCTATTCAACATAACCAGATATTCCTTTAGCACTGTCTTCTTATCTCTACCTTTACTCCCAACCTCATCAAACTTTTTAAGCACTTCGATCAACGGAGCCTTGCCAAGCTTGTTTATGGCTTCTTTCTGCATGCATGCTTTATAGAACTGTTTTGCTTTCAACTCAGCATCTTCTTTGTTCGCAGGTCTTGTCTTCGTACGGTCATGTTCTTCAAGAGCGTGCCTCAAAGCGTAAAGATTTTCGTTCATAAGCACTGAACCTACGCCCCAACGTGACTCCTTCTCCGGGATAGGATGCTTTGATATCCAGCCGCCACATGCATATTGATAAAAGTTGTCGCACGGTTTTGCAGTCTTGTCCATTGCACTTTGCATAAAGCTTGCAGCATCTATACACCCAGGTGTTAAGCAAAACTTTTTGTCTGTAGGCCTTGCGCCTTTTAGCGAGTCAAGCTCTTTTGATTTTGAGACATAGAGAGCAATAAATACAACACAAAGCAACCCAAGCAGAATCAGCAGCAGCGTGACAATTATTTGGCGGTTTTTCTTTTTGGTTCTTCCAGGACTGCCATTGAAGACAACGGAATATGGAGCGTTCCCGGTGTTTACTTCATCAGCGCCTAATTGCAATTGTGCGTAGCCAAACGCGTTGTCTGGCATTCTCGGAGGTATCAAGTCATCATTACTACCATTCAAGTCTTCAGTCGTTTTTGCATACATCTCAATTGTTGAATTTCCTCAAATAAAGTACATCGACAAGTGATTTGTCCAAGATTTTGATGTCCTTCACCAGCTGCTTTCACCTCGCGACCGCACTTACGGGATGTTAATGTTGCTGTTGCTGTTCGTGCCAAAGGCGGCAATTAAAAAGATTTAAGTTATTCAAATCATACAGTCACCGAGTAAAGAAGTTCCAAGTTTTCAAAGTATATCATCCGTACTGTGGAGGCCTTGCTCAGTTTTTGAAAGCTTTCTATGACCTTTCTATAAACTTTCCCGATACAAAATTTTACTGTTTTAAGAAGCGTTGCTGTAACCAGGTTGACTTGTGATTCCTTAGATTGTCTTATGTTGGAATGTGCGATTTTATTTTTGAAAAGGGTGTACTCGCAAAAAATACTATTGTTTTTTCATCAAGATCCCCAGCCATCCCAATTGTTCGGGGGTAGGATACGCCTCCGGAAGGAAAAATCAAAAGTTTTATTTATGTTAGGGCCCAAGCAAGTAGTAGGCACGCGTGCCACAGAAAAGAAACATTTTGTGATGGCCTGATTAATCTTACTTTCAAATTACAAGGAAGTGTTACCAACCCATGGTAATTTAAGATAAACTATGCACTTTTGTTGGCAAACTTTTGGAAAGCCGAAAGCTTGCGACCTTTTCCCTAGTATAAGACAAAATGACATCTTCTGGATAGTCGCAGCCATTGGGCTAGCAGGGGCTATAGCCCCTCCACTTTTTTGCAATAACATATTAGAAAAATTTTTACTCTAGAAAAAGTTTATTCTAACTATGCTCTAACGCAACATTGGAAAGTATACTCCTAAGTAGTAGCAGTTCTTCTTGACTGAGAACCCTTTTTGTTCATTTTCTAGGTGTTTATCTTGATGGTTTATTATTTCCAAGCTAATTTTATCTTTTTTATAGCTATTGATATTTTCTCTGAACCAGATTGTTTAAAAAACCCCAGTAGAAGCAAGCCAGTATTTTCTAAAAGGGACTTTTTCCGAGGGCCTCAAACAATTTCGGTCACGCCCTTTTCAGCCCTCCCACATTGAGGAGGGACTGGTGCGCGGTCCATGCAACCCAGATTGTGCAAAATCCTATATTGACGACATGTTTCAAATAACATGGTAGAACCCGGACGTCTATTCATCTAGCAGCAGGGGCATCGCCAAAAGGGGTACGAAGGTGCGGTTCCCCCCAACGTTTTGTTCGTCGCCACATTAAGGATTTTTGCCGGGCAAAAGATGGAATTTTTGTACTCACTCTGTAACCTTTTTGCAACAATTGTAGCATATAAACATTTCTGCGGTAGTTGAACTTTCAAAGTATGGCACTAGAGTATAAACTTTGAAACAAAAACACATAAAAGTAGCATGTAAGAGTATTTATCTTTTGTCCACACCCTTAAAGAGTGAGACACGCCCTTTTTATCGACAAAAATCACGCTCTTCACCCCTCCAAGCAATTTTCTTGGCTTCGCCACTGCCTAGCATACCAATCGATCTAAATACAAACGAAAGAGTTCTTTATCTCATTTGGACTCCATTGGTAATTTCCTTTAGGCTCGCGGCTCTGATTGGACAACTGTGCCTGTCATGTGCTTGCAATTTTCTGATTGGCCTATTTGGATCCACAATTGGGTATATATTTTCCATCGTATTCTTCCATCCAGCATCATAATACAAGTAGAAACAAGTTTTTCTCAAGCTACTTTCAGAAAGAGATTTCTTCCAAAATATACAAAAAGTACAAGGTTCATTGGTTCAAATGTAGAGCAAACTGTGTTACAGAAAAGATTTTGCAGGGATTTTTTAGATTCAGTATTGTTTATCTTATTCTGCATCTATACAAATTAAACCCCTTATGCAGAATATCTCTACCAGTAGTTTAACATTGCTTTAGGAGTACCATTGCTATAAGAGTATGTAGTGACTCTACTTAGGCCTGTTTACGTTTATTTTTCCTTCTCATTTATTCAATCACATTTCCACCTTCTCAAATCGCAGCACAGGCATCCTCTACATCACTATCATATCAGGCATTTGCCAATCCCTATTGTTTACTTAATCTTTACCATGCTATTCAATTTACTCATCAGCTTTACTCGCCCTTCCTATCCTTTGTTTTTCTCACATCATTTATGTTAATTTTAGATATTCATTTCTGTATATAAGTATAATGTTAATTTGTAAGCAAGTTCAGTTCAGAGTTCAGTTACAATCAAGCAACACACTGTATCTCTCTCTGGCTCTGTGTTCTCTGTAGGTAAAATAAGATTCGCTGGGTTTGGAAATGACACGTTAGTCGATAGATGGTATCATAAGTACTGACTGCATTGATCGATGTTCCGATGGACACTGAAAGTAGGTATAAGGAGCTGATAATTACTTAGTAACAAGTAAAATTTCGTTGTTGGAAAAAACGAATGAAATCTATATTTCATTTCACGAACACTGAATTCACGGAAGACCAGCTTCAAGGATTAGAGAAGCTTCTTGTTTGCTTCTTATGAAACATCTTCCACATAAACAACAGCACAACAGTTGAGTCCCTGTTTCCAAAAAGGCAAATCCGGGCCTTGGAGTTAGAAACCTCTACAATGTACCGAATAACAATAGTAAGTCACCTAGTTAGTATGCTGAACAATACTAATGATAATTTCAAATATATAGCAAGAAATTCCCTTGAAGTCGATGTGAAGAAAAGAGTCTGCAGAGAGAGGAAATTTCCTAGGATTCGCTTGTGATGAATCAGGAAAACCTAAAATCAATACCAAAAGAAGATTCGGTGTCTCATCTGATTGGCAACATTTATGTCGTCTTGTACGTAAGTTGAACGTGGACATAACCTGGGAATACTCAGAGAAAAACGATCTTATCCTAGTAGAAAACTCACAAATAACATTCAATTGCGAAAAAAATAGTATCATTAAAGTGTATAACACGAGGCCAAAAAATTAGAAAAAAGTTTTTAGAAAGAATACTTCCCAGGGAATTGAAGGATTCAAAAAAACTGCCTATACAGGGACGCCTGTTAGCAAGATAAAATGCCTATGCAGACTGCCTATGCAGGAACTATTTTATCTTGCTAATAGATATCCCAGGAGCCGAATAATTATTGTCAAAGATCATATTTAGAAATTACAAAATAAAAGATGATTTCGTTAATTTTTGGTATAAAGCCAAACATAACGTTTTAGCTTGCATCTACACACGGTCTTTATGGTATCCAGGCCAGTCTCCAGCTTGAACGATTGATGATTATCGTCTTGAATCTACGTCTCATATTTTGAACGGATGTACAGAATTCCGAAATAACTATGTTGCAAGACATGATCGGATCGTTGAAAAAATTTCGAGTGAAATACCAAAGAGATCTCAAATAGTTTACAGCAACAAAACCATACAAACCTGTTTTTCTGACATCGTTAATCCGAAAGAAAGCGGAGCAGCTCTCAAGCCCGATTTTATTGTAAAAAAGGGTACAACAGTGATAATGATGAATGTAGCCTGCCCGTATGACCTTTAGATTCACAATACATATCAAGAAAAGATAAAAAGATTCAAAGTGTCACAAAGTTTGCTAAATTCAAAGGGATTAAATGTGTAATCGACTCAGTCGTTATTGGATCACTTGGATCTGTCCATTGCAAGGCATTAGACGTGTTGTTGAATTCAGAAATAAAAAAGTCATCAGGAAAAGGATTACTTTAATAATGCTCAACATCTAATATCATTGCTGCGAAATTATTGTGGAATCTTAGATGTAGAAAGATCCAAGTTTAGTTTATGAAAAGTCTAACTTCTTCCCCTCTCGAACCATTTCGATTTGACTATGAAACTTTAAGGAACATTGGACGCATTCTGTTAAGCTAACGAAGTTCAATAAGAATAACTATGTATGTATGTATGTATGTATGTATGTATGTATGTATGTATGTATGTATGTATGTATGTATGTATGTATGTATGTATGTATGTATGTATGTTTGTATGTATGTATGTATGTATGTATGTATGTATGTATGTATGTATGTATGTATGTATGTATGTATGTATGTATGTATGTATGTATGTTTGTATGTATGTATGTATGTATGTATGTATGTATGTATGTATGTATGTATGTATGTATGTATGTATGTATGTATGTATGTATGTATGTTTGTATGTATGTATGTATGTATGTATGTATGTATGTATGTATGTATGTATGTATGTATGTATGTATGTATGTATGTATGTATGTATGTTTGTATGTATGTATGTATGTATGTATGTATGTATGTATGTATGTATGTATGTATGTATGTATGTATGTATGTATGTATGTATGTATGTTTGTATGTATGTATGTATGTATGTATGTATGTATGTATGTATGTATGTATGTATGTATGTATGTATGTATGTATGTATGTATGTATGTTTGTATGTATGTATGTATGTATGTATGTATGTATGTATGTATGTATGTATGTATGTATGTATGTATGTATGTATGTATGTATGTATGTTTGTATGTATGTATGTATGTATGTATGTATGTATGTATGTATGTATGTATGTATGTATGTATGTATGTATGTATGTATGTATGTATGTTTGTATGTATGTATGTATGTATGTATGTATGTATGTATGTATGTATGTATGTATGTATGTATGTATGTATGTATGTATGTATGTATGTCTGTGACTGTTGCTAATTTTTACCCTAGACGTGGCAATTCGCTGTACTTATCTTGCCTGTATGATCCCGCAAGAAATCGTGCGTCAGATCGAGTCCAAGGGCCCTAGAGCTGACGCAGGTATACAATACATACGCAGGTATACAATACAAATGTATACCTACACATTTAACATTACGTATAAATAACCCTAGATTATAAACTGTTATTGCTTGTTTCCCAGCCTTAACGTTCGTTTCAGCGCACGTTTCTGGGCGTCTTCATTTGATACACACACCATAAAGTATCCCTGCCGTCCGGTGGCACAAACATTATCACTTTTGTTAAACCGGCAGACTAACGGATGATTAGCAAGCAAGAATGAATATTTTACGAAGCACTAACTTTGTAATAGCATATCAATCTGAAGTGTTAAGTTAAACCCTACAGTACAGTATTTCACCTCAAATACACAGTTCCCTACTTCAACAAACTAGGCCAATATTGGGCACTTCTGTAGTATAAGAACAATTTGTGGATATAGACAGGGACGAGTTATAAAGAAGACACTAAAACAAACAGCACACAGTGAAATTTAAACTAGACTCTAGGTTGAATCGTGCTTTGTGAAACTGAAATGTATCGAATCCACTTTTAAACTGGTATGCACGAGAAAATTTCAATAGAGTTACAAACAGGAAGAAGAATCAACATTTCCATTATCGGGAAAACGTATTTATCATCATAAATTAGAATCGGGCAAAAAAGAACTCTCGTGTTTAGAAGAAACTGAGATATCGAATGAGCAAATGATACTAGAGACAAATCTTCACGCGATATATTTTCAATTATTTGCGCCGATTTGTAGGGTTAACTGTAAGCCTGAGTCTCACTTCGTACTTCGATGTATGTGACACTGTTTTTTGCAAATAAAGAGGAGTCTTTAAGCGAATAAAAGACAAGATACTGATTAAAAAGTTTTAAGAAAAGGTTTCGCTTGCTTAAAAGATAATCATATGGCATTAATAGATAACATTGATGAATTACCCGACTAGATAATTAGATCAAGACACAAAATGGCATGATCAGACGTCACATTTGCCATTCACCATTTATAATAACAAAACCATCAGCAGCATTGCCTAATGATGACCCAAAATGAAACCGTGGGTCGTATCTTCACTTTTCGCCATTTCAAAAATATTCATGGAATGTAAATTCAGATGTGCAATTCTCATTCCTAGATTGTCTTCGGGTTTGGATGACACAAATAAACAACATTATTGTAAAATGATTGCTAAAAGGTTAACATAAGATGGAAGTAGAGCAAAATTAATTTACAAGAGAATTACTAGATGACAAATGAATTAAACTTGTCCAGAGTTTGATGGGAATGAGAGAGATCTCGTGGTGCTACCCAAATCTTTCACCACTATGCATGTTAAACAGCATAACCAATTTCTACTACTGTGCAAACGCCTGTCCAGATTCTTTGCCTTGGTACTTTCTCTTTCCGTGAGTAAATGGTAAATATTTGTACTTGATCATATGCTGAAAAATTAAATAATATATATAAATGTATATAGAAATTTGTCTGTTGATAGTTTCCGTAGAACAGTGCTCAATACATTTGCACGTAGAGCGTAATATAGCATAGAGTTGGAGAAAATAAAACTACATGTTTTATCTCTACAAGCCTGTTTCGTGAGTAGCTCACTCTCCTGTATATATATAAATATATATTCAACAAACTATGGCATATCATTAATATAACCTCAATGGCAAGTGATGGTTGTCTGAATTAGCTTCACAATGAGTATGGTGGGGATGAACAAAATTGAAGGTTAAACTGTGCCTACAAATCGACAATAAAATCACCTGAGCCCATATATTTCATATATACTTGCTAGCAGTTGGTTATAAAATGGAACTTTTTTGCCAATGAAGTTAAAATCTAATACAAAATCGAGGAATGTTCGTGACTCGTGAAAAGGCTCGCGGTAATGAAAACAAGTACTTATATCGGTTTTTGACAAAAGTTTAAACTACTTAAAAATTTGAAGCTTGCCACAAATTTTCTAGTTACAATTCAATACAATTGAGGATCATAAGGCTTAAGACTACGCCAGTTATAAAACACAAGCCAGTTATAAAACGCAAGCCAGTTTATCCAAACACTATCGATCAACTAACCCATGGGCAGGCAATCTGCAGCCTGGGAATAAGCTGTAAATGGCCCTCAGACTTACTCTGAGGCCAGCCATTTCCAGGAGTAAAATAACCGACAAAAGGAAGGGTCATTGCCAAGTCCAGAAGGGCGCCAGCCTTTTATCAAGTTAAAGAATTGTAGATTGGATCGCAATGAAATTTTGAAGTTCAAATATTTAGTCGAAGGTTTTTGTTGATGAAACAGGAAGTTCAAATAAGGAGAGTGGGGTTCTAAATTTTTTGACATCGAGTCAGCTTCAGGAAATAAAAAGTAGAAAAAATAAATACAACTACTCCCAACCAGTCCCAGCACGTTCGCCTCACCAGGTACCGAAAATTGTACATCAGGCCATGTAGTTTGGCCATTTTTAAACTAGGTATTTTGATAAAAACTGAGAGTTTTGATAAAAATGATGAATTTGTATTTAGTTCTTACCTTGATTTGTCTCTTCATGGTAATTACAAACAGGATGATAAAATACATAACAAGTATAGGCCAGAACACTGGGACATTGAATGCGTCAAAACATGTGCAGACTAATGCAACGATGACAGCCTTAAATGACGAGTGCCTGAAACACAAAAATAAGTATATTGAAAGAAATCAAAGATGTAAAGAGTCAATAATAAGCAAGGAACTGGAAAGGATCAATTTACAGAATAACTTAATTGCAAAAATCTAAAATGCATCTTGTGCAGGCATGCAAATTTAGATATGTCCTAGATCTCAACAACACCCTTGGAAAGAAATTTGTGCTGCTCTTACAAAAACGTGTCTCTGCCACAAAAAATACAACATAAAACAGACGATCACATGTTGATGATTTGCCGGATTCTAATGACTAGTGATTCAATGGTATTACTCATTCCGCACTAACTTCTTTCTTATGTGAAATATTTTGCAAACAAACAGAGAACAATAACATTTTGTAACCCAAAAAATTAAAAAAATCAGGACCAGACCCATACCCATATATGTTTAATTCTGTGTTATTCCTGTTAGTAAAAAGGCCAAAGTGTGCTATAATCGAAACAATGCATGCAGTCTACATCCTTTGATAAAATTTATTAACGTAATGGCTTGCAAATATCAACTTGAAGCCTCACATTGATGATTTTCTTGTGATCTTCTCAAACTCAGGTATCAATTATGTGTCTTAGAAATAATTTGTGCTTAAAAACATTCGTTTGAAGCAGTGACAGACGCTGGAAGTTTACAACTTGCAATTTACATAGCCTTTAACTTTGTGATGTATATTGACAGTTGATAGCAACAAGAAAGAATGAGGAACATACACTAGATAAATAGAATCACTAACACTTACAAAGCACCAAACTTATTATAATGACAGACTGTTGGTTTATTGGTTTACCATTACAAGGACATTGAGGGGAGGGTGGTAAAAAGAGAATAGCATTGCGGTGAGCGAAATATAAATGCATTGAAATGAAGAACTTAGGAAAAGTGCTGGAGAAAGGTATAGTAGTTATAGAAAATTTAATAAAAATGATACAAACCAAAATTTAAATTCTGGAAGTTTTCTGATGAATGGTTTAAATTCTTCATTTGCTTTCTGCGGCAGTGTTGGGCCATCTTCTGCAATGTCATCATAAAAATCTATGATCAAAAATCTCTATTTCTCAATAGATTTCTAAGAATTCTGATTCTGTTTAGACTAAATGCCCGGCATCCATCTTTAATTGAGAAATAGTCTTGCACTATTTACGAGTTTACAACTTCAAGACATGGGTAAAGAAATCATTGAAACAGGATGGTTAGTACTAAGTTCCTACCATCTATGTTAAGGGTGTGACAGAGAAACAACTCAGTCAAGCATGCCTGAGCCTTAGTGAATGGCCTTAGTGAATGGCTAGCACCCCATGATACCAAGAACATCAATATCAACCTTGCTTTTTTGGGCATAAAAATATACCTTGAGGTTTTGTGCAAAACTTGTGAGCAATAAACTTGCTTTCCTAGCCGACACTTAGACCTGATCTAAACTCAGTCAGATTTTTCTCCGGATCTGCCCCTGCAAGCTACTGCTAACAGCTTACCTGGATCTTCCATCAATGCAGGATCAATCCTTGGTGACAAAAATCCAATGAATAAATTCAGAAGGTAAATACCAAGCGCATATGTAATGATGTACCAGCCCTGAAACAAAACATTGTATATATAGATTACTTGTACAGTCAAATATATACCTAATCAATACAAACCTAAGCAAGAATCAGTGTCATTTTTGAAATTTCAGTTTTTACAGCTTCATCAAATATTTTTATTCCCAAACTTAGAGGATCTTATTAGGATGAGATTGGGGGTCTTTTGGGTGTCTACATCTATTCATTGCAGGCACTGTTACAAGAGAATATACGAAATTTCGCAATGGGCTTAATTGCAGAGAATTGTTGCAACAAAATTCAATAGATCAGCTCTCTCACAAATCTTCAACTCTATCACTTTCCAAAAAATAGAATGCCAAAATGAACATTTTGATACTCCAACACCCAAATATGATCTTGTCCATGTTCTTCTAAATCTATTTTGTTGCATTTAACAGAACTTTTTTCAGGTCTCAAAGTTTGTCCAATAAAAAGTTAAAATTTTGACATTGTAAAAGGCAGCTTGAATTGTAAACTAACAATGTTGCCAACGGTTTGAAGTTTTGTTTGATTGGTTTTCAAGTAAAAATGATCCTCAATGGCTCAAATCTTGCGGACCATGGTGTTTACAACCCTTCCACCATTACTTGTTTGTTGGACATGTGCAAGACTTTGCTTGCTGGCGTACATGGATTAAAACTTAAGGTTACATCCATGTACGCCAGCAAGCAAAGTCCAAGGTACCATTCATGATGCAAAGGTTACATCAATTTAACCAACATTTCAATGTCAATAACACACTGGACAGATTAGATATTAAAAAAATATAAAATAGGAAAGATTCAGTTATTACAGTATTTTGCTGTGTATAAGATGCACATTTTTGGAATTATTATTGGCTTTGTTTGAGGGTGCGCCTCATACATAGTAACATTGATTGTCCCAACATTTTCTTTAGAAGGCAAAGTGTCATTTCATAGACAAAATATTATGATATTTGGAGCAGCTGTTCTCTTAATTTGAATAATCTCACTTTTGCCCAGAAAAAATAGTAAAAACTTTGATAATTCTCCAGTCGCGATAGAAAAATATCTGAAACAAGCTTTTTTACTCCCAAATGGGAGCGTTATACCACGCATTCTCTTGGAGGGCACGTTCTGAATGTTGTGAATGAAACGGATGATGAAAAAGAATTTTAAAACCTGTAAATGTTAATGATGATCTTGATTATTTCATGATGTTAAACGTTCTACTTGATGAGTTTTAATGTAATAGTTTAACATAACGTAATATTTGAAACATTGCAGTTTGAATGAATTTAGTGTCTTTAGCAGCCATTCTTAACCTCCTTTTCTTTTGTCTGCTCCATTATCTTCTTTTTCTCTGAAGTAAATTTTAATATGCTCTTTGTGGACAGTTATAGGTCTGAGAGGGATACCAAAATAGGAAATGCTTTATTTAATCATTTGATCGTTTTATAGGGTTTCATTCATTCATTTTTATTATCTTTCTCTCCATCTTATAGGCCGATATGCTGAGATTAAATCCAAAACTTTGCAAGACCCTTCCTTTTTCATATCAACTCTTAAACAGATGGGGTCATGGAACCTAGTTATAAAAAACCTTAAGAATTTTGCCTTTGATTTTTTCCTGTTAAAATATGTTTGAGGTGCAGTTTCTGGCCAATCCTAAATAAATATAATCTACAATTTTTCTTGCTGTCTTTAAGTGGCGGCCTTTTCTTAATTCATCCACAAACATCTGCCCCTGGACCTGACATAAGTGCACTTCAAATTGACCTTCACAAGAGACTAACAAAAATTAGCGATCTAGCCTAAAAAAAGCACAGGACGATATTCTGACTCAACCTGGTACAAGTTCCAAACTTTTTCAAAACTATTTTTTTGGGTTTATGTAATAACCCCCAAACAAAACAAAGGCCAAAACAAAAGGCATGTCTGTCTTATCTCTAACTTAGCCTGGCAAGTATGAGGTCTGAATTTCATTTTGAGCAGCTTTATAACAGAAGGTGTGTACATTTTGAGAACACAGTGACCCCCAAAAAAAATACATGTTTTTTTAGCCCAGCACTCAAAACACTAGGAACCCCTGGTCTATAGTATTCCCAAATTTATTCTTTTACTGAAAGATGCATGAAGACCTGTGAAAAGGGGGTGCGTCTTATACACAGTAAGACACTGTAAAGCTTATTTTTTTAGAATTAAAACATGGAATTAAAGGTGCTTCTTATGCAAGGATCCATCTTATACATGGCAAAATACAGTAATTGTGGATTTGTACAACTTCATACTAGATAACTTCAACCTCGAGGGCAGTATATTCGACCAATAAACATATCTGAATGTGCTAAAATTCTAATATAACATGAAAATTTTCTTGAATGCTGGTTTGCAGAAACCGTTGCTAAAATGGACGTTAGTTCACATTTATATGTTTGTTAACATGGATTTGCCTTTTGGTGCAATTTGTCCTCATAGAGGCTGACAACCACACAATTTCCCTAACAGCAAATTAACATGGTAATAGCATATTATTTCTGCTGCAATTGAAACTCTCACCTGTAAAATATACACACGTAACATATATCCGCACCCAAATGCAAGCAGCATAAGCCACCTTGCTGTCATATGAGGGACAGAATCATCTAGAATCTTTTGATAGCGCTAGAAATAATAATACATTTTGTAAATGTCTGCTATGTACATAATTGGTATAAAAATACTCAATTAAACTTTGATTTTATCACTAATTCAGGACTGCATCTGAGTGGAACTTACTAATAATGAATTTTTACTCAGGGCTGTCTCTAAGGTAGGGGTTTGAAATGTGACATCCCTTTGGGGAAAAGACAAGGAGTCTTTACCATCAAGGGGTGTCTTGTCAGCAAATTTGCAGACTTTCAGCAAATCAAAGTTGGCTCACTCAGATCCCATTTGCTCACAAAGCTGGCATTGTCAGCAAATGGGATCTGAGCAACCCCCCTTAAGCACAATAGCTAGGAAATGCCCTGTTTTTACTAACTTGGTGACTGATAAGTCAGTATAAGGCACGCTGGAGCAAGGAGGCTGGGGGGGGGCTGGGCTAAAGCCCCCTCACTTTTTTGCTAAACTAGGATATTCAGATGGTGGCATCAAAGACGATGGGGAAAAACTACAATTTTTTGCCAATTGGTCTAGAGCCACTTTAAAATGTCCTCCAGCGTCCCCGAGTAATTCCACTCAACTTTCTGTCTGCCATAGATGACAATTAGGTTATGAGATTTTGATGTGGCCTTCCAGTTGCTTTGATTGAAGGCATGCAATCAGCCATGCACAAACTTAAATCATTACAGAGAGGCCTGATTGTTTAGGAAAACATTAAACTCCCATTTTGAGTTTCCAAGATATATTACAATTTCCTTTTAACTTTCAAAGCCAATTATAGATTACTAGCAGTCAAAGTAAAACCTCATACTGAAAAGAAAATTTCCTGTTGATTACTTGATAATGAATACATGCTCGAAATGTTATGTTTTGAACAGTTTTTTTGTTTTACTACTAGATATATATACTCTTACAGGCCTTGCACTAAGCAAAATGAAGGTGCTCCATAAAACAAGTTCCTAAGAAACTCAAGGTGCTCTATTTTGCTTAAAAGGAACTGGATACAAAATCTAGTCATCAAATGATTAGGGTTAGGGTAAAATCTTGTATAAACCTTATAAACCAGAATATTTTGGTCCATTGAAAAAATTATGTAAATTTTATCAACATTAATTTCAAACAATATCTGGCTGCATGGCAATATTGTTTTACATTTTTAAGGGCTCATTAAATCGCACTCCATGGCTTCTTTTAGGTGTGTCTTAGGCGCTTGGGCTCGATTGAGTTTATCCAAGACATACCTGACTAATGCTTTGTATCAATCTTGAAAAAAATGATGGTGTGCTCAACTGAGCAGTTGCTTCATCTGGTGCATCTGCAGACATTTTTGTAGTTTAAAGCAAAGATATCTAGAAGAAACAATTTATATACTTTGAATTAATAATTAATAATAACAGCAGTATTAATTTTAATTCATGTTTTTTGACCTGGGATAGTTCAAGGACATCAATAAGTACACACTTACACCATCCAATAGGAAATTGTCAAGTTTACATGCAAACGTCAGATTTCCCATAAATAATTACAAACATCCAAGGTCTTTTACTATGTGACTGAGGAGGTCTCATGTTGTTTGTCTAGGATTACCTGCATTTGATTTGCTTCTCTGTTGCAGGTTTAAAGCAGATGCTATCGTATCACTAGACTGGTTGCATCTGAGTAAAGGTAGCTCTTTAATACCCCCTTAACTGAGTGCTTTGATTTTACAGCAAGAATCTGTGCATGTGTGCAAGTAACAACGAATCAAACATATTTATACCAAGCAGGTATCCACAGTGTGAGGTACTCTAATTAAAACCTCATCTCATACATGCTGGATGGTTATATTTACTCGAATAGAAACCCCCTGGCCTTTATTCCAACATTTTATTTTTCACACATCTTTATTCAAGACTAGTGTTGATTTGCAGCCAAGCATTAATAAAAATAAACTGAAAACTGACCAGACAAAATCAAATTTTATTGTTGTTCGATTTTTTTTATTGTTAAAAGACAAACTGCTGAAATAGCAATTGATTTATTTTTCTGAATTTGAACTCTTTCTATTGTTGCTGCTAACTTCATTGTGATGTTTCTTTGTTTAAATTATACAAAGAATTCTTGATTGCTTGGCATACAAGTATATGATTTAAAATGCAATTTTTGAAAATGATTCTTTAAAAAATATTCAAACTAATGACAGACCTCAAAAGAACAGGGCCCTCTGATTTTATTTAAGACTAAGAAAATAAGCTTAGCTTCTATTTCAGACTAGTTGGTGTTTATTGAAGGACCAGTGCTATTTAAAGCCAATGCTGTTACATTGGCCAAAGCAAATTGAAGTTTTGATTGAGCAGCACTCAGCTCTCTAGAAAAGCAGCTAAATCACAGGGTCTACATCTTGCTCCCGCTTTGCATTGTTCTCTTATCTAAAAATACCCAATCATTCTCAATCCAAAAAAACCTTATCAAAAGATCATGAGTGCCATCACCCTTAAAGCACCTACCTACAGCATTCACTGAACAACACTTAACATGGCTTAAAAAGAATGAAAAGGTTTATTGACTAACATTTTAACCCCCCAAAAAAACAACATTGAGAAAAGAAATGAAATGGTTATACAGGTCCCACATTGCAAGTTCAATTTGTCTCGCCAGATTTTGACTGACTACTCTTGTTTCCCTTTTGCTTCTCTTAACTTCTTATTTATTTCCTCTAAAATAATATTTTTATTTATTCTTTGTGTGTCATTTTGATAGCATTTCCAGTGGACAAATCGGATGCAATTTCAGACTTTGGCTGTGCAGCAATCAGGCTTTCGTGGGAAAAATATAGCAGGCGTGCTAACCACCGCACCCCTGAAAACATCCAGGCGTGTGATGGCGTGTGACTTTTTTTCACAAAACATTTTGATAATTATGGTAGATCTACGGAGAAATGGCCAACACGAAAATGATGACAGCAAAAATTTCAATGAAATTTACTTCGCTGAATTCTTACCATGACTACTTACATTTTAGCAATTGAGCAATTTTCTAAACAAGTATAAACTGAGCTTATTTAATATATCCAAAAAAAACGGCACTACAAGTATAGAAATATGTTTGCCATGTCGTAAGCAGTTTTCATTAGCTTCAATAATGAATCCTTAGCAGAATCATTGATGCTTTGGCGTTCATCTGGTTGTAATGGCAGTTTTTTCATGTAAATCAGTGCATCGAGAGCCCTTTGTTATCAAACATGACAGCTATTTTGTGTACCTCACTGGCCAGATGCATAAAAGATAATGATGGCCCAATTTTCATTAAATCAAATGTTGCTAAAATCTAGATTTAAAGCCTAGCGATGTCTAAAGAGGGGGCTGTAGGGGGTAGCGAAATCCAGCAAATCCTCTGTTATTTTTTTCCGCATCATTGGCAAATCGGCTCCTTTTTATCGCATAATCGGCTACTTTCGTACATTAGCGATAGAAAATGAAAGTCTTGTTCAAAACACTTAATGTTTCATAATATCGGGATTCCACTGTAGATTAGTTCTATGATTATTTCAAAATTTTATATTTAATCGGCAATCCTGAAAAGGTGTTAAGCCTTTTTGAAGTGGCATGAAGTAATAGTACCAAGGAGGGATCAATTTATTAACTCATCTCAAAAACCCACAAAACCAATAATTATGAATTTTGCTCCGATAATAAAAGAAGGCGTGCGATGTTTTGCACTCCTGGAAAGCAGCAGGCGTGCGCCAGGGCGTGCGCGTGCGATCGCACGTCTTTCCGACGAAAGCCTGAGCAATACATCAACCTCAAACATACATCTGCAAATACCTTGCCAGCTGGCCATAAATTAAGCTATTTTCAAAACTTAGCTTTTCCTATTTTGCTGCAGTGAAAAAATCTCACTGCAGCAGTGAGTTTTGACCAAATCTTTGGAAATAGCTAAATATCAAAAACATAGTAACACACCCGAACAATCCAAACAACATAAAGCTGTCAGTACATAGACTAATTTCAACATGATAATCTTAAATCTGGGGTCTGCTTTTGACAAAGGTCTGTAGATGCAAAGTCAATGACAGGCCTCTCTGAGAATAAAAAGCATGTGGGCTAAAAAAGACCCCTGCTGGTTTGGCTGCGTGGGTTATTTAGCCCTTGCCGATTTGTTGTTTATCTATTTATATTTGAGTATATACAAGCCAAAAATACATTACCTTATCTACTTGTAAACATGATTAATCTTATGAAGACAATTTTATGTGCATTACTACTCCTTAAAATGACAAAAGAGATACATATTGAGTTTTTTTTGCAAAATGGCAAGGATTTGTGAAGAAACACAGAAATATTGAGTAGCATCCAACGAAACTCATCTTTATACAAAAAGAAAAAGAGCAGGACAATGTCATTTAGAGGGTAATAGAAGATTAAGTTGATTTGCATTAAAATTTCAAGAAAGAATAACTGAAATACACTTCTTTTTTATTAGAAATGAAGGTCGACTTGGAGTACTCCAGTTTCTTAACAGTATAGGAAATTCCAATACTCACTCCTTCTTAAAAGTTTCTTAATCTGAAAAAAGCATGGGAGAGCGAAAAAATAACATGATAAAAATCAGCGAATAACATATACATAAACCTCAAAGCATACAGGGAAGCAGAAATTTGGATCGAAAGTAACGAGAGAGTTCAGAAAGGGTGTATGATTGGTTCTATGTTTTTGACAAATCCCAACCACTTATCTCTTACCTTGTTGAAGAGTCAAAGAGCAAAAACGTTGCTTTCCTATCTTGGTCTAAACAACATTTTCTTTGAAATTTTGAAATGCTGATGAATTAGGACTTTAGTATTCATAAAACAATTTTAACTTGTTGGTCATCATCAGAATCATCTGATTGTCACAAGTTGAAAAGTTGCTGATTACAACTAAATTAGAGAACCTGTACCACTTTTGCAATGTGGATTTTGTGAGCAGACTGAGTTTCTCTAGATGATACTCCCTAAGGGCAACACCCTATAGATTACCGCAGAATGGCCCTGGAGTCATCTCATATCTCAATATTTTGATTTAATATTTTGAAATGACCATGCTTGCCCTAAATCCATTGATGCCCAGAATTGAAAATCTACTGCCTAGCATATTCCAGTTGTCTGAGAAACTATTAGGTTTATTCTCAATTTCCTAAGCAAGGGCTGGGGAGAAGTGGCCTTGCTGATTACTAACAAGGGGCATAAAAAGGCCTGAATCAAAGAAAGTAATATTATTTGGGAAACTACAGTAGCTGGCTTGTGCTCAAGCATGATTATAGGACTGAATTATGTGGACTGAATTATGTTAAAATCAACTGACTGAGTGAACTTTTTAGGGGTTTCATTTCAATCACACACACCCATTGAGAAGTTTGACTAACTACAAGGGAGGGGGGAGGGGTCAAAATAATTGAAATTTTATCATACCAAAAATATGATTGACCCAATTTTGTGGAATGCTTGAAAACGCGTTTAAGTAATTTTTGTGCACACATAGTGAAACAAATTGACACATACTTTGCCCTTTAGAAACTAGCTGCACACATTGGATCAAAACTGAACAGTGTTCACACACTGCACACTTTGTCAGTACTCTTGTACACATGCACGCATTTATATTTGCTCTTGCACACACAAGATCTTGTCGAGAACTGTCACGCTCTGCAGCCTGGCTTTATGAAACTCCAACAATTTTACATACTTTATAGCTAAAAAATAATTAGAATAAATAATCTGCTCTACTTATGCAATGTTAGTTTACTTACTAGCAACTTATTGCAAATATTTGGGTGAGAAAGTTGTCTCAAGCTATGTCCTGTTTCGGTATGACTGTGCTTCAGTTGCTGTCCGCCATTTTGAAGATAGTCTGAAGACAAATGTGCTGAGACGTGGCACGTCCAGAAGTCTGGTAATGAAAACGTTTGTGTGACAATAAACGCTATCAGTTCAGAAACAAAGCAAAAAGGCGACGCGAATCCAATGTTGTACGATAAATTTTCCAAAATAAATTAAACGAATACTAATATTTCGCCCCGGCTTACAGGGCTTCATCAGAGTAAATGGAACGAACGAGCTGAATTTTATCCTCGTATTTATATTATACTCATTGCAAGATTCACAGAATCCGGCGGACAGCCTATCCTGCGGTTCTTCCTTCTCACGCATCAGATATAATCATGTTTGTATGTATTTATGTGCAAGCAAAGGGTCAATTAAGTGTTTATGAACGATATTACCACAATATTACTTAGTAGTTTCACGAGACTGATGTCTGGAGCAGTAGTAGGCCTAAGTGTGCCGTCTTAAAACTATATTTTTAAAACGTTTTAATTCTGACCGCATAACCTGAAAAAGCATCGCGAAAAAACTCGGAAAATGCCAAATCATGTTTCAAATTGGGTACTTTTCAGTCCGGTATGGAGGGTAAGGCCCCTTGAGACACATTAGAAAAACCTTGAATTGAGATAGAAGAGCGTCCTTTACCCATGGCAGCCAATGTGTTGATTTTTGTCAAATTTTTAAGGAATTTTTCGGGTTTAATTATCTAGTCGCACTGAACGGAGCTGTCTGGTATTGATGATAAAGGTTCAGAGTGCTCAGATAGTCGTTACAAGCCCTGATACTGACTGGGTCCAAACTTCAATTGAAGTTCTCCTCTGTGGATTTGAAGTGAACACCACCAAAGCCACTGCGGTGTTCACTTCATATGAATGACACGACCGCAAAGTGAAAGGTCTAAACAAAAGTATATAAGGAAAAAGTGTTAAATTCTTGTATAAACATGATAAGGTTATAACCATAGGTATTTGCTGAGACTTTGACAATTGTTATATTTTTAGGATCAATTTATGATCCTAAAATGGTGACCGAGCTCAATGACCGAGCTATGGCTGGCCCTCAATTAAAGATATTATCAAAAAAGAAACAGCAACGCGCTTGCTCCTCAATATTTAGGGGAACTTTTCAGTAAATGCTCAGAGGGCAGTGATCGCAATCTTCGTTCTACCGAAACAAACTTGCAGATATCTCTTTTAAGAACATACACAGGTCAAACAGCATTTTCTTATCGTGGAGAAAAATTATGAAATGAGCTGAATTAGGAAAATAAATTGGCGCCGTCTCGCAAATAGGTAGCAAACCTTTAAAAAGTCCATACGAGAGGTAAATTTTATTTTTATATTTATGCAAACAATTTTTTGGTGATACAAAACTTGAAAATGGCTTTGAAAAAAGCAAACATTTGAGTAAACTTAAGCTTTTCCTCTGACACTTTCAGTGTTTAAAACGTCAGAACATAGAAAACTCTACGCTAGGAAACATATATACCCAGTTGTGGATCGAAATAGGCCATTCAGAAACGCGAGCAAATGACTGTTTAGGTTGACCAATCAGTGCCGCTTGCCTATTGAGAATGTTACCAATGGAGTCCTAAGGTGAAAATGAACTCCTTTTGTCTACACAATAGCGGTTTTTTCGTGCTTATGTAGATAGATTCCAAAACTGCTAGATGGAACGACGATCGGGCTTTACCAATTGTCTGAAACATGTCGTCAGTATAGTTTTTTGCACAATCTGGATTTTCCAGTAAATGCTGCCCGATAGCAGAATCGCAGGTTTTAGACCGCGGTGGCTCTTCTCTTTGGGGATGAGTTTTGTTTCTAATACCAGACGGAACATGTTGATTTATTCTATCCTCCAATCTTTCTACGTAGCCAGAATCACACTGGCACGTTAATTCACATAAAACGGAACTCTTTGGTTAGGTAGGAGCGCAATCCCTTTGAATGGAGGGAAGGGCCTTTTTGTACCGTAAACAATGCGTGGATTCACGGCAAAGAAACAATTTGTGATGGTCTGTTTTATCTGTTTTTCAAAACGCAAGGAACTGTTACCGATCCAAGGTACTTTCAGATAGACCGGTTTCTTTTGGGGACCAAATTTTACGTCAGCCGAGAACCTAGCTATCTTCTTCTTAATGAAAACTGAAGCAACACCTATTGGTAACATTCTCGATAGACAAGCGGCATTGATTGGCTTATTTCGATCCACAACTGGGTATATATATTTCCTAGCATAAAGTTTTCGATCTATGTTCTGAAGTTTTAAACTCTGAAGAGTGTCAGATGAAAGGCTTTAGTTTACTCAAATGCTTGCTCTTTTCAAAGCGATTTTCAAGCTTTATATTTATTTATGTTATGTTTTTTTATGTTAACTTATGGTACATTGTAATTCTCTTTAAATTAGGCTTTTCTGTTTTTGCAAAGGTCGATTTATAAAACAGTTATTTTTTACTGAAATCTATAAATCTGTATAAATATTTAAAAACAAAAAATTTAAAAATGAAATATGAGCCGGGCACTGTGCACGAAAACTTTTTGGGTTTACCTCAGTGTCCTTGGCAACGTTTAATTAACTATCCTAGCATTGTTATGTAATTTTTTGTATATCTATTATAATCTTAGAAATTGTATACCTTTAAAACTTGTACGTTTGTTGCTGAATGAAAAAGTTTAATTTGATTTGAAGACTTAACAAAGCTATAGCAGCGCTTCTAGGATGCCTTAGAAGAAGTCTTTAGCAAAGAACTCTTGATTTATGTTTTTATATAATGAAAATTACTGTTTACTGGTCTATCAAAAGTATTCGATAGTTTCCCGTATAAGCAGAGGTGTACACGCGTTTAATATATGGAACAGGATGGTTCAAAGTTGCTACTCTGAGCTTCACGGCAGTTGCCCCATCGAAAGTTGCCCTAAATGTTTTTATACACAATAAAAGATATTCACCAAATATGCAAAGCTTTCCGCATATCTATAAAAAATGTGTTGAGAACAAAAGTATTTTTCCCACTGGGGTGATTTTTCCTTCCGTTTGTATACGAGGCAACCGCCATCGCAGCGCTTAGGTGTTTTCGCAATCGAGTATCCAAAGTTTTCATCGTTCAATTGTACTTGTAATCTTTGCAAGGGATACGTATGTAACATCGGCTATTTTTTATTTAAATTTTATTTAGCGTTGGTAATTCAAATAAGTTGGTTTTAATTAGCTTGAGTATAGCTAAGGATGGTACCAACTTTAAATAAAGAAAGAAAAAAGTGTAACCAACAAAGCGCAGCCACTGTCCTAGCTGTTGCCCAGTTTGGCCCTGTGAATCTAACAAAATATGACATTTTAAGAAAACCGCTAAACAGGGTTACGCTCCTTGTTACAGCGAATACAATAGAAACCCGCATAAAAGAACCTAGATTGTTGTCTGGCAGCCTGAATAGGTTCTTAATTAGCAGGCTGCTATTTTGAATTCCAGTCTAAAGGTTTTTAACAAAGCTCTTATATACGGACAGGCCTTGCATACATTAACAATGTTTTCCACCGCAAGAATTCTAATGGACACACTTAAACCAGCTTTTTTTAAGTTAAATTTCTACCGTTCTAATGAATTTGTGTTGTTAGATTGTCCATTAACAATGTTTTCCACCGCAAGAATTCTAATGGACACACTTAAACCAGCTTTTTTTAAGTTAAATTTCTACCGATCTAATGAATTTGTGTTGTTAGATTGTCCAATTAGAATGCAACATACCATAACCTGATTTGCTCAAAAACCATTTTTTCTTATATATATATATATATATGTATATATAAGAACCTTTCCAAATTTCTGCCTCTTGAGGGTTCTTAATCATGGGGGTTTAAAGGGTAAATTTCAGCCTCAATGTTCTTATAAAAACAGGTTCTTTTATGCAGGTTTCTACTGTAGCCCTAATGTGTCTTTTGTTCTGCGGGTGGAAAAGCTTAGCATATCCCGAATTGCACTTCCCGTGTTTGGTGATAATAGTCACCAAGCCTCTGACATGGAACCGGGTTGGTGCTACGTTGTGTTTTTCAAACCTTGCACTGATTTTTCGTCAGAAGGGCTTTGCCATAACAGCGTCAGCATGCATATGGTGCACTACATTAGATCATGGACACCTTTATACCTTGTTACCCTTGCAACTAGCAGTAACATCACATGGGGAAGTTTTAATTCTTATAACTTAGATCTGATTGCAAATTCAAACACAAATGTTTCAAATTTATCAAATGTGCAAAATTTCGATTTACTCCAAAAGTACCCGTGGTGATAGAGTTTTTAACCGGTGCATGGCAGATGAAGACTGTTGAATCAAATTTCAGTTGAAAAAGATCGGCATAAAAAATTTGTCAAATACCTAAATTCTCATAATTCTACCATCAACAGTTCTAGAGTGTAATACATAAATAAATTCTTTTTCAAATACAATTATATCAGTCTCTATATATTTTAGACGTTGAATTTCCTTTTGAGATGAAACTGAAGCCACCAAAACATCTGAAGATACCAAATAAATCTAAATGGAAAAATTTACTCCTAAATTTGTTTTATAAATATTGAAAGTCCCTAATGAAATGTAAACCACTTGGTGCTACAAACCTGATACGTTAAAGAATAATAAAAAACCTACCGGCTTGGACAATAAGGGAGTTAAAAACATTGGACATGATAAACAGTTTTCATTTATAATATTTTGCTGGTTAAAAAATTAAAAATTGCTTTGATAAAAGAAAACATTTTGAAACACATTCAAGCTTCTCATTCAGCACTGTTCAGAGTATAAAATTCAGAACATTGGCCGAAACCTCTCAGCTGGGCAATATACAATGTATATATCCAGTTGTGGGTCAAAATATGTCAGAGATGCGATCACATGACTGTAAAGGTTGCCCTGCCAGTGCCGCTTGCTTATTGAAAATATTACCAATGCGATCCTAGGGCAAACACAAATTTCTTCTTCTGACACTATGGGGTTTTTTCATTTTTTAATGTAGACAGATGTTAAAACTATTATATGGAACGGCGACCAGGCTCTACCAATAATCGAAACTTGCAATTACGTAGTCACGCTTATAGCCATATGTTGTTTTTTCAAAGCAATTTTTATCTTTATATTTAGGAAACTAACAATTGTTGGAACATTAAAATGTTTGTACTTCATGCATTCTCCAGGCTTTAAAAACACACACTTAAAATTAGGCCTTGGCAAATATTTTGCAATCTTAATGAATTACAACTATCTCATGTTTTTCTTTAGACGTATATTTAGGCGAAGATGCAAGACTATGTAATTAGCGAATTATTAACGCTGCTGAAAGCATCATGAATATTTTCCAGTTCTAGCGAGCCGGCGAAAACAACGCCCTTTTCGTCATTTCCCTTCTCCTGTTTGATGCAACTTAGATACTCTAAGTTATCTGTTAAATTCAAGTACTCTTCAAAAGAGGGCTTTTCAGTGCATGCCTCGTGGCAGGAGCTAATACAGTGTTCCAAAGAGAGGCTGCTTAACCGCTGCCTCTTTCTGGGGCTCTCGTGAAGAGTCCCATGGTCTTCGTCTACAAGTATTTTCTGCGAAGAATCAAATACTGAATCTTCCTTTCGTTTATCGTTACTAGTCGACTCGAGAGGTTTCGTCGTTAAATTATCTGAATTGGAATCGACCTTGGTTCTTGAAGATTTACCAAGTGTTTGTGCTTCATCGTCGAAGTTCAGCTGTTGGAGGTCTTTCTGCGAGCGCCGTAATCGCTCTTCGATATCTTTCTTTTCGTTACAGTTAAATATTGTATACAAAATGTCAGTATTTCCCACTGATTCTGGACTATTTAATGGTTCTGATTTGATCTTGCCTTTATAAAACTTTAAATGACTGTCATCAGTGAAATTAAGTTTAGAAGATCTACTCTCACTAGTAGAAAGAACCTTGTTTTCGGCTCCAAAAAAGGATTTTTGAGGATGGTTCTTGGCAGGCGAAGAATGCTTGCAGCATTTCTTTTTTGGGATCTGCTTGTCTGTTGTATCTTCCTGATTCATCAACGATTCAACGTAATTCTCTAAAGAATCTTTGTCATCAGCATCGTCATGGTCGAAGCTACAACTACATTCTGTAAAAATTTCCAACTTATCAACGTTAATATCCGTGGGAGTAAATTTTTCCCCATTCTCAATTATTGAAGATTTATCAGAGCCAGAGCTGTCATTTGCTGTTCTATTCACAATTTTCTGTTTAATTTCAATTGCATTACTGCTTTTTGAATTTTTCTTTACATTCAATTCAGTGCCTAAAACTGCCGAAGAAACAATCGAGATATCATTTGTCACTGGGGTCGATTTCAAATCTTTTTCCTTGGCTATAGATTTATTCAAATCAACAATGATATCTTCCGCATCTGAAAATGCCGGTCCTGTTGGAGATGCCTCGGATTCACTCTGCTGTGGAGACGAAAAGTCTGTAGGCAAACTTTGAAAGCCTTCGGATGTTGATTCGTCAACAGCTTCATTTGACGGGGAGTCTTTGTCGTAGAAGCCTGAGTCACAGCTCGAGCTTACTTCACTGTTATCAATCACATGTTTGCAATCACTATCATTGTCAACGTCACCACTACACAACCCGGTACTGTTTTCACTTTTGAACAGATGCATCTCAAGGCAACTTTTCAAATCCTCTGTTGCAGTAACCTCGTGTGAACTCCCTAAATATGGGTAACTGTATGGCGAGTAATGGTAAAAAACTTGATGTAGGCCTGTTACTGGGTCTTGCATAACATAAAGCGGGTATCCTGCAGCAGGAAGCTGTTGCTGTTGATCTAATGTATAATCAACACCTGTGTACATACTAAGGCCACAATCAGGGTTATAATAAATTGAGTTTTGGGAGGCTAAAGCAGGTGCATTAGCAAATGGCACGAAATAGTATCCTTGAGGGAGGTTTGTTGATGTTTGTCCCATTGGATATCCTACAGCCTGTTCGTTACCAGGTGACATATTCGCTATTATGCTATACCCATCAGTGCCTTGAATTGCAGCGATGTTGGATAGGACATCTTGATTATTTGGTGGTTGCGGTTGAATTAGCTGTGGGTCGCTAGTTGAGTAACAGTCTCCGGTAAGTGAGCTTGAGTTTGGCTCTAAATACTTTTCTTTCTTTCGCCACTTTGCTCTCCTGTTCTGAAACCAAACCTGTCGTAAAAACGTTTATTAAGGTTATTAAGATTTCAAATAGACAGCGTGTGTTGATAAGGAATACAAATTGAACCTGAAATTATGAGCCTGATCACTTAGATCAAAAACAGCACCACAACATTAGAGATTGGATTGTACGCTTAATTTGAAGTTTCAAAACCCATAAAAACATTGTGCGCAGAAGTTATCTAGCCTCTCATTGTGAACCTTTAATATGCTCTCCGCAAGATGTTTTGCGTACGGAAAAACAAGGTGTTTTTTGTTATCATAATCTGGACATCATTTCCCCAAGGCAGCGGGCATTCGAAAAAATCCAGTTTTGCAGCTCCAATAAGATCTCTAATCATATAATCCCCCGAGCATTCAATAAAGTGTATAGAACATAATTGTAGAAATGTGACATTTTGTCATGCTTATCTCTAATCTCACATGTAACTGAGACAAAATCTAATCTTATATACCTGACAATACGATGCCCTGACAAAATGGTGGTTTTGTGGTTGTCAAAAATGTTCATGAGATGCAATCATCTTAGGGGAAATAAAGGAAATAGGTCCTTATAGCAACCAATCGAAATTATTCCTTATAATCGTTAACAATCAAATTTATTAGTTAAAACTGTGAAAGTCGAAAACATGAGATGCAATTATCTTAGGGGAAATAAAGGAAATAGGTCCTTATAGCAACCAATCGAAATTATTCCTTAAAATCGTTAACAATCAAATTTATAAGTTAAAACTGTGAAAGTCGAAAACATTCATTTTTGACAGTTAAATAGCAGTAACACTGATAAAAAATCAGCTAGATTCAGCCACATAAGTACAGGCTACTACAAAATCTAATGAAACACTGCTCCAGTTGCTTCTTAAATATTATGAATGTGACCAGCACAAGCGGCTTTTGTCGTTTTTTTCTCGGAAAGGTGCAACTTTAAAGCCTTATAACTTCTAAACTAATTGGAATTTTGCAAAAACAACGACTTTGCCATAATACACGCACCAGATGCTAACTTTTTAGTCAATAAAAAAGAATTTTTTTTTTGGCTGGAGAGGCCCTTTAAATTTATCAATCCAGCCAAGCAATAGTAAAGTCATATGTCAGCCATTTTGGGTCCAGCTTCAATACTTTTTACGCATTTAGAGGTGTGTTATAGTGTGGTAACTTATATTAAATGGCCTAACTTCATATCATAAGGTCTAGAATTTCATTCTATGACGTCACCACTTTATCGCTCCATATTTCTAGCAACACAAGAGTTCACCTGTATTTTGCCTTCTGCAAGTTCTAGCTTTTCTGACATCACTTGTCTTATATTAGCATCAGGGTAATGAGTTTGTGAAAACACTTTCTCCATTTCTTCTAATTGGTATCTTGTGAAAGAGGTTCGATTTCGTCTCGATTTCAGACTTGAGGCCGACAAGTTGGTCATTGTGGTAACAATGCAGCTTGACATGAATTTTGCCTTCGTCATCTGAAGCAGGCCTAGGATGGAATGTTACGATATTACAACTTGGGTATTATATTTCAAGTGCACTTTACCAGATTCTGTCATCTTTAAAAATGAAGTGAAAATCACCGCACATTAACTTTGTCAATTGTCAAAAGAATCTTGAATGTTTCCTGTTGGGAATGGAAATTTTTTTAAAAAGAATGAATTAAAAAATGGCTATCAACTGTCTGATTCGCTCGCCTCAAGCCATAATGCCAAAATCTGGTAACCTTTGAATCCTCTGTTTCCAATGTCTCTGATTCTCATATTATTTTCCATGACGACAAAAAACATAAGTGGAATTGAATCGTTGAACATCAAATCATAGCATTAAAAGTCGGATGGATCATTTAATTTAGACGAAATGTCAAACAATAATTTTTAATACGATGTTTCATACAACAGCTTGATATGACAAGATAAGGGGTGAAATACAAACAATACAAGGTTGAAAAACAGGGTTGATAGGGCTAGAGAGCTGACTGATATTTCCCATGGATACAAAACATTTGTCATCAAAAGATGAGAATTAATGCACACTTGTTTGTGCTTTTTGACAGGAGTTTGTTGGCAGTGTCATTTTAGCAACACATTCTTCTTCACTAAAATATAAAAATCTGAACAGAAATTTGAGTAAATTTATCGATATTTTCAAAGCTGGGCAAAGCAGGGGGTTGTGGTTAGGCGGGACCAGCGGGAAATTTCCCGGAGGGTCCCTATCAAGTGAATTTGTAAAACCCAGGAAATTATTTAATATGAACAAAAACCTTGGTAAGAAAATGCCTCATTTGCATGTAGACTCAAGTTCACAGTTTAGAACTAGAAGAGGTCAACATATACAAATAGGCCCCTGGGGAGGAGATGAGTTGAATATGAACAGGGCCGCCGAGAGGGGGAAAGAAGGTGTAAACTGCTTCAGGGCCTCGAGAACTGAATTTCGAAGAAACTTAACAAAGTATGCCTAAAAATTGAAAACCTGGTAAACAACTGTAAAAAATATTCTGAAATGTGTTTCAAGCTAATTTAAAGGGCGTGACCGCAACAATTTTCTGCTCACTTCCTTCTCAATGCATGCAAGTGTTTTGTTGTGTTTGTATCAACTGTGCACTACAGTATTGGATTTGTTTCACACTCTTTGTAATCTCAAAGAGACTATGATTAGTGAAAGGGGAAACAAAATAGCAGATGAACATTAAAAATGATAAAAGATGGCATCTTTGTAATTTTGGTGCATGGTTGGTTGCAGAGATTTGGTAGGTACCATTTTAAACGACCTGTGGTTTGTCTTTGGAGATTGCAAACAAAAGGGAGGGCCTCTTTATCAGGAACCGCGGAGCAGGGGGCTGGGAGGCTTTAGCCCCCACTTTTTGCAAAAATGTCAAATATAAAGTAATAAACTACCCCCCTTCTCCTTTTTAGACCCCCCACTTTTCTCAACGCTCAGCGGTGCCTGTTTATGATCATTTTTCCCGGCCCTTTTCTAGGAGCCACAACGTTCCTGAGGCAAAGCATATGATGACAAAAATGGTTAATTTTTACATAAGGAAAAAGACAGAAGAAAAACATTGTATTGTAGTATGTTCATTTAATTTCTTTGTATGAAAGGATTAATTAGAAGAAAGATTCCTGGTTAATTTACGAGGATAAGGAAATGACTCTACAAACGAAGCAGTACAATTGTTATATTTAGAGATTGAAAGATGGAAAACATGAAACAGCCTTTGTTTTCTACTTTCTCTCGATGGTAAAATTACTGCATAGTACTGCATAAGAGAAAGCCTTTGATGCGGGTTACTGATCCCCTTCTTCAGGCATGTTAAGGCTGACTGGCGCGAATGAGAAGGAATATCGTGATTTCAGTGCCTATTTTAAGTACCAAAAATCCTGTGCCGAAAATTTCGGTAGATTAATTTTCGATGGAAAAAAATTCGTTCATATTTTTGAAATTTCGATATAAATTTCAGTGAGAACTTGAAAAATGTTGGCGGAAAGAAAATATTTCGATGAGAAAAGGAATAATTCACGTTCTGTAAGCTATTTCTACTTTCAACTTAAAACAATCTGAAGTGCAACTAAGAAGTGCAACCACAAAAGTTACAAAAAATACTATTTTGATGTCAACCCAATAAATGGAACCAAATAGTAGGCAAAAATGTCATAAACTATTATTAATTAATTTCATTTCTTGTAAACCATGGAGGAAAAAGTAATTGGAAGCGTTTAGCAATGTTATGCAATTGATTGGCAATATTTTCGATCACAACAAGGGGATTATCAATTTCGATCGAATGTGAGTTAAAAAATTGAGGCGTAGATAAAGAGTAGAACTTTTTCAATTTTGACCATATGTCCCAAAAGAGCATTATGAAATACACTAAATATACAAAGTCAGTTAAAGCTATTACGAATTGGCCAAGATATGTCCACATAAGCACAGGCTTTTGCCCCATCAAACCTCTGTAATTTGGTCTTGGTTGATAACTTTATGGACCAGGCCAGAAAAACAGAAATCCTTTAACAAACTTGAAATCTTTCATTGGCCATATCTCGCCCAATTTTGAACAAATTCAACTTTATTCATCTAGAACACAGGTACTTTAGGCCGTTCTTTCGTTCTTTGTGGTTTATGTGGTCAAACTTAGAAAGTTCTAAAAATAGATTTTAACGACGTTACATTTCGGTACTTTATTGAAACCTGCCCTTCTTCATCGTAAATAAATCCCACCGAAATGTATTCACATCAGACAGTGTTATTTTATAAAGCTAATGCCGAGAATTTTCTCGACCCGGCAAAGAAACGACAGAACCATATGAAGCTAATAAGGCTCTGTAAGTAAATAGACAGTACAATTTTAGTTCAGAATTTCAATTCACTTGTTGTCAGTCGGAAGTACCATACCCTTCACCTTCCCATCCCTCATTTTACGCATCTGCCCTCCTTTACTAAACAATGTTTTATGAAGTTATACCTATCCTTAGAAAGTGCACCTATGGTAGTATTCTTTCGTCTGTATATCGATAATATAGGTTTATAACCACATTACATCCTTTCAAAATTCAGCATTAGGATTAAACTCAAGAGTTACAGGCATGTTGTTTTCATGCAAGTAAATCAGAATTACCTTATTTCCTCGAAAGCACGCCGTGGCGTTTATTACAAACTCCAAGTTTTGGAAGCGGCATTTATCCGAGGGCGGCGTTTAATACAAAACGAAAAGTTTTTCAAATGAAAAATGCGATGAAAGAGATAAAGCAGACTTTTAACAATCTTTTCTTTTCCAAAAACACGTAATAAAGATTGTGTGAACAATTTTTGAAAGTTCACAAAAGATGTCTTCACGTTATGGAAATGTCAAGGAATGTCAATACCCCTGCCTCCGTCAGAGGCCTCGTCTCTATGACATAAAAACTTTCATAGCTTTCGAATAGTGGTGTGTTTCGAATAGAGGGCGGCGTTCAATAGAGGGCGGCGTTTATCAGAGGGCGGCGTACGATCGAAGTGAGACAGTAATTTATAAATGTCGTAATTTGTTCTGAAAGGTGATAAAGATTCTAGAATAGACGTTCAGATACTTTATTTGTCACTTGTTAAGAATAAAACCCAAATTGACTAGAACTAGAGATTTGGACAAAATACTTATATACTTAAAAATACTTATACTGTCTTCAAAAATAAAACGGGCATAAGATATTGGAATCTCTTTAAAAATTGTCTGACCTTTCTCTGAGTTCGGGGAACCTGATCATTTTCATAGTTAATTAGATCTTAGAAAGCTAATCTAGGATCTAACCATAGGAATCTGACCTTGTAGTCGTTTTTAACCTTTGCCAAAAAGTCCTACTCAAAAAAGGACGTAGGGACAGGACAACAAAAGAGTCCAAGGTAAGGCTTCCAAAGTGCCTTTCTGCCATCTTGATGAGTATTCAGAAAATCATAGGTCTTTGAAAGATCATGGGTGTCTGAAAAACGGCGTTGCGAGGTCAATGGCTGGACGATTATAGCACCGTGTAACATTTGAGGGTATACCCTATACTTCTTTCGGGAAAGCGGGAATCGTCAATTTTTTGGAGTCGTGATGTTTGTGAGCGGGATTCGAGAATCGATAATACTGGGATTGGGGAATTGATGGTGGGAATCGGGCTAAGAACATAGCGGGAATTCAGCAATCAGGAGATCTAAGGGGTACCCTCAGATGTCTTTTCTTTGGTGTGCTACCTCAGATCTCTATGGCCTTGCAGTGGTTGTCTAAAGTAAAAAACTGTTCTACTTTTCGCAAGTTTTTGGGGCTATTCTAATGGCAATTGCACCGGGTAACATCAATTGTGGCTAGCTTTGATATCTTTGTCTGCAGACTATGACTTCCCCCAGTCTCCAAAACAGCTGCTCGGCCTCAACCGTTGATGCGTGTAAATTGCGCCCGGTAACACTAGCTTCAATCTCTGTAGGTTTCGCTCTGAGCCAAATAAGTATAGACAACAGCTTATGGATATATGACCTGTGAATCGGAATCGCCAGTTTTTGAAGAAAGAAGTTGGAAGCGCATAATGTCATCTTTACAAACGTATTGAAAAATTGTGTATTACATTTGAAACAAATTTTGTTTTATAAAGTACTAAGAAAATCAAATATTGGTACTTTTTGAGCCTCTTTCGGTTTATTTCGATTCCACAATTATTCATTTCAATAAATACTTCGCCAACATCCCAACCCCGGCCGTATAAGCGTGGTCACAAATAATGGCTTTTTGCAATTTATTGGACTATCCAAAGTAACTTGTCAATTGAAAACTCACTGTGTGGTTTCACTGGAGCCTAAAGCGAAGGTCTAATCATTCTAGCTCTTTCCTTCAGGATTTCCTTTCTTGTGGTGATGCATAAGTAGTCTACAAACCCTTCCCAGGAAAACCAATACTTTTGTATTTAGGCTTGGGAAATCCTTCTAGATAGAATATCATATCGGCTAAGAGTTAACTCTGCCTTCCTAATCTAGGCC